CACTGGGGAGATGGTGGCGGGGTATAAAGATTATTATTATTATTATTAGATCTGAATTCAGTGCAAAAAAAAAAATCAGCCACTGCCAGAAGGGACAGAGTTTTGTCTATCCTGGCGATCATGCGATCACCGCCCAAACAGGGAGCTCTTACTGCCTATTACAGGGAAAACCAGCTGATTTCCAATCCATCAAAAACACAGATATGTACCTTTCATCTTAAGAGAAGACAAGCATCTTGAGCTCTGAGGGTGACCTGAGAAGGAATCCCACTGGAGTATTGCAACATTCCAAAATACCTGGGGGTCACTCTGGACTGTGCTATGACCTATAAGAAGCACTAATTGACCATCAAGCAAAAAGTGGGAGCTAGAAACAATATCATACAAAAGGTGACTGGCACAACCTGGGGATCACAACCAGACACAGTGAAGACATCTGCCCTTGAGATTTGCTACTTCTTTCTTTCTTTCTTTCTTTCTTTCTTTCCTTCCTTCCCAAGCTCTGCCCTCCCAGCTCCTGGGGACTCAATGGCCCATAATTCCCAATCTTTATCCAAGACAGCTGAGGCTTCTGGGAGCTGAAGGCCAAGAACGGGGAGAACTGGAGCCTGGGAACTCCTGCTGCAGGGAATGGAGGGGCTGGCCCTGGATTTTCAAAGTTATAGTTTACCCACATCTAAAGATCACGGTCAACCCAACTGATGATGGATCTGTTCCAAAATTGGCACACAGACCCAACATAACCATCAGAAAATACTGGAGGGGTTTGGACCTTGATTTGGGAGAGTTGTAGTTCACCTACATACAGGGATCACTCTGAACCCAAACAAGGATGGATGGTCATGCTTGGTATGTGTCTCAAGTTTGGGACAGGTCCATCATCAGTTGGGATCACAGTGCTGTTTGAATGTGGATGAACTACATCATCCAAAACTGTGGGTCAATTTCCCACCCAAACCCTGCCAGTATTTATATTTGGTCATGTTGGTGATGTGTGACATGTTTGCTCCTTAACAATCATTGGTGGCTGTACAATAGTCACTAGATATTGGTCAACCACAACTTCCAACATCTATCTTGCCTCCAGTGCCATCGGTTGGGAACCACCCCCCCCCCCCCCCCCCAGCACAATCAGAATGAAGAGAGGGGCCAGGAAGTCAGTTCCATCTTGTCTCCTGCACTGTGCTTATAATATACTATAATAACTATAATATAATATATTGTATACACATATAATATTTATAATATTGATAATATTATAATCATAGAATTCTAGAGTTGGAAGAGACCTCGTGGGCCATCATCCATTCCAACCCCATTCTGCCAAGAAGCAGGAATATTGCATTCAAATAAGCCCTGAAATAATAAATAACTTTATTTATTTACGACATTGATATGCTGCCCTTCTCATCCTGAAGGGGACTCAGAGCGGCTTACAAGAGATAATAATAATTATAATAATAATTATTATTATAATTATTATTCAAAAACACGAATCAAGGAACATGAAAGGCACTGCAGACTCCTTCAACCAGAGAAATCAGCCATAGCAGAGCACCTGATGAACCAGCCTGGACACAGCAGATTATTTGAGAACACAAAAATGCTGGACCACTCTCACAACCACCATGTCAGACTACACAGAGAAGCCACTGAAATCCACAAGAAGCATGTGGACAATTTCAACAGAAAGGAGGAGACCTTGAAAATGAACAAAATCTGGCTACCAATATTAAAAAACTCTAAAATTACAACAGCAAAACAGCAGAGAGGAAACAACCAGGCACATCTTAACATCTTTCAACAAAAGATTCCCCCAGGCTCAGCCAGGCCTTCAAATGCTAATGAAGGTGGTCAGTTGAAACATTCCCACCTAGCTCCAGCAGACAAGAGCTCTTTGCCCCACCCCAGTCATTCCACAGATATATAAACCCTTTTTCCTAGTTCCAACAGACCTCACTACCTCTGAGGATGCTTGCCATAGATGCAGGCGAAACGTCAGGAGAAAATGCCTCTAGAACATGGTCATATAGCCCGGAAAAACCTACAACAACCCAGTGATTCCGGCCATGAAAGCCTTCGACAATACATTGAACAATATATTATATTATTAGCATCGCATAATATCAGTATTATATATTACAGTATTGTACTATACCATTATATTGTAATATCATTAGCAAGATTACATGTCATATAATATATATATTTACTAGCTGTCCCCTGCCACGCGTTGCTGTGGCCCAGTCTGTTGATCTGGGAAATAAAGTCATGAGAAAGTGTTGGTTTCTAATATATGTAATTTCTTTATGCTTGTGGGTAAACAGCATTTCTGTTTCTATATCTGAGGCTGGATGGCTCTTGGTCAGGAGAGCTTTGATTACCTTTTCTTGCCCTGGTGAAGGGAGTTGGACTGGATGGCCTTAAGTATTTTCTGTTGGTCATGGAGGTCTGTGTGGGAAGTTTGCCCCGATTCAGTCATTTGTGGGGTTCAGAATGCACTTTGATTGTAGGTGAACTGTGAATCCCAGTGACTACAACTCCCAAATGTCAAGGTCTATTTCCCCCAAACTCCATCTGTGTTCATAATTGGGCGTATTGAGTAGTTGTGCCAAGTTTGATCCAGATGCATCATTGTTTGAGTCCACAGTGCTCTCTAGATGTAGGTGAACTACAACTCCCAAACTCAAGGTCAAAGCCCACCAAACTCTTCTGGTGTTTTCTGTTGGTCATGGGAGTTCTGTGTGCTAAATTTGGTTCAATTCCATCATTGGTGGAGTTCAGAATGCTCTTTGATTGTAGGTGAACTATAAATCCCAGCAACTACAACTCCCAAATGACAAAATCATAATTTTTTGAGTGATGGTCACTCCTTGTGTTGTGAGACGTTTTGTTGCGAAATTTGGTGTGATTTCGTTCATTGGTTCTTTTGTTTTTAAGGTACTCATGACACACAGAGCATTTATATATACATAGATTAGCATTGCATAATATCAGTATTATATATTACTATATTGTACTATACCTTTATATTGTAATATTATTAGCAATATTACATGTAATATAATATATATAATTATAATATTGTACTATTATTAGTGTACTGTATTATATTATAATGTTATAAATATTATATGTATATGTTTTTGATGGGTGATCTAAATAGGAATAGATACAGCAAGGTCCTTTATATCCTTTCCTCTTTCCTTCCCTCCCTCCTTCCTCCTACTTCCTTTTTCCCTCGCTCCTTCCCATCCCTCCTTCCTTCCCTCTTTATTTTTCTGTCTTCCTCCCTTTCCTCCCCACTTCCTTCCTTTTTCCCCTCCCCTCCTTGTTTTTTCCCCTCTCTCCGTCTCCCTTCCTTCCTTCCCTCCCTTTCTTTTCCCCTCCCTCTTCCTTCCTTTCCTCCCCACTTCCTTCCTTCTTTCTTTCCCCTACCTCCCCCTCCTTCCTTTTCTTTTTTCCTCCTCCCTCTCCCTTTCTTCCCTCCCTCTTCCTTCCTTCTCACTTCCTTCCTTCCTTCCTTCCCTTCTCTCCCCCTCCTTCCTTTTCTTTTTCCCCCCCCCTCTCCCTTCATTCTTTCCCTTTCTTTTTCCCTCCCTCCCTCTTCCTTCCTTTCCTCCCCACTTCCTTCCTTTTTTCTTTCCCCCCCTCCCCTCCATCCTTTTCTTTTTCAATCCCTCTTCATCCCATTCCTCCCCACTTCCTTTCTTCCTTTTTTCCCTGTCTCTTCCTTCCTTCTTTTCTTTTCCCCTCCCTTTCTTCCCTCCCTCCTCCCACTTTTTTTCCTCCCTCCCTCTCCTTTCCTTTCTTTTTCCCTCTCCCTTGCTTTCCTCCCCACTTCCTTCTTTCTTTTCACTCCCCCTCCTTCCCTTTCCTTTTCCCTCCCTCTTACTTCCTTTCCTTACCTGAACCTATTGGACTCTGTGGATTTTTTAGAAAAGGGACCCCGCACCCTAAACCCGTGATCCCTTCCAATGAACCTTCCAGGACTTTTAAGATCATCTGGGGAGGCCCTGCTCTCATTACCGCCTTTGTCACAAGTACATTTGGAGGGAACGAGAGACAGGGCCTTCTCAATGGTGGCCCCTCAGCTAAGGAACACCCTCTCTAGGGATATCAGATCGGCCCCCTCCCTTTTAACATTCTGAAAAAAAGTCAAGACTTTGCTTTTTGAGCAAGCGTTTGCAAATGCAGTGTAACAGACACAAGAAAACAGAATGACTGGACGATGTGACGAGAATGTTTTTTAACAAGGAGACCCTAAGGATACAAGTTTTTATTGATTTTGCTATTGTTTTATATTTATGTTAATGTTTGTAATTGTATTTTATGGTTTTGGGGCCGACTGTAAACAGCCCTGAGTCATCTGCGGCCTGAGAGAGGCGGTATGTAAATATAGTAAATAAATAATGAATAAATGTTGCCTACAACCGTGGCAAGTTTCATCCTAATAGCCATAAAAATATTTAAATTTTTCAAGCTTGAGGCTGAGAGAGTGAGACTCGCCCAAGGTTCTTAAATTGAAAATAATCCCAAAAATCAGTGGGGAAGTGTAATGTTCTGAAACTTGGCAAGTTTACCATAGTCAATGTAACCTACAAGCATGGCATGTTTCATCCCCATAGCCATAAATACAATGGAGAAATGAGCCTTGAAAGTTTCCAAATTTCAAAGAACAGTATGTTTTTTTTTAATTTTCAATGTTCATATTGATAAAAAACAGTGAAATATATACATGAATATACATGAACCAATACAATACTTCCTAACATCTATACAATATTCATATTTAGTTATACTCTCCCCTCCTCCCACATTTAGTGACTTTCAAAACAAACTACCATTCGGGTTGTAGGTTTTTTCGGGCTGTATGGCCATGGTCTAGAGGCATTCTCTCCTGACGTTTCGCCTGCACTTTGGCAAGCATCCTCAGAGGTAGTGAGGTACTGAGGATGCTTGCCAAAGTGCAGGCGAAATGTCAGGAGAGAATGCCTCTAGACCATGGCCATACAGCCCAAAAAAACCTACAACAACCCAGTGATTCCGGCCATGAAAGCCTTCGACAATACATTAAACTACCATTTGGATTCCTGCTGTTTTGCACACCTCTACTGTTACATCTCTTTTGGCAGGTCGTTCCACAGTCTTGGGGCGGCCGATGAAAACGTCTTCTGGGTGCTGGTTGCCAGTAAGATTCTGGCAAGCTGGCGTATTCACCTTCCAGTGGACCTAAGCATCCACAGAGAATCTATTAAAATCAGAAAGCACATGGACAATTTCAAGGGCTTACGCAGACTAGCTTAACAGGCCGTGGTTCTTTCCAACTACCCTGGACATTCCATAAGTATATATACTCCACTTACTTGACTACCACCAGATTCTCTGAAGAAGCTTTCAGAAGAATACCCCACTTGTGCTAGAGCAGTGGTTCCCAACCTGTGGTCCGTGATCCACTAAAATATGGTCCACGGCCTCACCTTTACTACACTGTTGCAATGAGAGCAGCTGGTCTTGCAAAACCCTCTTATAGTGCCAAGGCAATGGAGATGTCAGAAGGGGAGAGGCTGACTAACCATAAAAGGCACGGCAACAAGCCTACTGACTACCCTTCTTTCAGCCCCATGACTTCCTGCCAGGGCCCTCACCTCTCAACCCAGTAACCCAGCTCTCCTTCCTCTCCTCCTCTCTCGCACAGCGTGCACCTTCCTCTCCTCCTCTCTCACGGCAGCGTGTGCCTTTCTCTCCTCTCTCGGTGCCAGTCTTGCCCACTTTTCCTTAATCATATACACACAGCATTCTTCCCCTAATATCACTACTGACCGAAGGTCATGAGTTGGAAGCCAGCCCGGGTCGGAGTGAGCTCCCAACCAAAATTGTGTAGCTTGTTGTCACCCTTTGCAGCCCGAAAGACAGTTGCATCTGTCAAGTAGGAAAATTAGGTACCACTTTGTGGGGAGGCTAATTTAACTGATTTACGAGGCCATAAAAATCTCCAGGAAGTATGCAAAGAATGAGGAAGTACTTCATCAGTGTCACAAACGGATGGTGAAGCAACAGCTCCCCGGTGGTCAGAAGCTGGAATGTTAAATAGCCTCTGCGTGTCTGTCTATATATGTTGTGTGTCTATGGCATTGAATGTTTGCCATATATATGTACACTGTAATCTGCCCTGAGTCCCCTGCAGGGTGAGAAGGGCGGAATATAAATACAGTAAATAAATACATAAATAAATTTAAATTACAGTTTTATGTAAATATTCAAAAACATTTAACCTCTTGATGCCTCAATTAATGCCTCAATTAATGTAATTTTATTGGTATCTATTTTGATTCTGAAATTTGCCAGTAGTTGCTGCGTTTCCCGACCCTTGGCTTGTACTTGAGTCAGTACATTTTCCCTTTTTTTTTTTTTGCGGTAAAATTAGATGCCTCGGCTTATATTCGGGTCTGCTTATACTCGAGTATACACAGTATAAAAATTACTTTGACTATGTAAACATGGGTTGTTGACACCCCAAAATTCTCATTAGCACTTTTCTTCTCAAAGCCAATGAATTCTTCACCTCCTTTGTTCTTCATAATGCAGTTTTCTAGATTCCATTTTTGGGATTATTTCTTCAGCCTTTCCAGACCTTAATAGGCCCCAACGAGATTCCAAACATACAACTCATTCAATCCATTCATCACAAGGAAGTCAGTCCAGAATATAGATTCAGAATACAATACAATCCCAGAATAGGGTTACAGGAACAAGGCTAGAGTCCAGAATTCTAAGCAAGAGGAAGTAGCACCAAGGGCAAGGACTAGAGTATGACGGTATGATGTTATCTGCTATCAAAGAGCTACTGTTTATCATGAGTAGACCATGGCCACACAAATTGCTATCCATGAAAGATGAAAAGCAAGGTGTCCGCCTTCTTTCCTTCCACCTTTCCATTATTTGTCTGTCTGGAGAGGGATGGGACCCTTGCCTGGAGAAATTGAAAGGTTCTTTTTAGGAGAACCAGAAAATATAAAGGCATCTCTCCTCTTCTAAGGGTGTGTGAGTTCTTTGATTTCTAGTACATGCTGAATTTTCTCTGAAGCTATTTCCATATTCCATGCATTTCTATGGTCCTCCTCTGTATGTTTCCTTTGATGAGAACGCAAATTGCTACTGTAACTGAATTTCTTTCCACATTCCATGCATTGATATGGTTTCTCCCCTGTGTGGGTCCTTTGATGGCAGCGCAACTTTCCACCCTGACTGAAGCTCTTTCCACATTCCATGCATTGATATGGTTTTTCCCCTGTATGGGTCCTTTGATGACAATGCAGATTTTTACGCTGGCTGAAGCTCTTTCCACATTCTATGCATTGATACGGCTTCTCTCCTGTGTGGGTCCTTTGATGGCAACGCAGATGTCCACTGTGACTGAAGCACTTGCTACATTCCTTGCACTGATATGGCTTCTCCCCCGTGTGGGTTCTTTGATGGCAACGCAGATCTCCACTGTGACAGAAGCTCTTTCCACATTCCATGCATCTATGTGGCTTCTCCCCTGTGTGGGTTCTTTGATGGGAACACAGATGATCTCTCCGACTGAAACTCTTTCCACATTCCATGCATTGATATGGCTTCTCCCCTGTGTGGGTCCTTTGATGCAAATGCAAATGTCCACTCTGAATGAAGCTTTTTCCACATTCTGTGCACTGATATGGCCTCTCTCCTGTGTGGGTCCTTTGATGTGAACGCAGTTCTCCACTCTGAATGAAACTCTTTCCACATTCAATGCATTTATGTTGCTTCTCTCCTGTGTGTGTCCTTTCATGGCAACACAGATGTCCTCTCTGACTGAAGATCTTTCCACAGTCCATACATTTATGTGGCTTCTCTCCTGTGTGGGTCCTTTGATGGGAACAAAGATTGCTGCTGTCACGGAAGCTCTTTCCACATCCCATGCATTGATAGGGCTTCTCCCCAGTGTGGGTTCTTTTATGGCAACGCAGCTCTCCACTCTGACTGAAGCTCTTTCCACATTCAATGCACTGATATGGCTTCTCTCCTGTGTGGGTCCTTTGATGGGCATGGAGATGTCCACTCTGAGAGAACATCTTCCCACATTCCATACATTTATATGGCTTCTCCCCAGTATGGGTCCTTTGATGTTTCAGAAGAGAACTTCTCCCACTGAACCCTTTCCCACATTCCATACATTTATGTAGGATCTCTCCTGGGTGTGATTTGGGATAGGGATGTAGAAGAGTTTCCATTCTTTTAAATTTATGATTCAAATATTATGCTAGATGTTCACAAATATGAACTCCTAAACAGCACAGGATATCCTCTTCTTGGTCTTTTATTGTTGCAGGCTTTTGGTTTCTTTCTCAAGCCCTCTTTTTACAACACACTATTCCATTTCCTCCTCCAGGTATGTAGCTTGAAATATATTTCCCTCCTACTTATTTATTGTTGTCATTGCTGTATACCTTCAAGTCATTTGAGACCTAGGGCATCCCTTGGGCCAAGCTCTCACATGGTGTTCTTCAAAAGATTTTTTCAGAAGCTACCTGCCAGACAAATGAGAGTAAAATCAAGAGTTGAGCAGAGAAAGATCTAATTGTGTCAGAGTTTTATATCAATTGAGTCATTTCTTAAGTGAAAAAGTGAGTAAGTATTTGTAAGGACCATGTCCAAGCATTGCATGAAGAGCAACTGTTAAGCCACCTGTGATAGATTAGATGCTACAAATTGGGACTAAGCGCTGTGTGTTGTAGAGATGAAATGAGAAGAGATGAGAAGAGAAGAGTATGAGAAGAGAATGAGAAGAGCAAGAGGAAGAGATTGCTGAAGAGGCTGAAGAAAGGTTTGCTGGAGGATTGAGGATTGAAACTATTTTTGTGACTATTGTATATAAACATTTCTTTATTTGGAAGACAGTCTGTTTCCTGTTGATTGTTCTCCTTGGGCAATGGGGCGCAGCTTCCGCAAAGGGGGTTTAGATGCTTGGAATCAACCCCAACTTGAAAGCAGCGACACAATAGCTGCGATAAATTGGACACCAAGAACAATGGCCTAGTGCTCTACCAAACCCAGTGGGAGAGGAGAGAATTACTCGCCCAACTGAGAAGAGCCCATTGTCTGGTGAGAAGTGCTCTAACAACTCCTCAATTAAGACTACAGTGCTCCCTCACTACTTCGCAGTTCGCTTTTCACAGACTCGCTCTTTTGCAGGTTTTTGCTTCCCAGTTTATGAATGGTTGCCGTTGCCCAGAACGGCGTTCTAATCCCACCTCCTGGCAACCCTCCTCCTCAGGAGAGAGACAGCCAATCAAGAGAGATTGCAAAGCAAAGCAGAGATAGCTAGCAAAAAAAAAAAGTGTGCGGTGCGTTTAAATCTCTCCTCGCTTCTGCCTCATCCTTTGAATGCAATATACATATATAGTGTCCCTACTTCACGGATTTTCACTTTTCATGGGTGGTCCTGGAACATAACACCCGCAATAAGTGAGGAAACACTGTAATCCTTGCTCAGATAAAACGGGGACTGTGGTCCAAGATTGTGCTCTTTGGGTTTCTTGCATTGCAGTGTGTTTAGGGACCTTTAAAATGATAAGCCAGAGAGATTCTGGAACTCCCTAAACTAGAATCCTGCAGGAAGCATCCATGGGATTTTAAAAGAGAAGCACATTCTTTTCCTACTCGTAAGGGCAGAAGCTAACCTTTCTGAGGCTGCAAGGATACCTCCGCTGTGTGGCTTTATGAGCCTTTTTCTCCATCCCTCCCAACCTCCCTTTTTTCCAAGTTCTTCTGCCCCCCCCCCTTCTCCTCCTGGCCTCAGCCTTCAGAGGGGGGCTTCCTTCCCTCCTTCCTTCCTTCCTTCCTTCCTTCCTTCCTTCCTTCCTTCCTTCCTTCCTTCCTTCCTTCGTTGCTTAGGTTTACCACACTGCACTATTTAATTGTTTTTTAACTTTTGAATTGCACTTTTCAAACTTGACTAAAGTGTGGGATTGTTAGCTGCCTTGAACTTCCTGACTGTGAGAGCTGTTCAGCAGTGGAACTCTCTGCCCCGGAGTGTGGTGGAGGCTCCTTCTTTGGAAGCTTTTAAGCAGAGGCTGGATGGCCATCTGTCAGGGGTGATTTGAATGCAATATTCCTGCTTCTTGGCAGAATGGGGTTGGACTGGATGATGGCCCATGAGGTCTCTTCCAACTCTTTGATTCCATGATTCTATGATTCTATGAAGTGAGAAAGACAGGGTATAAATAAAGTAAATAATAATCATTATTATTATTTCTCTCCATGGACAGTTCCTGGGAAAAACTGAGAGCCAAACTGACAAAGAAAAAACATGGTTGTGGCTCACAAATGGAACTCTGAAAAAGGAGACGAAGGAGGGCCTGATTCTGGCAGCCCAAGAACAAGCCATTCAGACCAAAGCCATCAAAGCCAGAATTGAAAAGTTGACGACAGCTCCCAAATGTAGATTCTGAGAGGAAGCAGATGGAACAATAGATCACATCCTGAGCTGCTGCAAGAAGATTGCGCAGACAGACTCCAAGCAGAGGCACAACACCGTTGCTTGGATGATTCATTGGAACTTGTGCCACAAAGGCCATCTGCCTGCGACAAAGAACGGGTGGGATCACAAGCCAGAAAAAGTTACAGAAAATGAACATGTCAACATAGTCTGGGACTTCCGGATTCAGACAGACAGAGTTTTGGAGCACAATACTCCTGACTTCACGATCGTGTTAAAAAACAAGGTACAGATCGTTGATGTTGCAATCCCAGGTGAGAGCAGGATTGTAGAGAATCAACTGGAAAAGCTGACACTCTATGAGGATTTAAAGATCGAACTGCACTGACTCTGGCACAAGCCAGTCAAGGGGGTCCCAATGGTGACTGGCACACTGGGTGCAGTGCCTAAAGACCTTGGCCTGCACTTAAACACAATCAGCACTGACCAAATTTCCGTCTGCCAACTGCAGAAGGGCACCTTACTGGGATCTGTATGCATTATTCGCCGATACATCACACAGTCCTAGACACTTGGGAAGGGTCCAATGTGTGAGCCAATACATCAGCCAGCAGAGTGATCTTGTTTGCTGTGGACTCATCTTGTGTGTTTCAAATAATAATAATCATCGTCATTGTCGTCTTTTTTGTATACTGCCCTATCTCTTCAAAGGGACTCAGGGTGGTTTCCAACATATAGGCCAGAGGTCCTCAAACTAGGGCCCGGGGGCTGGATAAGCCCCTCCAAGGTCATTTACCCAGCCCTCGCTCAGGGTCAACCTAAGTCTTGAAAGCACACAACAACAACAACAATCCTATCTCATCAGCCAAAAGCAGGCCCACACTTCCCATTGAAATACTAATAAGTTTATATTTCTTAAAATTGTTCATTTTAATTATTGTATTGTTTTAAGTGTTTTTGCACCACAAATAAGATATTTGCAATGTGCATAGGAATTCGTTCATTTTTTTTCCAAATTATAATCTGGCCCTCCAACAGTTTGAAGGACTTTGACCTGGCCCTCTGTTTAAAATGTTTGAGGACCCCTGATATAGGCAGACAGAAACTATACAAACAATAACCGCAAAATAAACACATTCAACAATATAACACCACCTAATGAAAATTAACAAACAAGAGAACAACAGCTGAAAACATCAAAAAATGCAACAAGTTCTACTAAAACATACTAAATATAAAAACATTAAAACCCATTTCATTAGAGCTCCATCAAGTAGAGATTCAGCAAAACTTGGCATGCATACCCAACATGCCCAGCTTTGAATGCTGGCGGGGTTTGGAGGGGATTGACCTTGGAAGTTCTAGTGCACCCACATCCACAGAGCAGTGTGTATCCAACTGACAATGGAACTTGACCAAACTTGGCTGATATACCCAACATGACAAAATTTAAATACTGGTGGGGTTTGTGGAGACTGACCCAGAATGGGAGTTGTAGTTTACCCTGCATCAAGTGAGCCCTGTGACCCCCACTGATGGCAGATCTGGACCAAAACTTGGCACCAGACACACCCTGCCCCCTGTTTGGAGGGACTGACCCCTTATATAGATTCTTAATAAGGCCATTCATAACATTCCAAAACAATGGCTTTTCTAATAAATAGTGTTATAAATGATCAAATATCTAACCCGGGAATTGCTGGGTATGTAATCTAGACTATATCTTTACACATAATAAAAGAGAAAATGTGTGTGTGTGTGTGGCACAGGTATCCACAGGCAGCAGATCACAGGAGCTGTCTTCATAGACGTGTCAGCAGCCTATGATACTGTGAACCACGGCCTCCTCCTGAGAAAAATGTACAATATCACAAAGGACGACCACCTCACCCGCCTCATAGGAAACCTGCTACAAAACAGGAGCTTCTTTGTTGAGTTCCAGGGCCAGAGAAGCAGATGGCGGAAACAGAAGAATGGCCTGCCTCAGGGGACCGTGCTTGCTCCATCCATGTTCAACATCTACACAAATGACCAGCCACTGCCAGAAGGGACAGAGAGTTTCATCTGTGCTGATGATCGTGCCATCACTGCTCAAGCAGGGAGCTTTGAGATGGTAGAACAGAAGCTCTCCGAAGCTCTAGGTGCTCTTACTGCCTACTACAGGGAAAACCAGCTGATCCCCAACCCATCCAAAACACAGACATGTGCCTTTCACCTTAAGAACAGACAAGCATCCCGAGCTCTGAGGATTACCTGGGAAGGAATCCCACTGGAGCATTGCAGCACACCCAAATACCCAGGAGTCACTCTGGATCATGCCCTGACCTACAAGAAGCACTGCCTGAACATCAAGCAAAAAGTGGGCACTAGAAACAATATCATACCGAACCTGACTGGCACAACCTGGGGATCACAACCAGACACAGTGAAGGCATCTGCCCTTGCACTTGGGTACTCTACTGCTGAGTATGCATGCTCAGCATGGAATACATTGCACCACGCTAAAACAGTGGATGTGTCTCTCAATGAGACATGTTGCATTATCACAGGATGTGTATGCCCTAATAAAGACTAATTGAATTGTAACCTTCATCTCTCCATAGTGATACATTGTGTCTATTTCTTGCCTCAAAGGTATGGGACAACCTAAGGATCACAACCAGACCCAGTGAAGACATCTGCCCTTGCACTATGCTACTTTGCTGCTGAGTATGCATGCCCAGTGTGGAACACATCTCACCACGCTAAAACAGTGGATGTGGCTCTTAATGAGACATGCCGCATTATCACGGGGTGCCTGTGCCCTGCACCACTGGAGAAATTACACTGTCTAGCCGGTATCGCACCACCTGACATCTGCCGGGAAGTGGCAGCCAATAGTGAAAGGACCAAGGCAGAGACATCTCCAGCTCATCCCCTGTTTGGGTATCAGCCAGCACGTCAACGACTTAAATCAAGACATAGTTTTCTTAGATCTACAGAGACACTCGCTGGAACACCTCAGCAAGCGAGAGTCCAAAAGTGGCAGGCTCAAACCCAGAGCCTCAATCAATGGCTGATACCAAATGAGAGACTCCCTCCTGGGCACACAGAGGACTGGGTGACTTGGAAGGCGCTGAACAGACTGCGCTCTGGCACCACGAGATGCAGAGCCAACCTTAAGAAATGGGGCCACAAAGTGGAATCCACGACATGCGAGTGTGGAGAAGAGCAAACCACTGACCACCTGCTGCAATGCAGCCTGAGCCCTGCTCCATGCACCATGGAGGACCTTCTTGGGGCAACACCAGAGGCACTCCAAGGGGCCTGATCCTGGTCAAAGGACATTTAATCAACTCCCAAACTTGCAAATTTTGTGTTTTGTCCGTTTGTTTTGTTCTGTTAGAAATGTAATACAGTTGACTGGTTCGCCTGACACGACAAATAAATAAATAACAGGTATCTACTTTCACAGACAGACTCCTGCCTCCACAAATAATTATGGGACTTGAAGTCCACTGCAACCCACAGCAATGATGAGAGCTCCCATGACCCAGTATACATTTTGGTGTGGTTTGAGGAGGATGGACCACGAACAATGGGACTTGCAGTACCTTCACTCACTTCCTCAGACCACTGCGACCCACAACAATGTGTGATCAAGACCAAACTTGGCACACATGACCCCTATGGCCCACTCGACATCCTGGTGCGGTTTAGAGGAGGATGAACCATGGAGGATGGGACCTGCTGCATATGGGAGTTGTAGTTCACCCGCAACCACTGAACCCAGCCGAGATTGGATCTAGACTCAACTTGGGGCACAGACAAAGCATGCCTTCCTCAAATCCCCTGGGTAAGGAAGCGAGTTACATAATAACAGCCGAAGCCTGGGTGTTGCCAAGGCAGCTCCCACTCCCGCTTGGCTTGGGGGGAGAGGCCGCTGAGGGGGCACTCCCCGCTGCCCTTCCCCAGGGGGTGGGAGGAAGGAGGGGAAGGAGGGGACCCCCTTTTCTCCCCCAGCTTTCCCCCTCCTCCAGGGTGGTGCCCTGCCCCACTGCCCAGCCCTCCCTCTTGGGGCCCCAGCCCCCCCCCTCTCTCTGTGCGCTCCTCCTTGCAGGGGGAGGGCTTTCCTCCTGGTCCCAAGACACCCCCCCCCTTTTTACCTTCCTTCCCTCTCCGAAAGGCCTCTCTCACCTTTCCGCCGCCCACAAAGCAGGACCTTCGCTCGCCCCTCCTTCCTCCGGAAGAGAGAGAGAGAGAGCTCCTCCCCCCCCCCCCCCCCCCCCCCCCGCCAGCACAGAGAGAGAGAGAGAGAGAGAGCTCCTCCCCTCCCCAGCTCGGAAGAGCACACGTGCCCGCCAGCAAAGAGAGAGAGACGAGGAGAGAGAGGAGCTCCTCCCCCTTCTGTTTGCCAAAGAGAGCCCAGCACAGAGAAGAGAGAGACGAGAGAGAGAGAGAGGAGAGAGCTGTATGCCCCCTGCCCACACACCCCCCCCACCCCCCCGCCCCCCCCGCCCCGCCAGCACAGAGAGAGAGAGATGAGAGCTTTCCTCCCCTACCCCCCCACACCCCCGCCAGCCAGAAGAGAGAGAAGAGAGGAGAGAGAGGAGAGCTCCTCCCTCCCCCCCCACACCCCCCCCCAAGCAGAGAGGAGAGAGAGAGAGAGAGACCTCCCCTCCCCCCCCACCCCCCCACCCCCACCCCCCCCGCCAGCACAGAGAGAGAGAGAGAGAGCTCCTCCCCTCCCCCCCACACCCCCCCCGCCAGCACAGAGAGAGAGAGAGAGAGAGAGAGAGAGCTCCCCCCCCCCCTCCCCCCCCCCGCCAGCACAGAGAGAGAGAGAGAGAGAGAGAGAGCTCCTCCCCCCCCCCCCACCCCCCCGCCAGCACAGAGAGAGAGAGAGAGAGCTCCTCCCCCCCCCCCCCCCCCCCCCCCCCCCCCGCCAGCACAGAGAGAGAGAGAGAGAGAGAGAGAGAGAGCTCCTCCCCTCCCCCCCACACCCCCCCCGCCAGCACAGAGAGAGAGGGAGAGAGAGCTCCTCCCCTCCCCCCCCCACACCCCCCCCGCCAGCACAGAGAGAGAGAGAGAGAGCTCCTCCCCTCCCCCCCACACCCCCCCCGCCAGCACAGAGAGAGAGAGGAGAGAGAGAGTAGAGAGAGAAGCTCATCCCCTCCCCCGCCACCCCCCCCCCCCAGCACAGAGAGAGAGAGAGAGAGAGAGAGAGAGCTCCTCCCCTCCCCCCCACACCCCCCCCGCCAGCACAGAGAGAGAAAGAAAGAAATAAGAATGAAAAGAGCCACTCCCTCCCCCCACCCCCCACCCCCTCCTCCTTCCAGCACAGAGAGAGAGAGAGAGAGAGAGCTCCTCCCCCCCCCCCCCCCCCCCCCCGCCAGCACAGAGAGAGAGAGAGAGAGAGAGAGAGCTCCTCCCCTCCCCCCCACACCCCCCCCGCCAGCACAGAGAGAGAGAGGAGAGACAGAGAGAGAAAAACTTCAAATTCCACCACCCGCCCCTCCTCCCTCCGGAAGAGAGAGAGAGAGAGCCCCCCCCCCCCCCCCCCCCCGCCAGCACAGAGAGAGAGAGAGAGAGAGAGAGAGAGCTCCTCCCCTCCCCCCCCACACCCCCCCCGCCAGCACAGAGAGAAGAGAGAGAGAGAGAGAGAGCTCCTCCCCCCCCCCCCCCCCCACCCCCCCCCCACCCCCCCCCCGCCAGCACAGAGAGAGAGAGAGAGAGAGAGCTCTCGGCCCTCCCCCCCCCCCCCCCGCCAGCCAGAGGAGAGAGGGAGAGAGAGAGAGAGAAACCTCCACCTCCACCATCTCCTCCACCTCCACCTCCTCCACCACTTCCTCCCCCACCCCCCCCCCCCCCCCCCCCCCCCCCCCCCCCCCCCCCCCCCCCGCCAGCACAGAGAGAGAGAGAGAGAGAGCTTCGGCCCTCCCTCCAGGTGTTTTGGACTTCATCTCCCAAAATTCCCAAGGGATGGTAGGCTGTTAAGAATTGTGGGAACTGAAGTCCAAAACACCTGGAGTGAGGGGAGGGCCCAAGTTGACCCACACCTGAGATAGACGGGAGGTGGATGGATGGACAGACAGACAGACAGACAGACAAGCAGATAGACAGAGAGCTAGATTAGCAGATTAGGTAGAATCTAGATATCTATTTAGACAGCCAGACAGACAGACAGACAGATAGATAGATAGATTGATTAGCTAGATAGACAGAGGGATAGAGAGATACATAGCTAGACTAGATTGACAGATTAGATAGAGAGATGGAGAGATAGAAGGATGTATAGAGAGAGAGAGAGAGAGATGGAGAGATGTAGGTGAACTACAACTCCAGAACTCAAGGTCAATGCCCACCAAACCCTTCCAGTATTTTCTGTTGGTCGTGGGAGTCCTGTGTGCCAAGTTTGATTCAATTCCATCATTGGTGGAGTTCAGAATGCTCTTTGATTGTAGGCTGTTAAGTAAATCTCAGCAAGAACAACTCTTAAATGACAAAACCAATCCCTTCTCAACCCCAGCAGTATTCAAATTTGGGCGTATCAAGGTATTTGTGCCAAATTTGGTCCAGTGAATGAAAATACACCCTGTAATCTCTGATACTTACATGATGATTCATAACAGTAGCAAAATTCGTTATGAAGCAGCAATGAAAATAATGTTATGGTTGGGGGTCACCACAACATGAGGAACTGGATTAAGGAGCTGCAGCATTAGGAAGGTTGAGAAATACTACCTAAGTGGCTCAGTGTCTCCAGACCTTTGGGCATTTTGGTGGCCCTTCTCTGGAGACCTAGATCCAAGCCAGGTGTTATTTCTCCTATATCTGGGATGGTATTCTGCTGCTGGATTGTACCAGAGGAGATGGAGGAGGAAGAGGAGGAGGAGGAAGAGGAGGGTCTTCCAAGTGACAGTATAGAGAGGGAAAGCAGGTTCTCCCCATCCCTTTAGAGGCCGGAAGGTGAAGCAAAGGCAAGAAAAGAGATCCCTCCTCAACATTATGAAGATTGTCCACCTGAACATGAGGAAAAACTTCCTGACAGTGAGTTGGAAGAGACCTGGTGGGTCATCTAGTCCAACCCCATTCTGCCAAGAAGCAAAGAGAGAGAGAGGTCTGTTCAGCAGTGGAACACTCTGCCCCAGAGTGTGGTGGAGGCTCCTTCTTTGGAGACTTTTAAGCAGGGGCTGGGTGGCCATCTGTTGGGGTTCATTGAAGGTGATTTTCCTGCTTCTTGGCAGAATGGGGTTGGACTGGATGGCCCACTGGGTCTCTTCCAACTTTATGGTTCTATGATTCCATGTTTTCTTACTGTTTGAAAGTAAATCAGATTGCCTTGGGGGAAAAATGAGTCTTTTCCTTTCTTCTTCCCAAAACCATCTGCCAGGTCTGAGTTCCCACACCAGTGGAACAAGCTCTTCTATAGTCCTTTGGAGGCCAAGAGGGTGTGACTTGCCCAAGTGGCTCTCCATAGCCCTGCAAGGATTCAATGCTTGGTCTCTTGCAACCCTGCGTTGTGTTCGCACTGCAAGATCAATGCAGCTTGGCACCTCTTTCACTGCCATGGCTCAGTCCAATGCAATTCTGGGAGCAGTAGCCTGATGAGGAGTGAGGTGGAATGGGCCTTAAGAAGTATTGCTAACAACAAGGCAGCCGGAGACGACGGGATCCTAGCTGAACTGTCCAAAACCTTGAAAGATGATGCTGTCAAGGTGATGCATGCCATATGTCAGCAAATATGGAAAACACACGAATGGCCATCAGACTGGGAAAAAATCCACTGATATCCCCATACCAAAAAAGGGAAATGCGAAAGACTGCTCAAACTTCCTTACCGTGGCCCTTATTTCTCATGCCAGGAAGGGAATGCTCAAGATCCTGCAAGGAAGACTCCAGCAAGACATGGAGCGAGAGTGGCCAGGTGGACAAGCTGGGTTCAGAAAAGGCAGAGGAACCAGAGACCACGTTGCCAATATCCAGATGCTGGAGAATGGAGGAAGGCAGGGAGTTTCAGAAAAAAAAATCTATTTCTGTTTCATTGACTATTCTAAAGCCTTTGTCTATGTGGATCATAATAAATCATGGCAAGTTCTTGGTGGTCTGGGCATCCCAAGCCACCTTGTCTCTCTCCTGAGGAATCTGTACAAGGACCAAGGAGCAACAGTCAGAACTGACCATGGAACAACAGACTGGTTCAAGATTGGGAAAGGCGTACGGCAAGGCTGCATCCTCTCACCCAACCTTTTTAACTTGTATGCAGAACACATCATGCGAGGATGTGCGGGGCTTGATGAATGCAAAGCTGGGGTAAAAATTGCTGGAAGAAACATTAACAACCTCAGATATGCAGATGACACCACTCTGATGGCCGAAAGTGAGGAGGAGCTGAGGAGCCTTCTAATCAAGGTGAAAGAAGAAAGCGCAAAAGCCGGGTTGCAGCTAAACATCAAAAAAACCAAGATTATGGCAACAAGAATGATTGACAACTGGGAAAGAGAGGGAGAAAATGTGGAGGCCGTGACAGACTTTGTATTTCTAGGTGCAAAGATGACTGCAGATGTAGAGATGTAAGGAGACGCTTCCTTCTTGGGAGGAGAGCAATGACCAATCTCGACAAAATAGTGAAGAGTAGAGACGTCACCCTGGCAACAAAGATCCGCATAGTCAAAGCAATGGTCTTCCCCGTAGTCACAGACGGATGTGAGAGCTGGACCTTAGGGAAGGCTGAGCGAAGGAAGAGAGACGCTTTGGAACTGTGGTGCTGGAGGAAAGTGCTGAGAGTGCCTTGGACCTCGAGAAGATCTAATCAGTCCATCCTCCAGGATAACGTCCATCTGCTCACTGGAGGGAAGGATACTAGAGACAAAGATGAAGTCCTTTGGCCACATTATGAGAAGAAAGGAAAGCTTAGAGAAGACAATGCTGCTGGGGGAAATGGAAGGAAAGAGGAAGAGGGGCCGACCAAGGGCAAGGTGGATGGATGGCATCCTTGAAGTGACTGGATTGACTTTGAAGGAGCTGGGGGTGGTGACGGCCGACAGGGAACTCTGGTCTGGGCTGGTCCATGAGGCCACAAAGAGTCGGAAACAACTGAACAAATGAACAACAAAGCCTGATGAGGCACTGGCTGCACTATAGTTCCTGTAAAACTACAACTCCCAGGATGTGCATTGCTTGGAGCCATGGCAGTGAACGTGGAACCAAGCCAAACAGCATTATTTCTGCAGTGCAGATGCACCCAGAGATACCGTGCCTTTTATGGGCCCATCCTAGCGGTTCAAAGTGCAGAAAGAAGAAAGGGTGCAGCGATAAAGATCCGCCCGGCTTTGGCAAATCGGAGAAGTTGGTTCTCTTCTCGCTTGTCCCAGAAGGCGACTTCCACCCCTCGCTGCCACTTTTGGGCTCTTGGCCATGAATTGGAAATATATTGTTGGCTTCACCCTTGCTGCCGCTGGGATACTGACCATTGGGATCTTACTGGGACATTTTGCCATCCCAAAAGAATCCCAAACTTCTGGCTCGGACCATGCCGTTTCCAAAGATCTGGATCCAGCCCTGCTTGAAGACTTCATGAACCAGGTGGACGCCGCCAGGATCCGAGAGAACCTCAAGTAAGGAACAGGGAGGAATCCCATCGCTTGGTCCCAATTAATGTAATCCTATAGAAGCCATTGTTGGGTCAATTGGGTTTCAGTTCATCAACATTGACACTGAAATACAACACCGCCAGAGCTCTGCAAGTGCAGCATCTTCATCAGCTCTTGTTTCCCTTTTGTCTTTTCCAGTATTTCAACCATTCTTCCTTTCTCGCTGGGTTAAAATACTCATCTTCATTGGGTTTTGTTGGCAGTCTCCAAAATGGGGGAAATCACCATCCACATCTGGAACCCTGATAGGTTTCCTTCTTATCATCCTTCCTGCCCTTCTCTGAATCTGCTCCAACTTGTTTCTCTCCTGCTTAAAACTGAGGATGAGGCAGAGAACAAAGTTTATTTATTTATTTATCGATCGTGTCAGGAGCAAACCAAACAGTTGTATTGCATTTTTTAAACATACAAACATACAAACAAACAAAGCACTAAGTTTGCAAGCTTGGTAGTTGATTAGATGTACCTGGCCCCTTGGAGTGCCTCTGGTGTTGCTGCAAGAAGGTCCTCCCTTGTGCATGTGGCTGGGCTCAGGTTGCATTGCAGTAGGTGGTCAGTGGTTTGCTCCTCTCCACACTCGCATGTTGAGGATTCCACTTTGTGGCCCCATTTCTTGAGGTTGGGTCTGCATCTCGTGGTGCCAGAGCGCAGTCTGCTCAGCACCTTCCAAGTCGCCCAGTCCTCTGTGTGCCCAGGGGGGAGTCTCTCATCTGGTATCAGCCATGGATTGAGGTTCTGGGTTTGAGCCTGCCACTTTTGGACTCTCGCTTGCTGAGGTGTTCCAGCGAGTGTCTCTGTAGATCTTAGAAAACTATTTCTTGATTTCAGTCGTTGACGTGCTGGCTGATACCCAAACAGGGGATGAGCTGGAGATGTCTCTGCTTTGGTCCTTTCACTATTGGCTGCTACTTCCCGGTGGATGTCAACACCGGCTAGACAGTGTAATTTCTCCAGTGGTGTAGGGCGCAGACACCCCGAGATAATGCGGCATGTTTCATGAAGAGCCACATCCACTGTTTGAGCGTGGTGAGATGTGTTCCACACTGGGCATGCGTACTCAGCAGCAGGACAGATGTCTTCACTGTCTCTGGTTGTGATCCCCAGGTTGTGCCAGTCAGCTTTCGTATGATATTGTTTCTAGCACCCACTTTTTGCCTGATGTTCAGGCAGTGCTTCTTGTAGGTCAGAGCACGGTCCAGAGTGACTCCCAGGTATTTGGGTGTGCTGCAATGCTCCGGTGGGATTCCTTCCCAGGTCATCCTCAGAGCTCGGGATGCTTGTCTGTTCTTAAGGTGAAAAGCACATGTCTATGTTTTAGATGGGTTAGGGATCAGCTAGTTTTCCCTGTAATAGGCGGTAAGGACACCTAGAGCTTCGGAGAGCTTCTGTTCTACCATCTCAAAGCTCCCTGCTTGAGCAGTAATGGCAGGATCATCAGCATAAATGAAGCTCTCTGTCCCTTCTGGCAGTGGCTGGTCATTTGTGTAGATGTTGAACATGGATGGAGCAAGCACGCTCCCCTGAGGCAGGCCGTTCTTCTGTTTCCGCCATCTGCTTCTCTGGCCCTGGAACTCAACAAAAAAGCTCCTGTTTTGTAGCAGGTTTCCTCTGAGGCGGGTGAGATGGTAGTCCTTTGTGATATTGTACATTTTTCTCAGGAGGAGGCGGTGGTTCACAGTATCATAGGCTGCTGACAAGTCTATGAAGACAGCTCCTGTGATCTGCTGCCTTTCAAAGCCATCTTCTATGTGCTGAGTCAGGTTCAGCACTTGTGATGTGCAGCTTTTGCCTTTTCTGAAGCCAGCTTGCTGTGGGATCAGACAGGGGTCTATTTTTTCTGTAATTTTATGCAAAATAAGTCTTTCCAGAACTTTGTAGAGGTGGCACAACGGGGAGATTGGTCTGTAGCTTTTTGGGTCATTATGGTTTTTGCCTGGCTTCAGGATGGCGATGACTCTTGCTTTCCTCCAGATTTTGGGGATCTGACAGGATGCAGTGCAGTTGTTCATCAGCTCCAGCAGCCAGCACCTTGCTTTTGGTTTCCAGGTGGAAGGCGGTCAAGGTTGGCTTAACGCACCTTCTTCCTCTTGGCATGTGTCTCCCTTTCACCCTCCATTTGTGCCTCTTCGAATTCCGCAGCACTGCTGGTCACAGCTGACCTCCAGCGAGAGTACTCAAGGGCCAGGGCTTCCCAGTTCGTTCTTGGTGTCTATGTCACAGTTTTAAAGGTTAACTTTAAGTCCATCTTTCAATCTCTTTTCCTGTCCACCAACATTACATTTCCCATTCTTGAGTTGGGAGTAGAGTAACTGCTTTGGGAGACGGTGATCTTTGGGCATTCAGACAACGTGGCCTTCAGTCCAGCGGAGTTGATGGCATAGGAGCATTATTTCAATGCTGATGGTCTTCTTCCAGGACGCTGACATTTGTCCGCCTGTCTTCCCAAGAGATGTGCATGATTTTTGGGAGGCAACGCTGATGGAATCATGCCAGGAGTTGAGTGTGACATCTGTAGACAGTCCATGTTTCACAGGCATATAAACAGGGTCGGGAAGGCAATAGCTTTATAAACAAGCACCTTGGTTTCCCTACGAATGTCATAGAATCCTAGAATCCTAGAGTCGGAAGAGACCTCATGGGCCACCCAGTCCAACCCCCTGCCAAGAAGCAGGAATATTGCATTCAAGTCACCCCTGACAGATGGCCATCCAGCCTCTGTTTAAAAGCTTCCAAAGAAGGAGCCTCCACCACACTCCGGGGCAGAGAGTTCCACTGCTGAACAGCTCTCACAGTCAGGAAGTTCTTCCTCATGTTCAGATGGAATCTCCTTCTTGTAGTTTGAAGCCATTGTTCTGCGTCCTAGTCTCCAAGGAAGCAGAAAACAAGCTTGCTCCCTCCTCCCTGTGGCTTCCTCTCACATATTTATACATGGCTATCATATCTCCTCTCAGCCTTCTCTTCTTCAGGCTAAACATGCCCAGCTCCTTAAGCCGCTCCTCATAGGTCTTGTTCTCCAGACCCTTGATCATTTTAGTCGCCCTCCTCTGGACACATTCCAGCTTGTCAATATCTCTCTTGAATTGTGGTGCCCAGAATTGGATACAATATTCCAGATGTGGTCTAACCAAAGCAGAATAGAGGGGTAGCATTACTTCCTTAGATCTAGACACTATGCTCCTATTGATGCAGGCCAAAATCCCATTGGCTTTTTTTGCCTGGTCCTCAAACACTATCTGCTTCATTCGGAAAAATGCTGCACTTGCAGAGCTCGGGTGGTGTTGTATTTCAGTGTCAAGGTTGCCTGACCATCTTGGCCTTGGCTCCGGGCATTCGGCGGAGCTGGCGCTTCTCGCCGCCCCAGGCTTCTGGACGTCTCAAGCTCAGGGAGGCCTGGCTTCCCACTGCGGCCATTTTCTTCGAAGGCAGAGACTCGGTCGCGGCCTTGGGAACTGGCGACTTGCCTACACTTCCACCTGTGGCCGCCTGTGTTGCCTGATTACACGCCCTGACGCCTTGACGCCTGTGTTGCTTGTCAACTGACTGTGCTGCGCAATCCGTTGTGCGGACTGACTGTGTTGACCGATTGTGTGTTGTACGTTATATGGACTAACTGTGTTGACCGACCATTCCTCTGCCTTGGGGCGTTATCATCCTGTGTGCAACGTGTGTCGAATCTCTGCCATCCATGTGACGCTTACCATCGCGTCCACTGTTCCACCTCCGGAAGGACTAGTTTTAATCGGTGGTCATTGTATTATAATTAGTTTTAATCGGTGGTCATTGTATTATAATTATATGCTATAATTAATTTTTATCAACGATTTGAACGGTGCTGTTATTTCTAGCTCGGCACTTTAATTTACCAATCACTTATAATTATATGTTACAATAATTCTTATCAACATTGAACGGTGCTGCTAAATTTCAATCCTAGCACTTTAGCTGCCAGCACTTTAGCTCATTTGCACTGAAGTGGTCCTTTTAACCTGCCTTACCTCAGCACTTTTTCTCCCTCCATGACGCACTTTATGTAGACACGTCAGAATCAAGTGTTATGCCTATTGCACTTTAACAAGTGTTATGCCTATTGCACTTTAACAACAAGTGTTATGCCTATTGCACTTTAACAACTTTTTATTATCTGTATAGTTGATATAATTTTGTGTGCACTTTAAGAACGAGGGATAAGCGGATTGACAGTGTTTTATTGTGAATTTTCTACATCCCCACCCATGCTACTATCCATTCCCTGGTATTGGTATCTGTTAACCCTTCTTGTAACCAGTGGTAGTATAGGTAAGGAATGGAGTGGACTGAGGAGTCCCGGAAGTAATATAGCATGGGATGAAGCTATGAATGTAGACTGCGTCATGGAGGAGGGAGGGTGTTCCAGTGGCCGGGGAGCCCCCATAGAAGTCGTGGTGGGGAGGGGGAGATACGGGAAAGGGAGACCTTTAATTCAGCCTAGGGAACGTGGAACAACATTAGTAATTCCAAATCGGTCTCCTGATATGGTAAGTAGGTGTAACCAGGATGGCGGGCCCTCTGGATTGAAAGTGGTGCTGTTGAACGCCAGATCTGTCAACGGTAAAACAGCTTTCATCCAGGATTTGATCCTGGATGAACGGGCAGATCTGGCGTGCATCACAGAGACCTGGCTGGCTGAAGCTGGAGGAGTGAATTTGACCCAGCTTTGTCCACCAGGTTTCTCTGTGCAGCACCAACCGAGATCCGGAGGGCGGGGGAGGGTTGCAGTGGTCTATAGAGATTCCATTCGTCTGACCAGGGGCCCCATCCCGCAGTCAACAAAATTTGAATGCGTCCACCTGAGGGTGGGTGACTGGGACAGTTTAGGGATTCTGTTAGTGTACCGTCCACCTCGCTGCACTACAGACTCCCTGACTGAGCTAGCGGGGGTGGTCTCGGACCTGGCGTTGGAGTCCCAACAGCTACTTGTGCTGGGGGACTTCAACGTCCACGCCGAGGCCATCTTATCGGGAGCGGCTCAGGACTTCATGTCTGCCATGGCAACCATGGGGCTGTCCCAACAGGTATCTGGCCCCACCCACAGTGCTGGACATACATTGGACTTGGTTTTCTGTCAGGGATGGGAGGAAGGTGGCGGTGTTGAGGAGTTATCCATCTCTCCGTTGCCATGGACCGACCACCACCTGGTCAGCTTTAGACTCACTGCACCCCCTAACCTCTGCAGAGGTGGAGGACCCATTAAGTTGGTCCGCCCCAGGAGGCTTATGGATCCGGATGGATTCCTGACGGCTCTTGGGGAATTTCCCGCCTCCTCGGTTGGTGATCCTGTCGATGCCCTGGTCGCTCTCTGGAATGGGGAGATGGCTAGGGCAATAGACACGATCGCCCCAGAACGTCCCCTCTCGAGTAGCCGAGCTAAACCAGCTCCTTGGTTCACTGAGGAGCTGGCAGCATTGAAGCGAAAGAAGAGGGTACTAGAGAGCGTGTGGCGTTCGGATCCGAGCGAGCCAAATCGAACACGGTTTGTGTCCTTTTTAAGGGCATACGCCGCGGCAATAAGAGCCGCAAAGAAGACCTTCTTTGCGGCCACTATTGCGTCTGCAAAGAACCGTCCGGCTGAACTGTTCCGAGTTGTCAGAGGCCTGTTAAAGCCCACCATGCAGGATGGGTGCCCTGATGACTCGGCAGCTCGCTGTGAAGCCTTTGCTCAGTTCTTTGCAGACAAAGTCGCTTTGATCCGCTCTGGTCTGGATACCATATTAACGGCAGTCTCTGAGGATGTAACACGAGCATCTGCTTGTCCGGTTTTGATGGATTCATTTCAATTGGTTCAATCCGAGGATGTGGACAAGGTGCTTGGAGGAATGAGAGCTACCACATGCATCCAGACCCCTGCCCATCCTGGCTTCTGAAGGAGGCCAGAGGGGGATTGGCCGAGTGGGTGAAGGTGGTGGTTAATGCCTCCCTTCGGGAAGGCAAAATTCCAGCCAGCTTAAAGCAAGCTGTGATAAAACCGCTGTTGAAAAAACCATCACTGGACCCCACTCAATTCGTCAACTATCGGCCTGTTTCCAATCTCCCCTTTTTGGGCAAAGTCCTGGAACGTGTGGTGGCCTCACAACTCCAGGCATTCTTGGTAGACACGGATTATCTGGATCCGGCACAGTCTGGCTTTAGGCCGGGGCATGGTACCGAGACAGCCTTGGTCGCCTTAGTGGATGATCTGCGCCGGGAGCTCGACAGGGGGAGTGTGTCCCTGTTGGTGCTGCTGGACCTCTCAGCGGCCTTCGATACCGTCGACCACGGTATCCTTCTGGGACGCCTCGCAGGGATGGGTCTTGGAGGTACTGTTTTGCAGTGGCTCCGGTCATTCCTGGAGGGTCGATCTCAGAAGGTGTTGTTGGGGAACACCTGTTCAACCCCACAACCATTGTCTTGTGGGCTTCAACCTGTAGGAAACAGGTTTAACATCTACATGAAGCCGCTGGGTGAGATCATCCGGAGTTTCGGGGTGCGGTGTCATCTGTACGCAGATGATGTCCAACTCTGTCACTCCTTCCCACCTGCTACTAAGGAGGCTGTCGAGGTCCTGAACCGGTGCTTGGCCGCTGTGACGGTCTGGATGGGGGCGAACAAATTGAAATTGAATCCAGACAAGACAGAGGTACTCCTGGTCAGTCGCAAGGCCGAACAGGGTATAGGGTTACAGCCTGTGTTGGATGGGGTCGCACTCCCCCTGAAGACGCAGGTTCGCAGTTTGGGTGTGATCCTGGACTCATCGCTGAGCCTGGAACCCCAGGTTTCGGCGGTGACCAGGGGAGCATTCGCACAGTTAAAACTCGTGCGCCACCTGCGCCCGTACCTTGGGAAGTCTGACTTGGCCACGGTAGTCCACGCTCTGGTTACATCCCGTTTAGACTACTGCAACGCTCTCTACGTGGGGTTGCCTTTGAAGACGGCTCGGAAGCTCCAATTAGTCCAACGTCGGCAGCCATGATACTAACAGGAGCGGAGCGCAGGGAGCATACAACTCCTCTGCTGCCCCAGCTCCACTGGCTGCCGATTTGCTACCGGGCTCAATTCAAAGTGCTGGCGTTGGCCTTTAAAGCCCTAAACGGTTCTGGCCCAACCTACCTATCCGAACGTATCTCGGCCTATCAGCCCACCAGGACCCTAAGATCTTCTGTGGAGGCCTTGCTCTCTATCCCGCCTGCTTCACAGGTGCGGCTGGCGGGGACGAGAAACAGGGCCTTTTCTGTGGTGGCCCCTCGGCTCTGGAACGCCCTTCCCATGGAGGTAAGATCAGCCTCCTCACTGATGGTATTCCGAAGAAGACTAAAAACTTGGATGTTCAAGCAGGCATTTGGCTAATTCGGTGCAATGAATGTGTTGATTACGGATTGGTAATATGGATGATGCAATTGGACCACGATTTTAGTTAGGAGATGTATTATTTATTTATTTATTATTTATTTCTTGCACTTATTAACCGCCACTCTCAGCCCTAGGGCGACTCGTGGCGGTGTACAAAAACATAGAAAAGACAATTTACAAAAATCATGACAACAACACAACATTCTACTAACACATAGCATCTAATTATACTAAAAATCCGCTTCGTCTTGACATGGGGACATAATCCGTCTCATAGTCGTAGTCCGTTCCGATCGTCATATCCAAAAACATAGCACTCAGTTGAAGGCCATCTCGAAGAGCCATGTTTTCAGGCCCCTACGAAAGGCCATGAGGGAGGGCGCCTGTCTAATTGTATTGGATTGTGATTTCGTGTAATATTGTGTATTATGTTTTTTATGGTTTTAATTGTATACTGTGCACTGTATATTTTGTTGTAAACCGCGTTGAGTCGCCAATTAGGCTGAGAAACGGCGGTATACAAGGACAGTAAATAAAATAAATAAATAAGGTTGACTTTTGTGCATCAATTAGATCTCAATCAAGAAATGATTATGGTAATTAATAATAATAATAATAATAATAATATAACCCCCAAGTTTTTGTCACACGTATTACTACTGAGCCATGCACCCTCCATCCCATACCTGTGTGTTTGAGGGCAACATGGTGGTCTCCCTTCTCTTACAAACTTTGCCCTGATGCTATGTCTCCCTTAGGGTCCTCTCTGAGAAGCCCCACATGGCAACAACAAAGGGGGACGAGGATCTGGTTCAGCTGCTGCTGACTCGCTGGAAGGACCCTCAATCTGGCCTGGACAATGCTACGGAGGTCCAGTATGATGTGTTTCTCTCATTTCCAGACCCGGAGAAGCCAAACAGCGTGGCTGTAGGTGAGGATAGGAAAGGGCAATGGTAATGAACTATTGGTTAACTTTGTGTGGATGCATAAACTGTGTTGGATAAATGTGTATCAAAGAGTTGTGGCAGCGGACCTAGGAAATGCCTAGAGAGGACCTTACTAGGTCCTCCGGCATGACGCTGCAATCAACTTCTTGCATCCTGTAGAAAATGGTTGGATGTCCATCTATCAGGAGTGCTTTACTTATGTATTCCTACATATCAGGGGATTGGACAAGATGGTGTCTAGGGCAATGGTTCTCAACCTTCCTAATGCTGCAACCCCTTAATACAGTTCCTCATGTTGTGATGACCCCCAACCATAAAATTAATTTCATTGCTACTTCATAACTATCATTTTGCTACTGTTATGAGCTGTAATGTAAATATCTGATATGCAGAATATCTTTCCATTTGCTGGACCAAATTTGGCACAAATACTCAATACACCCAAATTTGAATACTGATGGGGTTGGGAAGGGTTGATTTTGTCATTTGGGAGTTGTAGTTGCTGGGATTTATAGTTCACCTATGATCAAAGAGCATTCTGAACTCCACCAACGATGGAATTGGGCCAAACTTCCCACACAGATCCCTCATGACCAATAGAAAATACTGGAAGGGTTTGGTGGGCATTGACCTTGAGTTTGGGAGTTATAGTTCGCCTACATCCAAAGAGTACTGTGGACTCAAACAATGATAGATCTGGACCAAACTTGACACGAATACTCAATATGCCCAAATGCGAACACTAGTGGAGTTTGGGGAAAATAGACTGATGTCGAGCACGCCCCCCCCCCCCCCCCCCCCGCAAAATAAGGGATAGTGACTTATAGTTCTGCAAAGGACAAAGGTACCAGACTGCACAATAGGGGTTAAGTCTTGGTCACATTGCCAAGGCATTGACAACAACAAGGACCCCACGAGGCTTTTGGGATCTTGGGACTTCTGCCCTTTTTTGAGAGGTGTAGTTTCCCAAGGACCAAAGTGTGAATCAGTTGCAGCACAAATGGGGTTTCATCTGCCAGTCTTCCCAATGATCATGGACTCTCTGCCTGCATGTCTTGGACTTCAGTACATACTATCTCCCTCATGAACTTTCCTCAGACCTTTTAAAACATTGGACTTCAGGCTTCTTCATGAAAATTAATCCTCTTATTAAATATACTTGGGATGTGGGACAAAGATGGGGTTTTGTTGCTATGAAATGCTTATGATTTGAATGTATGTATCTTGCTATGAAACATTGCTTGTCCTCCTGTCTTACCCCCTGACTTTTGCCCTAAAAAATGTGACCCAGGACTGTTGAAATGCCTGAGGCAGGACTACCGCCTCCCTAGAAACTTACTTGATTATTTCACCTCTGCATGGACAATAGCAAGCTGAAACTTCCTCTTGTTTGCTTTGTCTGGCAGGCAAGGAAGTTTATCTGGATTGAATCACAAAGGGCAGGGTTGATCCCCCCCCCCCCCCCCCCGAGGTCCCCTGCCCCGATCCTGTTTGTTTTCCTTCGCCAAAACCCATCAAGGGCAGGAAAACCTTTCTTAATGAAATCAACTTTTGCTGGGCAAAACAATGCCCCTCTTCCGTCCTGCCTCCCTCTCCCTGATTTGCTAAGGAGCCAAAGAGGGAGGGAGTTTTGAAACTTTCAAACCTGTATTTTGCCTATAAAAATGCCTGTAAAATTCTGTATTGCTATACTTGCAGTGGAACTATTCCTACAATGCATCCGATCTCAGCTGAATCGCTAATAAAGACACCTCGGTGCCACTTCTTCGCCTTGGCAAGAGTCTCATTTCAATTATTAATATCAGTAAAATTGCTGGAATCAGGCTTCCCTGAAGGCTTGCCAAGGTAGCGTTCCCTCTTTGGTGGGAACTAAAGGTCATCTCTCCTTGGAGTTGACCCCCCTAAAGTCTGAGTTGGCTTCAAGACCTTGACATTTGGGAGTTGTAGTTGCTGGGATTTATAGTTCACCTACAATCAAAGTGCATTCTGAACCCCACCAACGATAGAATTGGGCCAAACTTCCCACACAGAACCCCCATGACTAACGGAAAATACGGTGTTTTCTGGTGGTCCTTGGTGACCCCTCTGGCACCCCCTTGCAACCTCCCCAGGGGTCCCAAACCCCAGGTTGAGAAACACTGGTCAAGGGGAAACTTCCAAGTCTAGGGTTCCAAAACACATGATATCAAGGGCGTTTGTCCAAGGAGTCAGAATGTGAGAGAAGAGAAGGGGAAAGAAAGAGAAGAAGAACGAATAAAGGGTGGAAACGACGTTGATCAGTGTTCCCCATTTATTTTCTTTTTGGTCTGTTTTGCGACAGTTTTGGAGAATGGCACCACAACGTTTGTCTCCCGAGAAACAGAAGAGGATCTGTCTACGGGCCAAGCGGACCAAGATGTCGTGAAGCCTTATGCCGCTTACGCCCCTCCTGGGAACCCCAAGGTACAAAGTAGGGGAGGAAATACCCCCCATGGGATTTGGACAAGATGACCTTTAGCAGTAATTTCCAATTCTATGGCATCACCAAGGCCCTGTGACATCACAAAGGCTCAGGTATTAGCTCCCAACTCCAAGGGTCCCAGTTCAATCTGGCAATCCCGATGGCCAGAATGTTTCACTTCACTTTTCTCCTCCTCTCCCCACTACCTTCTCATGTTCAATGTAAAGGGAGGTAACGGGTAAATCAAAATAAACAAACACAATCTGATTTTTGGCACCTTTCTGTATGCATTTTTATCCTTCCGTCTAATCATTCATCACTTTATCTTATCTTTGTGTGGACTTTGCCCATTTACGAGCCAAGGGAAGATAACAATCCACACTTGATGGCAAATGAGGAAAAGAGGGAATGGGAATTAACTTAGTCTTGTGTGTACCGTTCTCCATTTTCTCTGCCTAGCAGTCACCTAAGGTCACCACCAATTGTCATTTCCCTGCCAACGAATTGGAAAATCCGCTCTGGGTTTTAGTCAGAACCAATTATTGCTGGTAATGCCAACTATAGGGTGCATTTATATTGTTGACTTAATGTGAGTTGACACTATTTAACTGCTCAGTGCTATGGAACCTGACTCCTTGCACAAAATCTAAGACTCCAAAAGCACACTTCTTCCTCTTCCCTTGAGAAAGAAGCCCCAAAGTGACCAGAATCATGCTTTCCCAGAGCAGATATGATACTCTCCAAATACACCATCTCTCTCCTTCCCATGGAGCAGAGCATAGCGGGTGAACCAGACTCCTCACGTCTGCCACACTTTGAGCATTATTAGACTGAGTCTTTTATAGGAATATTCCGCTGATGTCGTCCCAAAGTTGCAAATTAATGATAGACGTCTTCCATCCTGGATCCACCTCAGTTTCCTGGTCAGATGTTGATTCTTCTTGATTGGTGTTGACCTTATGTTGACTTCCTTCTTAACATTGTAAACATTTCTGTTATTGCTGTCCCAGTTCTTATCAGAGTTTATTTTTCAGTTCTTATTAGTAACTTTTAATTACAATCCAGCAAGCAAGTAGTCAGTCATAGCAGGCCTTGGTCTTTTACTGGAGTTTCCAAAATTATTAACTTTATCCATATATCCTTTCATTTTTCCATTCATTCCCACACATATCTTTAATACACATTGATCAAATCTGCAATGATATTTTCGTGACATATTATGGAAGTTGTAGTTTTACAAGATGGCCCACCTTCTCTGCCCAAGAGTGCTGGTGCCTTACCAGACTAAGGAGTCCCCGGTGGCACAGTGGGGTAAACCCTTGTGCCAGCAGGACTGAAGTCCGACAGGTTGGAGGTTCGAATCCAGGGAGAGCATGGATGATCTCCCTCTGTCAGCTCCAGCTCCCCATACGGGGACATTAGAGAAGCCTCCCACAATAATAGTAAAACATCCAAACATTAGGATGTCCCCTGGGTAACATTCTTGCAGACGGCCAATTCTCTCACACCAGAAGCAAATTGCAGTTTTTCAAGTCGCTCCTCACACACACACACACACACACACAAACACATACACACACACAGAAAGACTAAAAATCTCATGATTCCTTAGCATTGAGCCCGGGCAGTCGAAAGTGGTTTCAAACTGCATTCATCCAACAGTGTGGATGCACCCAAAGACTCAAAGGGGATGATGTTTGGTTGCCATGGGTTTTCCTTCTGGACTCACTTCTACTTTCTTCCTTGCGTCTTTTTAGGGGAAACTAGTCTATGCCAACCAAGGCAAGACAAGTGACTATGAGTTCCTGGTCCAACAGCGGATCGATCTGAATGGCACCATAGCCATCACCCGCTATGGAGGGGCTGGACGAGCCGACAAAGTAAGTCTGAGATTTCAGGAAAAATCATATATATTCCTGGGATTTCTAGTTTGGTGAAGTACCTTTGGTACCTTAGAGGATGAAGTCGATTGCAAACATATTTGAAAGATTCACAGTGCATTCATGCTGCAGAATGAAAGACCTGGCAAAACCACAATCCTAGGATCAAAAATATTGAGGCAATTGGCAAAAAGTAGCACCAAGGCAAGGACTCCTAGGCATTGAACCCACTTGAACTGCCAATGACTCAATACTGTGGAATCCTGGGTGTTATAGTTTGCCAGATCTTGAGTGTCCTCTGCCTAAGAGGGCTGGTGTCTCACCCAACTACAACTCCCAGGATTCTATGGTTGGCAGTTCAAATGGGGTGAAACTACGAGGAATATCCAGAAAGTTAGGTAACAAGATTTTTTTTAAATACAAAGAATGAATATATTTTAATAAAATTTGCATGGATTGTAGCATAGGTATTACATTATTTGTCCACATAATCACCATTCTGTTCAATGCATTTTGTCATCCGTGGGACGGGTTTCTGATGCCTGTGTCACAGAAGTCTCCCGCCGCCTTTTTCAGCCGGTTCGTCACTTCGATTTTCACCTCGTCGTAGTCGGAAAAGTGTTTTCAACAAAGAGGTGTTCCTTCAATTTAGTGAGCAGAGGGTAGTCACTTGGTGCAAGATCAGGGCTGTGAGAGAGGTAGCTTAAAACCTCCCAACCAAATGAACTCAACAACTCTTGTGTTGCATGAGCCGTGTGCAGATGCACGGAGTGTCATGAAGGAGACAGACTCCTGCCATCTGCATCCCACAGTGTTTGTTTTCATAGAATCATAGAATCATAGAATCCAAGAGTTGGAAGAGACCTCATGGGCCATCCAATCCAACCCCATTCTGCCAAGAAGCAGGAATATTGCATTCAAATCACTCCTGATAGATGGCCATCCAACCTCTGTTTAAAAGCGTCCAAAGAAGGAGCCTCCACCACACTCCCTCTGGGGCAGAGAGTTCCACTGCTGAACAGCTCTCACAGTCAGGAAATTCTTCCTCGTGTTCAGATGGAATCTCCTCTCTTGTAGTTTGAAGCCATTGTTCCTTTGCGCCCTAGTCTCCAGGGAAGCAGAAAACAAGCTTGCTCCCTCCTCCCTGTGGCTTCCTCTCACATATTTATACATGGCTATCATATCTCCTCTCGGCCTTCTCTTCTTCAGGCTAAACATGCCCAGCTCCTTAAGCCGCTCCTCATAGGGCTTGTTCTCCAGACCCTTGATCATTTTAGTCGCCCTCCTCTGGACACATTCCAGCTTGTCACTATTTCTCTTGAATTGTGGCGCCCAGAATTGGACACAATATTCCAGGTAAAGTGGTCTAACCAAGGCGGAATAGAGCATGGAGAGCATGACTTCCCTAGATCTAGACACTAGGCTCCTCTTGTTGCAGGCCAAAATCCCATTGGCTTTTTTTGCTGCCACATTACATTGTTGGCTCATGTTTAACTTGTTGTCCACGAGGACTCCAAGATCTTTTTCACATTACTTGTAACATTACTTTCCGGATAACCCTCATACATTCATTTGACAGTGAGCTGAAAGACTCCTGTTGTGACTCCGCATCACAATTTTGTGGTTGTTGTTGGACTTTTCCATTTGTAACATTTTTTTTAAATTGTAAAAAATTGAAAGATTGAAACTATCAAAAAATCAAACCCAAATTAAAACCTAGAAAGTTTAATGCCATAATCTCCTATTTCGGCAGGCTATTAATGGAGCCAAATACGGTGTCGTCGGCGTAGTGGTTTATACAGATCCAGCGGATATCAATGACAACAAGGCTTCGGCGGAAGAGACGTACCCCAATTCGTGGTACCTGCCCCCTTCGGGAGTGGAAAGGGGCTCCTACACCACCTATTTTGGGGACCCCTTGACCCCCTATTTCCCAGCCAAAGGTGAGATCTTGTCCTGAAGCCCAACAAGAGTTGCTTTCATATTGATGCTCTGGTTGTGTGAGGGGCTTATTTATTCATTTAATATTCATTCCTGTCCCACTCTATAATCAACTCTTGCAAAATTAGTTAACAACAATAATGCAGGTTTGCAAAGTCGATTGTTATGAAGCTGTTTTAATGCTCGCTTTACAGGATTTTGGTCTTCCAAATTCCAAAACGGACCTCTGATTTGCTCCATTGTGTACATTTTGATCATAACAGTCAACTATGCTTTCTTTGGACAGTAAACAATGTGAAAGGGGTGAAAGTTTCTCTCCCTTATTTGATGTTCAAGATCCAGCTCTTGGTGGCTTCCTAAAACCGCCTTGAAGCAACCCATCTGCTCCTCTGATCTCACCTCGATTTTTCAGGTTTCACCTACAGGATCCCAGAAGACCAGATCACAGGGATCCCACCAATCCCTGTCCAACCCATTGGCTTTGAGGACGCAGAGAGACTCATTTGGTGGGTGATGCAAACAAGGGGCTCTTGGGGTGAAAAAGCGCGCAGGACACAAGGCACATCTACACTGAAAAATGAATGCAGTTTGACATTACTTTAACTGCCATGCTTTGGAATACTGGAAGTTGTAGTTTGGTGAGTTACCAACCATTTTTTTGGCACAGAAGGCCAAGTATGGTATCATCAATGTGTTAGCGCTAGCGGAAGTTTTGCACAGGCTTAGAAGAAAACATGGACTCTGGAGACGTCTGGTTACAAAGCAGGTTCAATTTACTTAGAGCAGTTCCAAAACACATCCATTACAGTAAGTGATCAGACAGGAAGTACACAGTATGCAAGACAAAGGAAGTAGAAGTGTAAACAATTCTGCAGCTGCTTGGCAGATACCAGATACTCCCTAATTTTCTCACAACTCAAGACAGAGAGTATCTCAGGGTTACTGTCTTACAGCCTCTAACATAAACATACATCACAGCAATACAAAGGGAAATCAAACTGCATCTGTTTTACAATGTAGATGCACCCTACGATTCCAATGTCACATACGCCGGCCTCCTTTTAGAAAATCTACCTTTTCCCCTCTTTCCCTTGCAGTAACCTGGCTGGCCTGAGAGCGCCTGATAACTGGCAAGGAGCGTTGGGTTGTAGTTACTCTCTTGGACCCGGTTTCCGTCAAGAAGGGGCATTCCCCAACACAAGGTATGTCTTTTAGATGTTGGTGTGCTGTCATGCGCTGAGCCTATAATAATTGTCTTTTGAACAGGACGTGCTCTTTGTGCCCAACAAGAAGCTGGGTTGCCTTGGCTGAGAGGCCCTAAGGATTTTCCTCTACAAAAGTCTTTAGATGCTTGAAAAGTTTAACAAAGTCCTTTATTATTATATTGTCAAAGGCTTTCATGGCCGGAATCACTGGGTTATTGTAGGTTTTTTCGGGCTATATGGCCATGGTCTAGAGGCATTCTCTCCTGACGTTTCGCCTGCATCTATGGCAAGCATCCTCACTACCTCTGAGGATGCTTGCCATAGATGCAGGCGAAACATCAGGAAAGAATGCCTCTAAACCATGGCCATATAGCCCAAAAAAACCTACAACAACCCATCCTTTATTATTGCTTAGATCTTCAACAATTTAAACAAACACTTCTCAGATCTTCAACAAGTCAAACAAATGCTTCTTAACTTGTCCAAATGGCTTCGTGAACTGATTCTTTTCTTTAAGAGGAAAACCCTTTTTAACCCCTCCCAGGCAATTTACTTTCTATGCTTGCTGGTGTGGGCTCTACTCCCGGCTCCAATTGCTTCTGGTTACCCGAGTAGACCTACCAGTCAAGACTCTGTAGATTCTCCAGCTGGAGTTCTTTTGGATCTTTTCCACGAAAGATGTGGAGCTGTTTCCTCCGGATGCTGTGAGAAACGAAGCTTGTCTACAGATGGAGCTGATCCATGTCCTGTAGCTAAGCTTTCCACCATAAGACTGAACTAAAAATTGTTTCCTTTTCCTCCCAGAGCCCTGGAAAAAGGGGCAGAACCAAAACCTAACAATGATAGGCAGGTCATTGGCCCTATAATTGCAAACCAAGGGAAGCCACCTTATTGCAAAATGCATGGAACCTTGGAATAAATGCAAACGCTCAATAGAAAGAAAATGAAGCTGAAGCTCCTGGTACAGCCGTACCAGCACAGTTGGCATGCACCTAGGTTAGACATTTATAGCTGTAATTAGAATCGTAGAATCATAGAGTCGGAAGAGACCTGGTGGGCCATCCAGTCCAACCCCATTCTGCCAAGAAGCAGGAAAACCACATTCAAATCACCCCTGACAGATGACCATCCAGCCTCTGTTTCAAAGCCTCCAGAGAAGGAGCTTCCACCACTCTCTGGGGCAGAGAGAGAGAGAGAGTTCCACTGCTGAACAGCTCTCACAGTTAGGAAATGCTTCCCCATGTTGAGGTGGAATCTCCTTTCCTGTAGTTCGAAGCCATTGTTCCATTGCAACCTAGTCTCCAGGGCAGCAGAAACAAGCCTGCTCCTTCTTCCCTAGGACTTCTCCTCACATATTTAAATCTGGCTATCATGTCTCCTTTCAACCTTCTCTTCTTCAGGCTAAATGTCACCATCTCCCTAAGATGCTCTCAATATAGAGTGTTTTCCAGACCTTGGACCATTTTGCCCACTCTTCTCTGGATATTTTCCACCTTGTCCACAGCTGTTTTGAATGGTTTTGCCCAGAACCGAACTCAGGGTTATTCCAGATGAGATCTGACCAAAGCAGAATGGAGTCTGACTATGACTTCTCTTTTTCGGACACCACAGTTCTTTTGATGCAGCCTAGAATCACATTGGTCTTCTAAGCTCCTATTTGACATGTGTTGATTTGTTCCAGCTCATATTCTTCTTAAATTGTGGACTGAGCTGGCTGGGTTTTCATTATTTTGCAAGGGGATAGCTGACCAAATCTGGAGATCCAGAGTGGATTAAACACCTGTGCCGGCAGGATTGAATACCGACAGGTCGCAGGTTCGAATCCGGGGATAGGCGGATGAGCTCCCTCTGTCAGCTCCAGCTCCTCATGCAGGGACATGAGAGAAGCCTCCCACAAGGATGATAAAACATCAAATCATCCGGGCATCCCTTGGGCAACATCCTTGCAGATGGCCAATTCTCTCACACCAGAAGCGACTTGAGCTCCTGACACGACAAACACACATACACACACACACACACACACACCATTGGATATGGGTTCCACAATCCCAACTCTGATGTGTTTCTTTTCCTTTCCAGCGATGTCCAGGTGAATGTTTATAACCAGGGAAGGATCAAAGCATCTTCAAATGTAATGGGGCTGATCCGGGGAAGCGTTGAGCCAGGTATGCTGCCATAGGAGGAGGCAATGATACTACTACTACTACTACTACTACTAATAATAATAATAATAATAATAATAATAATGGCTCTGTTAAATCCTGGGATTTGAAATGTGGTGGGAGACTGAGAACTTGAACCATATGGTGCAACAGGGCTTTCTAAGTCCTTCCTGAAGCTCTACATCATGGAGCATCTTAACCATGGAATAAGAAGACCTTGTGCCTGTGTTTTAGTCCTGTCCACACAAGTATTTGCACCTCATCCTCTTCTCCTCTCCTAGACCGTTATGTCCTCTATGGAAACCACAGGGACAGCTGGGTCCATGGCGCTATCGATCCCAGCAGCGGGACAGCGGTAATGTTGGAGGTCACTCGGGTCTTGGGAACAATGGTCAAGGAAGGTGAGCTGGGAACAGATGGTGGACCGCTGGGGTTTGAGTCCAAACTTGGAGGATGCTGTCACTTGGTGGAGATAGAGTTTCCTTCCTGAAATGTGGCTTAGTCTCTGAAACAGCAAAATAACTTCACCATGAGAACCTTTCAAACATCTAGTAGCCACTTGAATCTTTTTAAAGCTAAACATGTCTCCATGTGTTCCTTCCTTCAAGTCAACTCATGGGAGTCCCATGACTTTCATATGGTTTTCTCGTGCAAAGAATGCTCTAAGATGGTTTCCTCTGAAACAGAGCTTGGGCTTCCTTGGTGGACTCCCATTTAAGTCCTAACTGGGGCTGATCCTGCTTTGCCCTGAGAGTATTTAGATGACTCTTTCTGTTGACTTATGGCCATCCCATTAATTTTTCAGAGGGTTTTCTTAGGCTGGGGATACTCAGAGGTAATTTTGACAGTTCCTTCCACTGAAATATGGTCTCCAATACCTGGTTCTTCCTTGGTGGCCTCCCATCCAAGTCCTCACTGCGGCTGACCATGCTTAGCTTCCTAAATCAGATGGGATTTCAGTCTCTCAGGATAGTTACCCATCTACTAGATGGACTTTAGTGGGCCAGACTTTAGGGAACATCAACACTGTTGGATGAATGCAGTTCAACACCTCTTGAATGGCCTTGGCTCAAAGCTATGGAATCCTGGGAGCTGTAATGTGGTCAGGATCCAGCCCTCTTTGGCAGAGATGGCAAGAGACCTTGCCAAACTATGACTCCCAGGGTTCCATAGCATTGAAACCTGGCAATTCAAGCTGTGTCAATCTGCATTCATTCCACAATGTGGATGCACTGCTAGTCCAACAAGGACAAATCTCACAGTGCTAAAAAGTTAGCTAGTCCTTCCCAGTACTTTGCACATGCCATCCAAACAATGAGGAATTCAGGTCTGGTCCAGTCTTTCTTTTCTTCTTTCAGGAAAATGGCGCCCACGACGCTCCATTATTTTCGGCAGCTGGGGGGCTGAGGAGTTCGGTCTCATTGGTTCTACAGAGTACACAGAGGTAAAAGGTCCCGGAACGTTAGGCCATAGGCCCCCTTACTTTTGCTGGAATCAGGAGTACAAACTTGAGAGTGTGGCTCTCTAGAAAATTCTCAGTCTTCCAATACATTCCTTTGGTCAACTTCCAAAAATATCATTCCACAGGATCTAAAAATGTTCTCTCTAGAGATCTCTAAATTGAAATTGAATCCAGACAAGACAGAGGTCCTACTGGTCAGTCGTAAGGCCGAACAGGGTATAGGGTTACAGCCTGTGTTAGACGGGGTTACACTCCCCCTGAAGACTCAGGTTCGCAGCTTGGGAGTGATCCTGGACTCATCGCTGAGCCTGGAACCCCAGGTCTCGGCGGTGGCCGGGAGAGCTTTTGCACAATTAAAACTTGTGCGCCAGCTGCGCCCGTACCTTGGGAAGTCTGATCTGGCCACAGTGGTCCACGCTCTTGTCACATCCCGGTTGGATTACTGCAATGCACTCTACGTGGGGTTGCCTTTGAAGACTGCTCGGAAACTTCAATTAGTCCAGCGAGAAGCAAGATTACTCACCGGAGCGTCATACAGGGAACATACCACCCCTCTGTTATGTCAGCTCCACTGGCTGCCGATCCAGTTCCGAGCACAATTCAAAGTGCTGGTTTTGACCTACAAAACCCTATACGGTTCCGGCCCAGCGTACTTGTCCGAACGCATCTCCCTCTATGTCCCGCCTCGGAGTTTAAGATCCTCTGGGGAGGCCCTGCTCTCGACCCCGCCACTATCACAAGTGAGGCTGTGGCGGGGACGAGGAGCAGGGCCTTCTCAGTGGTGGCCCCTCACCTGTGGAACTCACTCCCCGGGGAGATTAGAACAGCGACTTCCCTTTTGGCGTTCAGAAAAAAATTGAAGACCTGGATATGGGACCAAGCTTTTGGATATTCTGGCAGCTAAGGAAAGATCTGACGATAAACAAGGGCGAACGGAATGGAATGGATAAACGGACTCTGAACACTGAGCATGAGATTGTTTTGCTATTTTACTATGTATTAATGTTTTTAACTTGTTAATCGTTTAAATTGCTTTTATGTATTGTTTGTTTATTGATTTAGGCATCGACTTGTGCCTTCGTTTGTAAGCCGCCCTGAGTCCCCCCTCGGGGGTGAGAAGGGCGGGGTAGAAGTAATTGAAATAAATAAATAAATAAATAAGTTCTCTAATTTGACTATGCTCTGTTTTCATAATAATTATTCTGGAGGACCTAGAAGTGTTCTCTCTACGAATCTCTAGGTTCTCCAATGTTGCTCTATGATCAACTTTAAAAGGAAGCATTCTGAAGGACCTACAAATGTTCTCTATAGGAATCTCTAGGCTCTCCAGCATAACTCTATGGGGAACCTCCAAAAAGATCATTATAAGAACCAATAAATGTTCTCTAGAAATCTCTAGTTCCTCCATTATGAGTCTATGGTCAACTTCATAAGAATCATTCTGGAGGACCTAAAATGTTATCTCTAGGGATGTCTAGGTCCTCTACTGCAACTCCTTCATCAATTTTCAAAGAAATGATTCTGGAGGACTTATACATATTTTCTCTAGGAACCTTAGGTCCTCCAATGTGACTCTATGATTAACTTTCAAAGGAATCATTCTGGAGGACTTATACATTCACTCTAGGAATCTTTAGATCCCCCAATGTGACCTTATGGTCAACTTTCAAACAAATCATTCTGGAGGACTTATAAATGTTCTCTCTAGGGAAACCAGACTTCCGGTGAGCTCGCATGCCGGCAGGCTGGGTGCTCCTGTGCTCCGAGAGCACCAACTACTCTACTGACAGGGGGCAAGATTGAGACCCCCCCTCCCTGGCGGACCGAGGTCAGGGAGGTCGCCAAGCCAGTCAGGTGTCCGCCGACGACCCCAAAGATCCTTTTCCCCTCAAGGGAGAGGCTCGAGCGGGTCCGGCAGGGACGCCATTCGGCGCTGCGATTTGGAAGAGTAGGAAGCGGACCGTAGGACCGCAAATACTGCCGACCCAGCTCACATGCTAGAAGAAAGAAGAAAAGAAGGAAAGGAAGGAAGGAAGGGTGCCCCGAACCCTTGGTTTTGAGGTATCCTAAATCTATTTCTTATGAATTACAGCCGATCATACCCTTCCCGCGCCAAACCGGCTCGGAATACTTGGACAAAGGAGTAATGAAGGAATACAGATTTTACTAACTGACTACTAGGCTTTGTTGGTTCACCTGGTTCACCTGGCTTACCTGTAGGAGAACTGCATTTTGCAATTTGCTATTTGCTATTTGATATCCAGCTCAATATATGTATATATATATGTACTCATCTGAATCGATAAATCGATTCCCACCTGTAGGTACCCAGTGTTGAAGTGTCTTTTTCCCTTCCAGCAATTATAACTAATTTGACCACTTTGGCCACTACTACTCTGGTCTTTACTACCCTATTACCCTGAAGGAGTACGGATGAACACGGGAACCTGAGATCAAACAAATAAACATAAAACGCATAACGCGCAACGCGTGTTTTAACAGAGAGTGTAGCGCAGAGCTCCCTTGTATATCTTTCTGCATACTGCATACTGGTTTCTTTCTATATGCTCTACCCATGTTCTAAGGTTTACACTTCTGAAATGGTTGGCGCAAATTGATACGGAACCGACAAACTAGGAACTGGGAAGAAACACAGGAGGGAGAGGGATAAAGAGCAAGGAGAAAGGAGGAAGGAACGAAGGGAGAGCTACGCCACCAGGAGGATTCTGAATGAACTTAGGCAAAAGATAGTAAAAAAGATAGTAAAAACAGCGACTAATCATTCTGGTTTATTATCTCAATTGAGGAAGTTTGGGAGCGGCTCGGCCCGATTGTACCTATCCATTCATTCACACATGGGCGGACTCTCACGAGATCCGCCGGGCGGCTGAGGGCAATTAATGGCAAATCAATGGCTATCAATGGCAATTAACAAAGGCAAAGGAAAACAAAGGAATTTAGGGCTGACACTTACCTCAATCTCGTAGCCGCTCACCCACCAACAGAAAGCACCACGCCCCCAAAGACTCGCAGGAAGCGAGCGGGGGAAAACTTCTAAAAGGGAAACACTATAGAGACGGAATCCGGAAGAAAGAGAGAGAGCTCCATAGAAGAGCGGAGGAAAGACGGAGAGCCGAGGAGAAGGAAATCAGAAGGAGGTGGGAGCCGGTGAAGACAAGCGGAAGAGAAAGTGAGTGAACTAAAGAATTGGGAGAAGACTGGGTGGATTAGGAGGAGCAAAGGGGGAGTACACAGAAGATCGTAAGGTTGGCGATCGAGACACAGAGAGACACGGAGAGGAGGAAGAGAGAAACTACGCTGGGTGAAGCTGGAAAAATCCAAAGCAGAGAGGTGCGGGGGAAAGAAAGGCGACGTAACGGAGCCTGCCATCCTAACCCCCCTCCCTCTAAACTGAGGAGTAAAGAAACCAGCCAGTTCAGAGAAAGACCACATATTCAAACCCCCCTCCGATCTCCTCAAGTTAATGAGAAGATAAGGAGGATTGTGAACGAACCTGAATAGAGAGATAAGACACAAGCCCCTCCCTCCCCTCCCTCCCTAGAAGCCCTAACAAAAGATCTAACCCTGTCCCCCCCCCCTTTTTTTTTTTTTTTCCTTTTTCTCCTTTCTCCCACTAAGTAAAGATGTCCACACCAAAAGTGAAAGGAGACAGAGACATTAAAGAGCCCAAAGAGAACAAGGAGCTCAAAGAATTTAAAGAATTCAAAGATGCAAAACAACCTCCCAGAAAGGGTTCTGGCGCAGAGGAATCCACCTTGAAAGAACTGCTGAAGGAAATCAAAAGCATATCCGAGAAACAAGACGCACTAAAAGAGGACCTGAAGAACATGGCTGAAAAACAAGAAAAGCAACAGACACACCTCCAAAACCAGATGACGGAAATGAAGAAGGAATTGTCTCGAGAGATGGAAGACATAAAAGGGGAAGTAAAACATTTCCAAATGGAGATCAGACAGATAAAAACTGACAAGGAGAAACTAGAAAAAACGCAGGACCAACTAGAGAAGAAAATGGGAAAAGCTGAAAATAGATGCAATAAATTAGAGCAGATTCAGGAGAAACTGGAATTTAGAGAGCTAGAATTTCAACTGCGTTTCAGAAACCTAATAGAAGACCCCCAAGAAAATCTAAGAGAGACAATAACTCAGATACTGGCAACGCTGCTGAATATGCAGAAACAAGAAATGTCCCAGGAAATAGACAGGGTTTATAGGGTCACAACAAACTTCTCAAAAAGAAATAAAGTCCCCAGAGACATCATAGTACATTTCACAAAAAAAAGAATTCGTGATGAAGTGATCAAAAAGAACAGTGAAAAGCCAACATTTTATAAGGAAAATAGAATTATAGTACTTAAAGAATTTCCATCCTCAATGTTAGCGAAAAGACGCAAATATCAATTTCTGACAGAAGATCTAATACGACTCCAGATAAGGTTTCGCTGGGAAAGACCAGAAGGAATAATGCTGACCTACAAGGACCAGAAATTCTGGCTGACATCAGAAGAAAAGGCCCTAGCGTTTCATAAAAGATTCAAGAAAGAACTCAACCTTACACCACCTACTCAAAAAACCGGAGGCCGGAACAAAAAACGACGATTTGACTCCCCTGAACACGAACCACAGCTGCAAAACTTGACTATGGAAAAAAACGGAACAGGACCCAAGAAGACAGGCGAAACGGACTTTTTATTAAATCTTGACAATGAATGAACTATGTAAACAAATAAAGATTTTTTCAAACAATATAAATGGTCTTAATTCACCATCTAAGAGGAGGAAACTCTTTAACAAACTAAGTAAAGGCGGTTACGACGTAATAGCCTTACAGGAAACTCACATCCCCCAGAGACATACAGCACACCTCACACATAAAAAACTGGGTAATGAATTCCATTCATCTGCCCTAGATAAAAAAAAAGGGGTAGTTATTTACATAAATGAAAAAATTCCTGCAAAATTCGCATTCAGTGATAACGAGGGAAGAATCATTGGAGTAATCATGGAATTAGAATACCAAAAGATCTTAATATGCTGTATTTACTCTCCTAATGGCCCAAAAACTAAATTTGCCGAAAATCTAATGGATAAAATACTAGGGCACGAATTTGATAGCCTCATAATTATGGGTGACTTTAACGGGGTCATGGAAGCCACCCGGGATAAATCTAAAAATAAGATGGGAAAAAACAAAAAAGGAAAGCAGACAAGTGTCCTTCCAAAATCGTTCCAAAGACTCAAAGAAGAATTCAATTTACAAGACACCTGGCGAGTCCATAATCAAGAAGAAGAGGATTACACTCATTTATCAGCAAGACACAACACCTGGGCTAGAATTGATATGATTTGGACATCGAACAACCTAACATCCAAAGTATCCAGTATCAAAATACTAAGCAGAGATTACTCGGATCACTGTGCATTAACAATGACCATAAATCAGACGCGAAAAGGCAGGAAATGGAGATTAAACGATAACTTGCTAAAGAAAGAAGGAGATATAGAGAAAAATCTTGAAAAAATGAACGAATTCTTTGAGATCAATGACACACCAGGAATGAAAATAGAGACTCTATGGGATGCCTTCAAAGCCACGGCTCGAGGGTTCTTCATTCAACAAAACTCTATAAGAAACAAAATCAAGAGACAAAGAAGAGAAGACATCTCCACTTCCATAGATAATACAGAAAAAGAATTAAAGAGGAACCCCATGAACCCGACTGCAAAGAGAAACCTAGAACGACTACATAAACAAAGACAAGAATTAGACACAGAACACCTGGCTAATAAACTGAAATTCATAAAACAAAACTCATTTCAAAATGCAAACAAACCTGGCCGTTGGCTCGCCCGTAAAATAAGGAAAAAAATTCAAACCAACCACATAGTGAAGTTAAAAAAAGATAACAAAAACATAGTTACAGATAAGGAAATTATTAATGAATTTCACAACTTCTTCCAAGCGCTTTATGTGAACGACCAAATACCTGGCGACAAGGTGGCATTGTACATAGAAAGATTAAAACTGGAGAAGATAACAGAAAAACAGAGGGAAGAACTAAACAGAGAAATTACAGATGAAGAGATTGATACAGCAATAAAGAATCTCAAAAACAATAAAGCGCCCGGTCCGGACGGCCTCACAGGAGTATTCTACAAAACTATGAAAGAAGCCATCCGCCCCTACCTAAAAAGACTAATGAATAAAGTGATGATGGAAAAAACATTACCTGACTCTTGGAGGACAGCATATATTTCACTAATTCATAAAGAAGACTCAGATCCTCATAATACAAAAAGCTACAGACCAATATCACTACTAAACATAGATTATAAAATTTTTACAAACATTTTAGCCAACAGACTGAAACAATTTCTGATAATGTGGATCGGAGAGGAACAAACCGGCTTCCTCCCAGGAAGGCAAATCAGGGACAACGTAAGAACAATTATAAACGTTTTAGAATATTACGACCTGCATCATCAAAAGGAACTGGCCCTGCTTTCAATAGACGCCGAGAAGGCGTTTGACAGCCTAAACTGGGAATTTGTGAAGCTCCTACTTAAAGAATTAGATATAGGCCACCAATTTGAAAATGCCATCGAAGCTATTTATAATAAACAAAGTGCAATTTTATGGATAAATGGATGTCCTTCCGAAGAAATTATTATAAACAAAGGAACTCGACAGGGGTGCCCGATGTCGCCATTAATTTACATCATGGCTATGGAGACCCTACTGAAAAACATAAGAGAAGACCCAAATCTCAAAGGACTACAAATAGCGAAACATACTTTTAAATACAGAGCTTTTGCAGATGACTTAATCTGCATTATTGAAAACCCCAGAGAAAATATAGAAAAATGGCTGAGAAAGATCGAGGAATATGGAGAGGTGGCCGGACTGAAACTGAATAAAAAGAAGACCATGATATTGACGAAAAATATAACCAAATCAAAGCAAGAAGAACTGACTAGAAAAACAGGGATCCCAGTAACCTCAAAAATTAAATATCTGGGAATACAGATCACAGCAAAGAATTCACAACTACTACAAAATAACTATGAAAATAAATGGAAAAAAATTAGGGAAGAAATGAAGAAATGGAGGAACCTAGACCTATCGCTGCTAGGGAGGATTGCAGCTGTTAAAATGAATATCCTTCCACAAATGACATACCTTTTTCAGAACCTGCCAATAATCAGAACAAACCAATTACTTGAGACCTGGAAAAAAGACCTCCTGCAATTCATCTGGAAGGGACGGAAACCAAGAATCAAGTTTAGAAACTTAATTGATCGAAAGAAAAGAGGCGGATTCGGTTTCCCGGACCTCCAATTGTATTACGAGGCGTGCTGTCTATCTTGGATCAAGGATTGGATCCGATTAGATAAAGCCAAACTACTAGCGTTGGAGGGGTTCGACTTAAGATCAGGGTGGCACTCCTATCTCTGGTACTCAAAGGTCAAAATTGAAAAAAACTTTAAAAACCACTTCGTACGAGCCGCCCTTATAAGAATATGGGACAAATATAAAGATAGGCTGTACACCAAAACCCCATTGTGGATATCACCTTTGGAGGCCCAACATAGAAGACTGATTGGGGGAGAATGCTGGCCCAGATACAGAGAGATTCTGAAGAAGTCGGGGGGCTGCCTCATCCTGAAACCTCAAGAAGAAATATCACCTACTTTTAATAACATCTCCTGGTTCCAATACGCACAATTGAAAGAATATTTTAAGAAAGACAAAGAGCTAGGGTTCTGCGAGAGGGATAAATTCTGGGAAACCGTACTAAAACGGGATAGGAAAAATATCACAAATACCTACTTAATCCTTCTGGACTGGGCAACGGAAACAGAAGTCATAAAAGAAAGCATGATAAAATGGGCCACTAATATCGGAAGATCTATAAATTACAATGAATGGGAACAACTATGGAATAACAAAATGAAATGTATGTATGCTACGGAACTTAAAGAAAACTACTATAAAATGATTTATAGATGGTACATGACACCGTACAAGCTCAGCCTAATGTACAATGGAACTTCTAACAAATGCTGGAAATGCGGATCTCAAGTAGGAACATTTTTCCACCTCTGGTGGACTTGTCCAACAGCCCAAAAATATTGGAAAGAAATTAAGGAAAACATCCAGAAAATCCTGAACATTAAAATTCAACTTAAGCCAGAATACTTCCTGCTGGGAATCACAGATAACGATATAGATCTAGACCCAAATCAAGACGTACTCTTCAGCTATTGCTCAACAGCGGCCAGAATAGTATACGCCAGGAAATGGAAACAAAAAGAGTCCAGCACAAAGGAAGAATGGCTACTAAAACTGAGTGACTTAAAAAACATGGACAAGCTAACATACTACTTAAAAAATTATACAGGTATACCACAAAAAAGAACAGATTGGAAACAATTCGAAGATTATATGAAGAATCCCTAAGAACTTTAAAGACTATTTGAACCACAAAAGCTGTAGAAAACGGAAAAGAGGAATGTAAGGAAAGAAAGAAAAAAGAAATAAAAAGAACAAGAGCCGAGACGAAAAAACCTCAAAGAAAAAATGGAAAATAAGAAAGATAATGGAATCCGCTGGAAGGAAGATCGGGAAGTCTTTCCCCCCCCCCTTCCCTTCCCCCTTCCCCCCCCCTCCCCCCCATCTTTTCTCTCCTTATTTTCTCTCCCCCCCCTTCCCCATTTCCCCCTTCTTATCCTTCCTCTCCTTACCTCTACTTCACCTGTTTTCTACCCCCTCCCATTTTCACCCCCTCCCTGTATTTTTTATATGTGAAAATTTATAATAAAGATATTTATAAAAAAAAAATGTTCTCTCTAGGAAGTTCTAGCTCCCCCAATACAACTCCATGGTCAACTTTCAAAGAAATTATTCCGGAGAACCTATAAATGTTTTCTCTAGGAATCACTTGGTCCTTCAGTGTGACTCTATAATCAGTTTTCAAAGGAATCATTCTCTCTAGGAATGTCTCGGTCCTCCAGCATGACTCTATGGCCAAATTCATAAGAATTGTTCTGGAGAACCTTAAAATGTTATCTCTAGGGAAATCCAGAGTCTTCAGTGCGACTCTTTGGTCAACTTTCAAAAGAATTGTTCTGGAGGGCCTATAATTGTTCACTCTAGGAATCACTAGGTTCTCCAGTGCAACTCTCTGGTTGATGTGGAGGTTGAAAGCAGCATCTGTTTTTCAGGGAAGAATGGGTTAAAAATAGGAAAATGGTTGGATGTTTTTGCTCTGAACAAGAAGACAGTTGGGAGTTCAAATCAAGAGAGGGCCTCCTAAAGCACATCAAAAATTTGTATACCACTTAAAGATAAATTCAACCACGACAACATAAATTTAGCACTAGGTTTAGAACAATGCCGACATGAACAAAAATCAAGAAAGATCAGATTCAAGGTATTGAATGGAGACATGATTCTAGTTATGAAAGGGAAGTTTCTTTGCCTAAAGTCATGGGCCATCTCTTCCTCTCTTGCAGGAATTCTTCAGCAAATTGCAACAGCGCAGCGTGGCCTACATCAACGTGGATATTGCCGTCTTTGGTGAGCTTCAGCAAGGATAAGAAAATGCACCTCTATTTCTTTAATGGCAAAGCACATGATCACTGTGCCATGTCAGTGGGATGTGGAATCCACTCTATGTTTTGGGCTGTAACTATAATTTTGTGATATATTTGGACACTATACTGCAGGGGTCCTCAAACTAAGGCCTGAGGGCCGAATATGGCCCTCCAAGGTCATTTAGCCGGCCCTCACTCAGAGTCAACCTAAGTCTGAAATGACTTGAAAGCACACAACAACAACAACAACAACAATCCTATCTCATTCGCCAAAAGAAGGCCAACACTTCGCATTGAAATACTAATAAGTTGATATTTGTTAAAATTGTTCTTCAATTTAATTATTGTATCATTTTAAAGTGTTTTTTGCACTACAAATAAGGTATGTACAGTGTGCACAGGAATTTATTCATGTTCTTTTAAAAATTATAATTTGGCCCTCCAACAGTTTGAGAGACTGTGACCTGGCCCTCTGTTTAAAACGTTTGAGGATTCCTGCTATAGTACTTATGCCGTCGCGCCTGGGGCTATAACTCTTAGTGAAAGAGACATAGACGTGACATCTTTCCCCCAGGGGATTGCTTCTTGCCTTCCTTTAAAGAACTGGAACTCCCAAAGACCAAAACACTGTAGATAACTCAAAATAGGTTTTATTGTCCACAAAGAGTTATCCCTGTAAGGCAATAAGCTGGAAGTTTCAAAGAGGTAAAGAAATATACATTAGAGTCTCTGGTTGTCTTGGGTCCAAGGAGATTTCGCAGCTGAGAAGCTTTTAAAGGTTCCCTCTTTCTCAATGGTTGCAAATGCCTGAACATTCACACCCCCAATCCAAATGGCCTATATTTGAAGACACGGAGCCTTCCTCTGATGCCACAGGACCGCTTTGAAGGCACTTGGGTCTCCTCAACGTTGTCCAGGGTGATCTGGGTATGAAGCATGAGTCCCAAGGGTAAAAACCTTAGAATTTATATTGAGAGGTAACTTAATTAAGGGCTTTAGAGCCAAGTCTCTTTCTCACGTCTATCTGATAGAAAGTTTGATGGTAGAATGGAAAAGGAAAAGCTCTGCCCTCCTCCAGGAAGAGGTAGAGCCAAGCAATTGAGCTGAGGAAGCAATATAACTGGTGCAAACAACATTGATTGACAGCTATAAATAACCAATCAATCCAACGATACATTTACAAACTAGGCACGTTTGGGCAAGTTATACAGTTTAAACCTTTGCACTTTAAAGTTCTACACACAGGTGGCGCCACTCACGCCGTCACAGTGCTTATGTATCCATCCCTTCTTGTGTATTTCTCCTTTGGCAGCCAACGCAACCTTCAGGGCTCAAGGAACCCCACCAGCCCAAAAGGTCATCTTCCAGGCAGCTCAGCAGGTAACTTCCCAAAGAGATCTCCAGAATGGATACTAAGAGAGTAGTGGACAGGCCCACACTGGGCAGTCATGGGATTTCGATACCTGCAGCCAGGGAGGGGCAGTCAAGGAAATGGTGAGCCCTTCCTTGCCAGGAGGAAGCTGGTCTGGGTTTAATTCCCAATTGGAAATGGAGTCTCACCTTTCCTCTCCAGGTGAAGACCCCAGCCAATCCATCCATCTCGGTCTACGAAAACTGGAAACAGCATTTCAACCGGAGCAGTTCTGTCTACGGCGTCATTCCCAGGTGGAAACAGGGGCTGCTTTCTTTCTTTGGAACTTCAACATCACTTCACTTTCTTCTGCCAACACAAACCAGATTCCCTCCCTCCTCCTCTTCTTCTTTCTTCCTTCCCTCCCCCTCCTCTTCTCCTCTTCTTTCTTCTTCCTTCCCTCCCTCCCTCCTTCCTTCCTCTACTCTTTCTCCTCCTTCTCCTCCTTCTCCTTCTTCTCTTTCTCCTGGGCACCGCAATCGAAGGGAGATGTTGACTATAAGCTGGAATGTGTCCAGAGGAAGAGGGGCACTCAAAGGATAGCAAGCCCTATGAGGAGCGGCTTCAAGATCTGGGCACATTTAGCCTGCAGAAGAGAAGGCTGAGAGGAGACGTGAGGAGGGCTAAGTATAAATTCATGGGCGGAAGTACTAGGGAGGAGGGAGCAGTCTTATTTTCTGCTGTCCTGGAGCAATGGCTTCAAACTACAGGAAAGGAGATTCCACCTGAACATGAGGGAGAACTTCCTGATGGTGAGAGAGAGCTGTTCAGCAGTGGAACTCTCTGCCTCAGAATAATGGGCTCTGGAGTCTCCGGTAAAAGCAGGTTTTCTGATTTACTTAAGCAGCTCAAAATAGACAACATACACCATCAGCGGACAGACGTGAAGAACACAAACCGAAAGAGATAGGAACCAATACAAACTGCAGCTGGAAGGAAGTTTATCTCTGGCACTCCCTAATCTTTCACAGAGCAAGAACTCAGGGTCACATTTTCACAGCTTGTTACTTTGCTGTTTAACCCTTCTGTGTCAAAATACATCCTGGCAATACAATTCTATTACAATCACAATCCTATCACATAAAATTACATTTAAACACACATCATACATGAATTACACACTGACAAATCCATTATCAAATACGGAGGTGAAGAAGCTGTCTCGTGTATCTGAGAGGCCTTGGAGGTCACTTTCTATCTTTTTCCGTTCAGTTTAGGGTCTCTGGGCGCTGGGAGTGACTATGCCCCCTTTGTGCATTACTTGGGCATCACATCCATGGATATAGCCTACACCTACGACTGGGTGAGTGCAACCGCCACACTGAACAGGGCATGCCAGTTTCCTATAAACATTGACAAAGAGGCGTCTCTCATTTTTGGCAACTTGCTTTTTGTTAATGCACTCGTTCACTCATTCTGCTTTCCCCCTCTGTATTTGGCGCCATCTAGCTTCCAGTCTTGTAACTGCAAGCTAATGAAGGCTGCTTTCCCCTTTTCAACCATTTCCACTTTTTGACAGTGGATCCTTCGAATAAGCGGGGCATTCCTGCATTCACCCACTTTTTGAGAGCCAAGGTGATATAGTGGTTTGAATGCTGGAACCCAGTTTGAGGTCCCATTCCAGCACAGGAACCCTCTGGCTGACCCTGGGCAAGTCACCCTGTCTCAGCCTCAGGTGGACACCCCCTCCCCCATGAAGTCCCACTCCGCTTCCACGAGGTAGGATCTGGGTGGCCAAGGGAGGTTTCTTATTCTGTCGCTTTCCCCCCAGAGCAAGACTTCTGCCCGCATCTATCCTGTGTATCACACAGCCTTTGATACCTTTGACTACGCCGACCGGTTTATCGACCCAGGTAAGGGGTCCCAATGCTGCGTTATTTTATTGGACTTGTTTTCAATATATTTTACAATTGTAATTTTGAGCAAATTATTTTTTATAATTGAATGAATAATATTGACCTTTTATAGGTTTTTAATTGTACTGTTTGTGTTAACTTGTCAGAGGCAGTAAAGGGTAGCAGTTTGATGCCTGTAGTGAATTCTCTACCTGTTAGGCTAGGAAAAACCTAGAAAAGTAGTTCGACAGCCATTTTGGAAAGAGTACCGGGGAATCAATTTTAGTTACTCATTTCCTGAAGGGGGTGTGTTAAGAAAGAGCAGCTTTGGAGGGAAATGAGGGAAGACTATGATTGGCTGAGTGAAAGTGGGCGGAGCCTAACTTGGCAAAAGAGGGAGAAAATGACTTTAAGGGAAGGTTTTGAAACTCAGTAAGGCAGATTGAATCTGAGTGTCAAAGAAGAAGGAGCTGGGAGATAGTATTGGTGAAGGGTTAGTGAGATAGGCCTGAAAAATTGCTCTGTGGGCTAGCAGAGATAGCTAGTGAATAGTTTTCTACAGCTATTAGGGAGATAGCTGGTGGAGGAGTGAGAAGATAGATCCAGGGTAGCACTATCTGTGTAGGTGTTTAGAAATTACTTTCAGAGAGGATATCCTGTTGTAAATTCTTTGGAAGACTGAACTGCTTAACGTAGCCACACACCTTTATGCCAATTCTTTGAAACAGCTAAGCTTTATTCCTGATTTGTTCAAGTTCTCTTCAATAAACATCATTGTTTTATTGTTCATAACGCCTGCCTCATGTGTGCCTCTGTGGGTGAAGCTTTAACATGCAGTTTCAAGCAGCAAACAAGAATCTATGGTGGCAGCATATAATTTAAAGAACTATCTTTTAGTGTTATCTCAGAAACACAAGTCTGAGTGCTAAATCCAACACTCTCTTTCCTAAAATTCTTCAAGTAAGCCAAGGGCTTAATAGTGCTTTTAAGTTTGGTGGGTGCCAGCGGTCTTTCAAAAGGTTTTGTCGGCCAAAGAAGAAAGTTCCAGCTTTCATTAGTACAGCTTTATGATTTTGGGGCTTTTAATCGCAGAAGCCTCATTGCAGTCACAAATGGAGTTTCTGCCTTTAGGGATTTATATAGTTTCCCCCAAAATAAAAGCCTCTATCCCTCAATTCATTTATAATGCCACTCTCGGGATGTGCAGTTTTTCTAGATCTATGTGAAGCTGCATTAATTTTGCATTGCAGACACAAAAAGGTCCACTTTCAAACATCCATACGTCTTTAGTGGTAGGAATTTGAGGAATTGAGGGGAATCTGAATCAGGATAAAAACTGAGTATTATGATCTGCTCCAAGTCCCTGTTGAGAGAGAGAAAGAAAGACACAAATACTATAAATACACTATTATTGTTATTATTATTATTATTATTATTATTATTAGCTCTTAATGAGACATAATGGCTCTTAATGAGACATGCCGCATTATCATGGGGTGACTGCACCCTACACCACTGGAGAAATTACACTGTTTAGCCGGTATTGCACCACCTGACATCCGCCAGGAAGTAGCAGCCAATAGTCAAAGGACCAAGGCAGTGACATCTCTAGCTCATCCCTTGTTTGGGTATCAGCCAGCACGTCAACGACTTAAATCAAGAAATAGTTTTCTAAGATCTACAGAGACACTTGCTGGAACACCTCAGCAAGTGAGAGTCCAAAAGTGGCAGGCTCAAACCCAGAAACTCAATCAATGGCTGATAACAAATGAGAGACTCTGCCCTGGGCACACAGAAAACTGGGCGACTTGGAAGGCACCACGAGATGCAGAGCCAAACTCAAGAAATGGGACCACAAAGTGGAATCCACGTCATGTGAGTGTGGAGAAGAGCAAACCAGTGACCACCTGCTGCAATGCAACCTGAGCCCTGCCCCATGCACCATGGAGGACCTTCAGTGGCCAGATACTGGTCAAAGGACATTTAATCAACTACCAAGCTTGCAAACTTTGTGGTTTGTTTGTTTGTTTGTTTGTTTGTTAAAAATGCAATACAACTGTTTGGTTTGCTCCTGACACGATAAATAATAATAATAATAATAATAATAATAATAATTATTATTATTATTATTCTGCTAGAATTCTTATTTTTAGGGGGTAAGGTCCTCATCTTGCCTGAAAGAGACACGTACAGAGGTTGGCCTGGGTTGATGAATTTGGTGGAGCTTCCTTCCATGGAGGCTTTACAGCAGAGCTTGGATGGCCATCTTTCTGGTGTCCTTCCTACTTGGCAGAAGAAGGCTGGACTGTGTGGCCCTTGGAGGGCCCTTCTACCACTATGGCTCAATTATTCTGTTGCCCTTTGTGTTGTCCTTTGTGTGTTGCCAGGATTCACCAGCCACCAAACGGTGGCACGGACCGCCGGCAACGTCCTTCTGCGCCTGGCTGACTCCTTGTTCCTCCCGCTCAACGTCAGTGACTACGGAGAGACCCTGCAGCAGATGCTTGTGGCGGCCGAACAAGGCTTCCAGGCTGAGTTGGCGAAGAACAACGTCTCTCTGGGTATATTTCTGGATGGGAGACCAGAGGGAAGGCCTGGAGGACAATGCTTCAGGCAGTCCCCAAGTTACAAACATTCGACTAGCAAACGACTCATAGTAAACAACGGAGGTGAAAAAACAGGAAGTGAGAGAAATCTGCCCCTCAAAAGGGAAATTCACACCTGAAAGAGTTATTATCATGGAGAAAAGGGCCTCCTTTGAAGCTTTTTCTGCAATCCTTCTTTCTACAACAAGCCACATCTCTCAAAATGTAATTCTAGGACCGGGCTTTAGCACAGCTGGCTAATCACCAGCAGCAATAGATCTTATCAACCGAAAGGTTGGCAGTTTGAAGCTTGGGTTGGAGTGAACACCCGACCTTCAGCCCAGCTCACTGTCCACCTAAGCCAGGGGTCCTCAAACTAAGGCCTGGGGGCTGGATATGGCCCTCCAAGGTCATTTACCCAGCTCTCACTTAGGGTCAACCCAAGTATGAAATGACTTGAAAGCACACATGTTCTGTCATGCGCTGGGCCTGTAAAGAATTTCCTTTAGAACAGGACGTGCAACCTTTGCCCAGCAGGAAGCCAGGGGGCCCCAAAGAGAAGTTCTCAGAGGTATTCCACCACAAATGATCTTTAGATCATTTGTGGTGGAACAATCAAACAGAAACTTCTCTTGTCTTCAATAAAGCTAGACAAATGCTTCCAAGCTTTATGCAACTGGTGACTTCCTAATCTTGCCCTCGAAGGACAGGCAACTGTCTTCAATAACTTCTTCTTTATAAATGGAAAATCCCCTTTTTAACTTCTCCCAGGCTGACTGTAATCTAACCCTTACTGATGTGGGCTCTGCTACCGGGTCGAACTGCGTCTCGAAGCACCGAGTGGACCTACCAGTAAAGGCTTAGATATTCTCCAGCTGGAGTTCTTTGGTCTTTAGGGCTGTTTTCCTGGAAATTCTTTGGAGACTCTTAAGACTGTTTCCCCCTGGAAAGTCTTGGATGCTCTTAAGACTGTTTCCCCCCGGAAAGTCTTAAGGGTTGAAGCTTTTGTACAGGGGAAGCTTGCACACATCCTGTACATTAGCTTTCCTTGCTGAGACTAACTAAAAATGGCTCCCTTCCCTTCCCAATTGCCCTGAGCAAGGGGTGGAACGAAAACTTAATGATGATGGACAGGTGACTTGCCCTATGATTGCAACCAAAGGAAGCCACCCTTCTGCAGAGTCCCTGAAACCTTGGACTGCAAGCAAACATTTAATACAAAGCAAATACAATTGGAGCTCCTGGTACAGCCGTACCAGAACAACACAATAACAACAACAATCCTATCTCATCAGCCAAAAGCAGGCCCACACTTCCCAATAAAATAATAATAAGTTTATATTTGTTAAGATTGTCCTTCATTTTAATTATTGTATTTTTAAAGTGTTTTTTTTACTACAAATAAGATATCTGCAGTGTGCATAGGAATTCATTCCGGGTTTTTCCCCAAAATATAATCTGGCCCTTTGACTGTGACCTGGCCCTCTGTTTAAAAAGTTTGAGGACCCCTGACCTAAGCAGTTCAAAAACAGATGTGAGATGTGAATAGAGGAATTAGGAACCACTTAAGCGGGGTGGTATTTTATGGCACCATAAGTAAAATAAATAAAAAGGAAATACCAGAAATGCCAAAAAAATATAAAAAATTTCATTATTATTTCATTATTGGTGATTTTTAATGACAGAACCAATTAGGAACTGCAATTTATAACAAAATTTTGAAAGCTTTGTTAGAGTTCTGAAATTTTCACCCCCAGAACTTTGCCAACACTGTAGAAGCAAAGCACCAGCGCCCCCTAGTGTTCACCACCAGAACTTTAGTTATGTGAGTACTTTAGATGCACCTACAGCCAGAGAGGGAGGCAGAAACAAATCTGCTCAAAATACATCTAAAAGACCAAGGGAAGAGCTTGAATGTTATTATGAAAATGGAATGGTTGGAAGGACCATTGCCTCCTGATTTCTCCTCCTTTTTCAGCTCCACTCAAAGAAGCCATCTCCCGCTTCCAGTCTGCAGCTGCCGGTCTGAACCAACGCATCTCCGACCTGCAAAAAGAGGATTCTCCCAGGTGAGTATTCTGCCAAGGCTGAAAGAGTGTGCCTTGCCCCAAGGTCACCCAGGGGGTTGTCATGCCTGGAGCGGGATTCGAACTCTGGCCTCCAGAGTCCTAGCCCAGCGCTCAAAGCACACACAGAAAACCTGTTCTCAAGTTGCCCAGAATTAGTCAGAGCCATAGGAGCCACCGGTGGCACTGTGGGTCAAACCCCTGTGCCGGCAGCACTGCTGGTTCAAATCCGGAGAGTGGCGGAGGCAGCGCTGATGGAATCGTTCAAGGAGTTGCATGTTATGTCTGTAGACAGTCCACGTATCGCTGGCATATAGCAGGGTTGGGAGGGCAATAGCTTTATAAACAAGCATCTTGTTATCCCTATGGATGTCCCAGTCCTCAAACACTCTCTGACCTCACCTCTGAGGAAGCTTGCCATAGATGCAGGCAAAACGTCAGGAGAAATGCCTCTAGAACATGGCCATATAGCCCGAAAAAACCCACAAGAACTGAGAGACTCTCTGCTTCATTCAGAAAAATGCTGCACTCGCAGAGCTCAGGCAGTGTTGTATTTTAGTGTCAATGTTGACTTTTGTGGAGAGGTGGCTGCCAAGGGAGCAGAAATGATCCACATTTTCTATTGTCCCACCATTAAGCTGTATCTCTGGCATTGGAGAGGGGTTGGCTGGTGACTGCTGGAAGAGCACTTTGGTTTTCTCAATGTTTAATGACAGGCCGAGCTTCTCGTATGCTTCTGCGAAGGTGTTTAGAATGGCTTGTAAATCTTCTTCTGAATGTGCACAGACGACGTTGTCATCAGCATACTGGAGTACATTTTGTTGAAAACCTGGGAACTCTATGACCAAAACTGTTTCCCTTCTAACCCATCATCCTTCCCTCGTTTCTCTGAAGCCCCCTCCACATCCGGATGGTGAATGACCAACTGATGCTGCTGGAAAGAGCCTTCCTGAACCCCAGAGCTTTCCCAGAGAAGTATTATTACAGGTGGGCTACACACTCTGCTTTCTCTTGAACACCAACATTGGGACTGTTGAGGTTTAGCTGTGGTCGGGGTTGGACTAGAGGACCTTTGGGGAACCCTCCAGCGCTGTGGTAGGAGTAGAACTAAATCATCTGTCCCAGGACAACTAAGCTAAAGAGACTGTCTGTCTCTGATCCTGGAGGTGAAATATAATCCTCCAAATGAGCAAGCCATGAATAATCCTAATTCCGAGATTTTTAGCCAGCCCTCCTTCAAAGGTGTCCAAATAGGCAGTCGTCTTGTGGCAGTGAGTCCTTTGGTGCATCTGAAATGTTTAATGTCTATCAGAAATGTTTGATATCCATCAAAGGTTCCCAATACACTCCAGGAATGGTCAGTAGGCACCAGAAGTCTCTAGCTGCACATTGAAACTTTCCAATGCACTCCAGATGGATCCAATGGGCATCAGAAGTGCCGAATGCTCTTCATGTGCATTGGATGTCCCTCTTCCCTCTTGGCCTTGGGGTCACTCCTCTGCCTTTTCTCTCCTCTGAATGCAGCCACATCCTCCTGGCCCCCAGGTCTTCCGGCGTGGCCACCTTCCCCGGACTGGCTGATGCCGCCTCCAGCGCCGACTGGGATGGAGCGCACAAGCACATGGCCATTGCCAGCCACGCCATCGAGAACGCCGCCGCTCTCCTCGAAGCCGTGGCCGAATGACAGGGTCAATGTCACCAAGATGGCCCTTCAGTTGCTTAAACTAAGGAATAAAGCACCCAACCATTATGGGGAGTAATGTTGAACATGCTTCATGTGTTGTCAATTCATGGCCAGAATCACTGGATTACTGTGAGTTTTTCAATAGCATTCTTTCCTGACGTTTCACCTGCATCTGTGGCTGGCATCTTCAGAGGTTCTGTTAGCAGTGAAGCAAGTTGGGAGTGTCTATCTGTGGAATGTCCAGGGTGGGAGACCACCAGTCAGAGAAGGGTTTTCTCCCACCCTGGACACTCCACAGATTCCCATGCCTCATGTGGATTGCTATGGTGCTTATTCTCTGATTCAGACAAAACACCCTGTGAGGTAGGCCTGGGCAGCTCTCCATGGGGCAAGTGAGCCTGATTTGGAGAGTATTGCCCAGCCTCAGGGTGGCCAGAGAGTGGCCTTTGGTTCAGGCACAGCCTCAAAGCCATCCATGTTCAAGTTGCCAGCATTTGTGGAGACTCAGTTCTGAGGAATCCTTGGAGCTGTAGTTTGACCAGGTCTTCAGCCTTCTCTGCCAAAGTATACTTGGGCCTCACCAAACTCCAAATCCCAGGTATCAATTGCAATGAGCCATGATCATGAAAGTGATGTGAAACTCCAATAATTTGACAATGTAGAGCAAACTTTTTTGCTTTTGGACCACATTGTGGGCCTGGCTGAGAATGCTCTGCTGGGAGGGAGGGCAGCCGGGCATGCGCTGGGTGGGATTGGCCCAGGAAGGAAAGGGCCTGTGAGAGGGTGAGGCTGGCAGTGGGCAAGGCAGGGCCTGAGTCATTTTCAGGTTGTCCTCCTGGCATAAGGATGGGGCTGCTCTCCCCATCCTTATGCCAGAAGGAAAATGAGAAATGCGGCAACTTCCCAGATCCTTCTTCCTGATCCTCGTCCTCTTCTTCAGGCTGTCCTCTCAGGACCAAGAAGATGGCAAAACATGCAATGGCCAAGAGTGCTCTGGAAGGCTCTTAGCTGTTCCTTCCTCGGGCTGTCCTCTCACCATAAAGACAGGGCCTCTTGCACCATCTTTATGCCGGGAGGAGGGTGAGACATGCGGTGGCTGAGAGCACTCCAGAGGGCTCTCAGGAGCTGCGTGCCTTCCTCCCCTATCCTTTCTGCATAAGGATGTGGTGGGTCACCGTGTCCTTGTTGAGAGGAGAGGGAAAATAAGGAGGGTATGTGGTAAGCACCCAGAGGGCCGTATCCAGCCTCCGGGCCTTAGTTTGCCCATGCGTGATGTGGAGGCACCTAAAATTACAAAATCTAGGATTGGATCCAAATATCCAGCTCAGCTATGAGGAGCAGCTGTGCTCTGGGTCTTCCAAGCCCCTTCAGATCTCCCTTCCCTCAGCCTCAAACTACCAAAACAGGAAACATCCTTCAAGAGGAATACCCCTTCCAACTTAGCCGATTGTGGACCCAGGTCCTTCATTTCAGGCCCTTTGTAGGAAACAGAACCAAGCTCAGGAGCCCGGTCCAGCCAGAGGAGCCCAAGGGAAGCCAGACCATTTACCAGTTCAGCATTCCTTATCCGGAATTGGGAAATCCAAGCTGCACCAAAACTCACTATTGTCCTCCCAAGTGGCTTTCTGGTGGTCAAGATTTGCACCACACTGAAAATTACTCCAACTCTGGTGGAGTAGCCTTGACTCAAGAGTCCTCAAAAATGCCACAATCCAAAAGTATGGCTGGTAGGGACCACCCTGCCCTTTTGTGTCCCCCACTGGATCAATTTAAAACTCCCTACAGGCCTTGGATATGATGAGGTGCCTATGACACGTAAAGGAGTGTGTCCTTCTCTCAAGGATCTCATTTGGAGGATGCAGGAGTTCCAAACTCTGGAACACTTCTGACCCAGGCATTTCGGACCCGGGTCTCAGTGTGGGTGCATTGCCTTGGAGCACAGGCTGAGAGGTCTCTCTTGGAAAGTCTTTCACTTTTCCTTGCTCCAGGACTCCCTCCCTCTCTTCCCACAAGAGGGCACTCACCCCTTTCTCACCAGCCAGGATCCACCAATGAGATTTTGCCCTCCTTTGGTGCATCATCAATCTCCAAGTAGTAAAGGCTCAACTTCTTCTCTACCATTCTGATTCTGAACAAAACACCCTGGAGGGGCCAATGAGAATTTGCTTTCTGTCCGCAGTGTCATCTGTTTCCAGGCAGAACCACCACAACTTCACTTCTTCCCTTCCATCTCTGATTATTCTGGGACTCAAGAACGTGGTGTTGGCAAGCCCTGGCCGGGAGGGACCCCAAGGGTCATGTATTTGAACCCCTGAGCCTTGATGCCCAAGAGCCAACTATCCCTTTGGGAAGCCCCAGATTGAAGGGGGAGGCACAAAGTTTGAGACAAGGAAGGAGAAAGCATCGATCTCTTTATTGACAGAGGCACAGAGAGAAATCATGATCAAGGTTGCAGCTGCAAAAATAGGCTTGCTAGCTCTGGGAAGAAGGGGGAGGGGCAGGATTTGTAGCACCATTTTTCAAAGGAGGGTCTTTGGTGCCTCAGGAGAAACAGGGCAGCATTGGGACCCCCAAGGGGCAAGGAGGACTCCCCTTGGAGGAGGAGGAGGAGGGGCCTTCTCACTAGCAAGTCTTCCTCTCCAACTAACATTCTCTGAATTCCTCCCCCCCCCTTTATCCCCAAGGAAGCCCCTCTTTGCAATGAATGGGAGCCAAAGCCACCCCAAGATGCAGCCCGCCTTCCAGAACAGGCCCCCCAAAGCAATGCAAGTCGAGGAGGAGGAGGGACCACTGCTGGGTCCATCTTTGTGTTATGAATGACTTTTCAATGACTTTGAAGCATAGGTCATGCCTTCGGCATGGAGGAGGGGGGTGCTCCATTGGCCGGGGGGCCCCCATAGAGGTCGTGGTGGGGAGGGGGAGATGCGGAAAAAGGAGACCTCAAATTCGGCTTAATTCGGACCGCTTATCTACATTAATAATCCCAAACCGGTCTCCTAAGGTAAATTGGTGTAACCAGGTTGGCGGGCCCTCCGGATTGAAGGTGGTGCTGTTGAACGCCAGGTCTGTCAACGGAAAAATGACCTTTATCCAGGATCTAATCCTGGATGAGCGGGCAGATCTGGCGTGCATTACGGAGACCTGGCTGGATGAAGCTGGGGGGTGAATCTGACCCAGCTTTGTCCTCCAGGTTTCTCCGTACAGCACCAACCAAGATCCGGAGGACGGGGAGGCGGGGTCGCAGTGGTCTATAGAGATTCCATCCATCTGACCAGGAGTCCCATCCCACAGACCACAAATTTTGAATGCGTCCACCTGAGGGTGGGTGACCGGGACAGAATAGGGATTCTGTTAGTGTACCGTCCCACCTCGCTGCACTACAGTCTCCCTACCTGAGCTAGCGGGGGTGGTCTCGAGCCTGGCGTTGGAGTCCCAACGGCTTCTTGTGCTGGGGGACTTCAACGTCCACGCCGAGACAAACCTCACAGGTACGGCTCAGGACTTCATGTCTGCCATGGCAACCATGGGGCTGTCCCAACAAATATCTGGCCCCACCCACTGTGCTGGACATACATTGGACTTGGTTTTCTGCCAGGGATGGGAGCAGGGTGGCGGTGTGGAGGAGTTGTCCATCTCTCCGTTGCCATGGACTGACCACTTCCTGATCAGATTTAGGCTCACTGCGCCCCCTAACCTCTGCAAAGGTGGAGGACCCATTAAGATGGTCCGCCCCAGGAGGCTTATGGATCCGAATGGATTCCTGACGGCTCTTGGGGATTTCCCCGCCACCTTGGTAGGTGACCATGTCGAGGCCTTGGTCGCTCTCTGGAATGGGGAGATGGCCAGGGCAATTGACATGATCGCTCCGGAACGTCCCCTCTCAAGTAGCCGAGCTAAACCAGCTCCTTGGTTTACTGAGGAGCTGGCAGTGATGAAGCGAAGGAAGAGGGAACTAGAGAGCGTGTGGCGTTCGGATCCGAACGAGTCAAATCGAACACGGTTTGTGTCCTTTTTAAGGGCATATGCCGCGGCAATAAAAGCCGCAAAGAAAACTTTCTTTGCGGCCACTATTGCGTCTGCAAGGAACCGTCCGGCGGAGTTGTTCCGGGTTGTCAGAGGTCTGTTAACTCCCGCCACCTCAGGCGGGAGCCCTGACAATTCGGCCACGCGCTGTGAAGCATTTGCTCGGTTCTTTGCAGACAAAGTCGCCTTGATCCGTTCTGAGCTGGACACCATGTTAAATGCAGTCTCTGTGGATGTGACACGAGCACCTGCTTGTCCTATTTTGATGGATTCTTTTCAGTTTGTGAAGCCCGAGGATGTGGACAAGATACTTGGAGGAATGAGGCCCACCACGTCCATCCTAGACCCCTGCCCATCCTGGCTTCTGAAGGAGGCCAGAGGGGGATTGGCTGAGTGGGTAACGGTGGTGGTTAATGCCTCCCTTCGGGAAGGCAAGATTCCAGCGAGCTTAAAACAAGCTATTATAAAACCGCTGTTGAAGAAACCATCATTGGACCCCACTAAATTTGACAACTTTCGGCCTGTTTCCAATCTCCCCTTTTTGGGCAAAGTCATGGAAAGCGTGGTGGCCTCACAACTCCAGGTATTCTTGAGAGACACGGATTATCTGGATTCGGCACAGTCTGGTTTCAGACCGGGACATGGAACTGAGACGGTCTTGGTTGCCTTAGTGGATGATCTGCGCCGGGAGCTAGACAGGGGGAGTGTGTCCCTGTTGGTGCTCCTGGACCTCTCAGCGGCCTTCGATACCGTCGACCACGGTATCCTTCTGGGGCGCCTTGCGGAAATGGGTCTTGGGGGCACTGTTTTGCAGTGGCTCCAGTCATTTCTGGAGGGTCGCACCCAGAAGGTGTTATTGGGGGACACCTGTTCGACACCACAGCCTTTGACCTGTGGGGTTCCACAGGGCTCCATATTGTCCCCCATGCTGTTTAACATCTACATGAAGCCGCTGGGGGAGATCATCCGGAGTTTCGGGGTGCGGTGTCATCTGTACGCGGATGATGTCCAACTCTGTCACTCCTTCCCACCTGCTACTAAGGAGGCTGTCCAGGTCCTGAACCGGTGCCTGGCCGCTGTGACGGTCTGGATGAGGGCGAACAAATTGAAATTGAATCCAGACAAGACAGAGGTACTCCTGGTCAGTCGCAAGGCCGAACAGGGTATAGGGTTACAGCCTGTGCTGGATGGGGTCGCACTCCCCTTGAAGGTGCAGGTTCGCAGCTTGGGTGTGATCCTGGATTCATCGTTGAGCCTGGACCCCCAGGTCTCAGCGGTGACCAGGGGAGCATTTGCACAGCTCGGCTCGTGCGCCAGCTGCGCCCGTACCTTGGGAAGTCTGACTTGGCCACGGTAGTCCACGCTCTGGTTACATCCCGTTCTAGACTACTGCAACGCTCTCTACGTGGGGTTGCCTTTGAAGACAGCTCGGAAGCTCCAACTAGTCCAACGCTTGGCAGCCATGATTTTAACAGGAGCGGAGCGCAGGGAGCATACAACCCCTCTGTTGCGCCAACTCCACTGGCTACCGATCTGCTACCGGGCCCAATTCAAGGTGCTGGTGTTGGCCTACAAAGCCCTAAACGGTTCCGGCCCAAAATACCTCTCTGACCGCATCTCGGCCTATGAGCCCACGAGGGCCTTGAGATCATCTGGGGAGGCCCTTCTCTCGATCCCGCCTGCCTCACAGGCACGTTTGGCGGGGACGAGGGATAGGGCCTTCTCGGTGGTGGCGCCCCGGCTATGGAGCACCCTCCCTGTGGACATCAGACAGGCGCCCTCCCTTATGTCATTCCGCAAGAGCTTAAAGACATGGCTATTCGAGCAGGCGTTCAATTAAGTATCACAACAATTGATAATGACGACTGGAACGGAATATGGAATACGAGATTGGTTTACGATCCTATGCTGAGACGACGCGGATGATTTAGAGTAATTATTGTTATATTATTGATGTTACGTGTATATTGTGCTGTATGAGGGTTATATTGTAAACTGTTTTTATATGTTGTACACCGCCGTGAGTCGCCCGAAAGGGCTGAGAACGGCGGTCAACAAATGCAATAAATAAATAAATAATAGGTTCTTTTTATTGCAATCTCCAGTGTGAGAGGGTAGATCAGATTACAGAAAAAATATTTAGACAAAGAATGACATTGGACAGACAGACATACCGATTCTATGCAACTACATTGGTTAACAAACAAACAAACGGAAATTACATTTCCACTCAACATTCACACTACATGTACACACATTCATCCACATGCACCCAAATATTACCGTATTCTTTTCTTCCTCCTTGGAGAAGCACTTGTTAGGCCAGACGCTGATTTCCTGCAGCCTGTCAATGCATAGTTCCAAAACTTCCATAACACCAAAACTTCTTCCCTAAGAACAGTGCCAAGGACCAGATCTCTGTTTTCCATACAGCAGAACCTGACTCCCTGCACAAAATCCAAGACTCCAAAAGCGCCCTTCTTCCTCTTCCCTTGAGAAAGAAACCCCAAAGTGTCCAGAACCCTGCTTTCCCTGCTTTCTGTCACTCTCCTTAGGTACACTATCTCTCTCCTTTCCATGGAGCAGAGCATAGCGGGTGGAACAGACTCCTCAGGTCTGCCACACTTTGAGCATTATTAGACTGAGTCTTTTATAGGAATATTCTGCTGATGTCGTCCCAAAGTTGTAAATTAATGATAGATGTCTTCCATCCTGGCTCCATCTCAGTTTCCCGGCCAGATGTTAATCTTCTTGATTGTTGTGGATCTTCTGTTGACTTCCTTCTTAACATAAGGAATGTTGCAAACATTTCCTTAACTGGAAAGAACCATTGTCACAGTTCTTATCAATTCTCATTAGCAGGTTTTGATCACAGTTCCAGCAAGCAAGTAGTTAGTCATGGCAGGCCTTCATATTATACTGGTGCTTCCAAAATTATAAGCTCCATCCATACAACTTCCATTCATTCCCACACATCATATTAAATTCATATTTGTCAAATCTGCACATTGAATTTCCTGTGACATTTGCATGTTTATGCCCTTGGAGCCGGGCCAAGGCTGACAGCAGGGAGGAGGGAAGTTGGGTCTTCTTTGGCAAAGGAAGGAAGCTGAGTCTATTCCATGAGTCCCACTGAAGCAGAGAGAGGAGAGGAAGGGCAGTGAGTGGGGGGAAAGGCTTTCCCTGGCAGCAGGCTGAAGGGAGCTTCCCATTGCCCCCCTTTTCAGAGGTGCTATCATGAAACCCACCCACCCAGCCTGAAGGGTCCATCAGCTCCTTCCTGACCTTAGTTAAGAAGGGGTTCTCTTCCCCTGTGGAAGAGAGAGTGTGGCTCACCCCAAGCCCAGTGGGACAGGCTTCACCCCAGGCCCTTCTTGCCTATATTCCTTAAGCACCTTCTCCCAGGCAGACCCAGAGGCAAGGACATCATGGTTTTATCTCTGACACACACCCCCCTAAAAATGTTTGTGGCTGGAAAGAGCAGTCTTTACCTGTGGTCGGGGGTACAGCACAGCCTAGTGGGAAGAAAAAGGAGGAGAGAAAGGTCAAGTCAGGGCCAAGGTTGCCTGAGGGCTGAGAAGGGTGGTATACAAATATAGTAAATAAATAAATAAATAAATAAATAAATGGTTGCTCCAAAGGCAAGACACCCCCATCCTGCCCCCTTCCTCTACTCGCCGACAAAACGGCTCCTTGTGGGCTGACCCTCTTGGCAAGTCAATAGATGGTGAACCTGATGATATTGTCCTCTCAACATCATCAGGTGGCACCACCTCTCTGGCGTCATGCAAGGAGTGCTGGGATATGCAGTACCCAAATGATACTCAGCAGCCCACAACCTCCCCTTCCTGCAGCCGCGTATGCTGTGGTCTTCCTTTTAGAGGAAGCTGGTGCCTCCCAGTTGTAGTTCCTGAGGCTGCCGTAGACTTTGGTCCATAGAAAGGCTGCCCAGCATGGTCTGTGGGGAAGGATGCTGGGGGCTGCAAAACCCTTGGCCACTCTCCTTCTAGAGGATGATGTGTGAGTGCAGACCCTCTGGCAGGGCCCAGTCACAACACATTCCCACCAAATGCACAAGCGCACATGAGTCTCACCATTCTTGACGTAGAGAGCGAGCCCCGCGGCCACAAAGACCACCCCCAGGACCAGGCCCATGACCCCCGTCCACATCTTGCTCTTGGCGGCACCTGACTGGGGCCCTGCAGAAAAGAAGAAAATGGAGATGTGGGGAAAGGAAGGGCACCATCACCCTCAAAAGCACATTAGGAAGAACTCTAGGATGGGGGTGGTGGATGGGAAGGCTGCCTGAGAGGGGCTCCCCTTCTTTGGAGGCCTCTGCACAGAGCTCCACCAGGAACCTTCCAGGAGTGCTCTGGTTGCATATTCCAGCAGGGCCAAGGGGGCTGGACTAGATGTCCCTCAGGGGTCCCTTCAAAAAGCCTGTGCGTCAAGCTTTCTTACTCCACTCAATGGAGGCAGGGCTGGCGAAGCTGGCGTGCTCCACTTGGCAGGCGTAGACATCTCCCTTCTCCGGCTGCGTCTCCAGCATCTCATGCATCTGGTAAGTCCAGTCTCCGTTGTCAATGAGGCCTGAGGTCATCACTTGGTCCCCTTTTTCCTCCTTCCCGTTCCTGAACCACCTGATTTTGATCTTGACTGGAAAAAAGCTGTCCACGAAGCAAATCAGCAGAGTGTGGCGAGTGGAGGCCTTGTAGTTGCTGGTGATCCTCATCTTGGGCTGAACTGGAGGGAAAGGCAGCAAGAAGAAAGGGAGTGAGTGGGAGAGAGTGGGTGCAAGGGGAGGGGAGGGCAGAGGGTTTCCCATGATGAATGTGGCAGAGGAAGAGGAAGGGGGTCCCAGGCTGTCTGCTCCAGTGGGAAGGTGGCTCAGCCTCTGCCCCACAAAAGTACCAAGGTGGGCTCCTCTCCCCAAGCATGATGTTTGGTTCAAAACTGGCCTCATAGCAAAAAGAGAGAGAGACTATCCTGGTAACTGAAGGTAGAAAAGGCCGGCTTGCGGGGTGGTCAGGGGAACCTTAGGACTGCAACCAATGCCGTGCTGTATGGCCCTGATTCAGCAGCATTCTCTCCCCATGTTTCACTTGCATCTGTGATTGGCATCTCCAAAGGTTCTGTTGGCACTGAAGCAAGTGGGGTGTTTATGTATACCTGTGGAATACTGTTCAGGGTGGGAGGGAGAACCCTTGTCTGTTTGAAGCAAGTGTGACTGCTGTCATTAGCAAGCCTGAATAGTACTGAGTATCCATGAAGCTGCAAAGTCAATCAGTGAGGCGATTGTGAGATAGCTTGGCCCCTGTTGCCTGGGGGGAATCCTTTGTTGGGAGGTGTTAGCTGGATCTGATTGATTCATGTCTGGAATTCCTCTGTCAACAGTTAACACCTCCCAACAAAGCGTTTCCCCAGGCAGGAATGAGACAGGCTTTGCAGCTGCAAGGCTGTTCAATACTAATCAAGGTGGCCAATTGCAACATTCACACTTGCCCCAAGCAGACAGGAGTTCTTTCTCCCACCCTGGACATCATTCCACAGATCTATAAACCCCACTTGCGTAGTTTCCAACAGACCACATAACCTCTGATGATGCCTGTGGGTGAAATGATGCCTGTGGGTGAAATGCCTGCCATAGATGTGGGTGAAACATCAAGAGAGAATGCTTCTGGAACATGGCCAGACAGCCTGGAAAACTCACAGTAACCCAGTGATTCTGGCCATGAAAGCCTCCCTTCAACAACATTTTAGTGTTTTCTAAATGCATTATAACTGTACCCTCAATTTGCTTCTGACATGATAAATATTAATACCACTCTGAAACAGAGGAATTCCAGACAGTAAACAAACAGTTGATTGCACAAGTCTCTAGCCCTCAAAGAGTACTTAGCCTAGATAGAATAGAACGTGGGATTCCTTCCCCACACTTCCTATGCATGCCTATCTCAAGAAGGAGCTTAGAGGGGGCTTTGTCCTTACTCTTCCTGCATATTTAGCAATGTGAGATCTTTGAATGATGAGGCAGCTTCCTCTTTAAAGGTATTTTGATTGCCCTGGTGAGGTCATTTTGGCCTTCTTTCTCTTCTTTTTGTCTTCCTTGAGTGAGGAGGCATCTTGCCTTTCTCCAGGACACTATTTTGTTATTTTTATCCTCTTTCTTTCCTTAGAAGATAGCTCAGTGAAGCTAGTTTAGCTCCAAGAACCTTTCCTATCCAGAATGGATTTCTTTTGACCTTAATAAACATTTTATTTTTGAACCTATGTAGTGTGGCTCCTGCAATTCTGATTCATCCTGTTGACTGAAGACTAATCCTTGCTCAGGTCACATAAGCTTCTCCTGGTTATGAAGCATGCTTCTGGCACTCTGCTATATTTTTGTGGAATCATTCAATTTCTCTCCCCCCCCCCCCCCGCGCAATCACCTCCAAAATGTATAATGCAATAATTATATATATATATATGTGTGTGTGTGTGTGTGTGTGTGTGTGACATTTTTTTCTCTCTATTTGGTGTGACAGCGCGAGTGGTGCCACCTGTGTGTAGAACTTTAAAGTGCAAAGATTTAAACGGTATAACATGCCCAAACTTGCCTAGTTTGTAAATGTATAGTTAGATTGATTGGTTATTTATAACTGTCAATCAGTGTTTGCACCAGTTATATTGCTTCCTCAGCTCAATTGCTTGGCTCCACCTTTTCCTGGAGGAGGTCAGAGCTTTTCCTTTTCCATTCTACCATCAAACTTTCTATCAGATAGACGTGAGAAAGAGACTTGGCTCTAACGCCCTTAATTAAGTTACCTCTCATCACCAATTCTAAAGTTTTTACCCTTGGGACTCATACTTCATGCCCAGATCGCCCTGGACAACATTGAGGAGACCCAAGCGCCTTCAAACCGGTCCTGTGGTACCAGAGGAAGGCTTTGTGTCTTCAAATATAGGCCATTTGGATTGGGGTGTGTGAATGTTCAGGCGTTTGCAGCCATTGAGAAAGAGGGAACCTTGAAAAGCTTCTCAGCTGCGAAATCTCCTTGGACCCAAGACAACCACGTACTGTAATGTATATTTCCTGTACCTCTTTGAAACTTCCAGCTTATTGCCTTAAAGGGATAACTCTTTGTGGAAAATAAAACCTGTTTTGAGTTATCTACAGTGTTTTGGTCGTTGGGAGTTCCAGTTCTTTAAAGGAAGGCAAGAAGCAATCCCCTGGGGGAAAGATGTCACGTCTATGTCTCTTTCACTAAGAGTTATAGCCCCAGGAGCGACGGCATATTTGATGCCTTAAAAAAAACTACAACAACACACACGAACAAACAAAAATTAAATCCTCAAGCAAAAAACAAACAAAAGAATCAGGTCTAACATTAAACTCTACACATTTCTGGATAATAATTGAAAATGAATCTGCGTTTCCCTCCACCCATTGCCCCCTCCCTCCCTCCTTCCCTGGGTGGAGGATGACCTGCGTGGGAAGGGAGCACTCACTCTTCCTGCCGAGGGAGAAGCGCTCAAGGCTGTCATAGTTGTGTCGGCAGAGGTCCACGTTGGCCATCAAGCTCCGCAGCTCATTCGGGTCCCGGTTGAACCTGTCCACATTGGACTCCATCATGGGCGCGAGGGCCACGTATTGGCCCAGGGTGCTGTTGAAGCGGGCCACTTCCCGCCGGTCGTAGATCAGCCGGCTCAGGAAGAGCACCTGGGGTTCCTCTCCGCCAGCACCACCGGTCCCGTTGGAGAAGAAGCACTCACCCCTCTCTTGGTATAAGAAATCCACTGTGGAGCCAGAGAAATGGGGGGGGGGGGGGGGAGAGAGAGGGAGGGAGAAAGAAAGGGAGGAGTGACTTTTTGGCTGCTGGGCGCCTCTTCCCCGCTCTCCTGACTTCCCCTTGAGTCAGTCCCAACAGGGGTGGTAATAATAATAATAATAATCATCATCATCATCATCATCATTTTTCCCATGTCAGGAACAACTTGAGAAACTGCAGGTCACTTCTGGTGTGAGAAGATTGGCCATCTGCAAAGACGTTGCCCAGGGGATGTTACCTGGATGTGTTTTGATATTTTGCCATCCTTGTGGGAGGCTTCTCTCATTTATTTATTTATTTATTTAAAGCTTTTATAACCCGGTCTTCCCAACCTCCGAAGAGGGACTCAGGCCAGCTAACAACAGAAAATTCATACACAAATAAGCTAAAACATAATAACATCATAATACATTAATACATTAAAATACATTACAATACGGAGCAAATAATTACATACAGCCAAATCGTCAAGGTAAAATCACAAATTCAACACCATCTGCCAGTGTGGTCAGCCGTTATTGGCTCGATCGTCATTCTGAGAATGCTATATCCCAGAGCCAAGATTTTACCAGCTTTCTGAAAGTCAGGAGGGAAGGGGTAGATCTAATCTCCATCGGGAGAGAGTTCCAGAGTCGAAGGGCCACCACTGAGAAGGCCCTGTGCCTCGTCCCCACCAGACGCGATTGCGAAGATGGTGGGACTGAGAGCAGGGCCCCTCCAGAAGATCTTAAGAACCTTGATGGTTCATAGGGGAGAATCCGTTCGGACAGGTAAACTGGGCTGGAGCCATTTAGGGATTTATAGGTCAGCACTAGCACTTTGAATTGTGCTCGGAAGCTAATTGGCAGCCAGTGGAGCTAACGCAACAGAGTAGTATGCTCTCATGTCCCTGCAGGGGGAGCTGCAGCTGACAGATGGGAGCTCAACTCGCTCTCCCCTGTCAGTCAGCAGTCCTGCTGGCATAAGAGTTTAACCCATTGTGCCACCGGGGGCTCCTATAGCACAATCCAGTAGAGTCTCGCCCATCCAACCTTTGCTCATCCAACGTGCCTTCCACCCGGAATAATGTCCAGGGTGGGAGAGAGAAAACAAGAAGCCTTGTCTGTTTTGGTGCTAAATTTGTAAATAACGTAATTACTACATGACGTTACTGTGTATTGAGGTGCTTTTTCTGTTGATGTGTTGACAAACATGACGTTTTGGTGCTTAGTTTGTAAAAACATAACGTCATTTTGATGAAGGCATGATGGAAATACATATATTGGGGGGAAAAAATTGGACGTAACCATATTAGAAATAGGAATTAGAACAGTGTTTCTCAACCTGGGGGTTGGGACCCCTGAGGGGGTTGTGAGGGGTGTCAAAGGGGTTGCCAAAGATCATTCAGAAAACACAGTATTTTCTGTTAGTCATGGGGGTTCTGTGTGCGAAGTTTGGCCCAATTCTATCATTGGTGAGCTTCAGTATGCTCTTTGATTGTAGGTGAACTATAAATCCCAGCAAGTACAACTCCCAAATGTCAAGGTCTATTTTCCCCAAACTCCACCAGTGTTCACATTTGGGCATATTGAGTATTTGTGCCAAGTTTGATCCAGATACATCATTGTTTGAGTTCACAATGCTCTCTGGATGTCTGGATGATACCAAACCCTTCCACTATTTTCTGTTGGTCATGTGTGCCAAGACTGGTTCAATTCCATCATTGGTGGAGTTCAGAATGCTCTTTGATTGTAGGTGACCCTACAACTACAATTCCCAAATGTCAAGGTCTATTTTCCCCAAACTCCACCAGTGTTCTGATTTGGGCATATTGAGGATTCGTGCCAAGTTTGGTCCAGATCCATCCTAGCTTAGTCTCTGGATGTAGGTGAACTACAACTCTCAAGGTCAATGCCCACCAAACCCTTCCAGTATTTTCTGTTGGTCATGGGAGTTAAATGAACTATAAGTCCCAGCAACTACAACTCCCAAATGACAAAATCAATCCCCCCTTCAACCCCACCAGTATTCAAATTTGGGCGTATTGGTGCATATCAGATATTTACATTATGATTCATAACAGTTGCAAAATAACAGTTATTTATTTATTTATTTATTTATCGTGTCATCAGCAACCAGACCATTGTGTTACATTTCTAACAGAACAAAACAAACAAACAGATAAAAAAAACACACAAATTTTGCAAGCTTGGTAGTTGACTAAATGTCCCTTGACCAGTATCTGGCCCCTTGGAGTGCCTCTGGTGTTGCCGCAAGAAGGTCCTCCATGGTGCATGTGGCAGGGCTCAGGTTGCATTGCAGCAGGTGGTCTGTGGTTTGCTCTTCTCCGCACTCGCATGTCGTGGATTCCACTTTGTGGCCCCATTTCTTGAGGTTGGCTCTGCATCTCGTGGTGCCAGAGCGCAGTCTGTTCAGCGCCTTCCAAGTTGCCCAGTCTTCTGTGTGCCCAGGGGGGAGTCTCTCATTTGGTATCACCCACGGATTGAGGTGCTGGGTTTGAGCCTGCCACTTTTGGACTCTTGCTTGCTGAGGTGTTCCAGCGAGTGTCTCTGTAGATCTTAGAAAACTATGTCTAGATTTAAGTCGTTGGCGTGCTGGCTTATACCCAAACAGGGGATGAGCTGGAGATGTCTCTGCCTTGGTCCTTTCACTATTGGCTGCTACTTCCCGGCGGATGTCAGGTGGTGCAATACCGGCTAAGCAGTGTAATTTCTCCAGTGGTGTAGGGCACAGACACCCTGTGATAATGCGGCATGTCTCATTAAGAGCCACATCCACTGTTTTAGCGTGGTGAGATGTGTTCCACACTGGGCATGCATACTCAGCAGCAGAGTAGCATAGCGCAAGGGCAGATGTCTTCACTGTGTCTGGTTGTGATCCCCAGGTTGTGCCAGTCAGCTTTTATGTGATATTGTTTCTAGCGCCCACTTTTTGCTTGATGTTCAGGCAGTGCTTCTTGTAGGTCAGAGAACGGTCCAGAGTGACTCCCAGCTATTTGGGTGCGCTGCAATGCTCCAGTGGGATTCCTTCCCAGGTAATAATCCTCAGAGCTCGGGATGCTTGCCTTGAGGTGAAAGTAGCATTGTGATTAACCCCTGGGAGCACAAGGAGTCTAGATCTGTTTCTGAGCTGTTTGCTAAGCAAACTCCGGATGGGAAGTGGGCTGGGGCGCAGAGGTACCTCTGTAAATGCCCCTCGACTGCCACTTGAGGAGCGTCCCCTCAGCTCACAACAGCCCTAGCAGTCCGGGGAGAGCCTTGGCTTTCTTGCCTCACTGCCAGGCGATCCTCTTCTCAAAGGGGCCGGGCCCTTGAGCCTCGCCTAGCCCCTCTCGTTCCTGCTCTACCCGACCACTGGGTGCGTGAGCAGAGACGGCACTCCGCGTTAGATCCCTTCCCCCTGACTGGCTCCCTTTCCCGATCCCCCGGCGCTCCACCCGCCTCCTCTCCTCTCCCCAATGTGCGGGTGGGCCAAGGGGCGGAGCCGCCGTGCCTGGCCCGCTTCGGGTCCGGAGGCGTGTCTGAAGACCCCAGCGTGCACACCAAAAGTTGCCTCTTCTCCTGACTTTCTCTTCAGCCATTGGGACCAAGAGAGAGAGAGAGAGAGAGAGAGAGACCCTCTGGCTGGAGGTATCTCCCACCTCCGCTCCCTCCTTTGTTTTTGCGCCTACCTTCAGGAAAGGTGGGCATCTCCACCTCTCTCTCTCTCTCTCTCTCGGTCCCAATGGCTGAGGAGAAAGTCAGGAGAAGAGGTGACTTTTGGTGCACACGCCGGGGTCTTCAGGCATGCCTCTGGACCCAAAGCGGGCCAGGCAAGGGAGCAAGTGCGGCAAGTGTAGTTACTGGGATGTATAGTTCACCTACAATCAAAGAGCATTCTGAACTCCACCAATGATGGAATTGAACCAAATATGGCACACAGAACTCCGACGACGAACAGAAAATATATATCAATGATTGGTTGGGGGGGGGGGGGTGCCAAAATACTGTTTGCTGACCGTTGAAAATAACCTAGGCCCGCCTGTGCCCTTGACCTAGGGCTCTCTCCTCTTTGGGGTGGTGTTGGGGTCCCCCTCCCTCCCTCCCTCCCTGGAGAAGAGCCCCGATGCTCACCTGTGGGCCCCTCGGCCGCGCCCTCCGCCGCCAGCCAGAGGCAGGAGGAGAGCCAGAGGGAGGCCAAGCCCTTCCCAGAAGGCGCCATCGCCTCCTTTCCTCCGCGGCGGCAGGGAGACTTGGCTCGGCTCGGCTCCTCTGACTCCCGACGGCGACTTTCTGGGGCGGCAAAGAAGTCCCGGAAAGGTCCCCGCCAGAGGAGGTTTCCCCCAGCAACAGGCTGGTCAGCGCCGGGGCCTTTTCCTCATTGGCTGGCCTGGCCTCAGGTGGGGCGGGCCGGTGCCTGGCTCCCAAAACCTCTCCCCCCGGTCGCCCCACTCCGCACCAGTGCCCAGAGCGGGATGGGGGCGGCGGGAGGGCTCCCCGGGCTCCTCTTCTTCTTCTCCTCCCTCTTCCTCCTCCTCCTCCTCCCGGGCAGGGCGGGCGCCGGCTTCGGAAGTGAGTCAGGGCTGGGGGGCGGCGGAGGGGAGGGGGCGGGGAGGGAGCCCCGACGGGCAAGCACCCCCCTCGCCCTCTCTGGCTCCTTGTTTTCCTCTCTGCAGCCGAGGCGGACTTCGTGGAGCTGACCTTCTTCCAGGAGAGCTTCCCGGAGGGGACTAAGGCGGAGGCGGAGGCGGGCGAGTACGGGCAGGATTTCGAGGGCGAGGCCGTCTTCCAGGTGGACTGGGCCCGCAAGACCACCTCCTGGCGCCTCCCCGCCCTCAGCGCCGCCCTCCGCTTCGAGGACGCCCGCGCCCTGGCCTCCCTCTCCCTGGCCAAGAACAACCTGGAGCTCCTCCTGCGGCTCACCAACCGGACGCGCGCCCAGCACGGTACGGCCCCTCCCCTTGGGACGGAGCCCCCCCCCCCACCCGTGCCCCCCCCCTCCACTCCCCGCATTCCGCTCCTTGGCCACTTTCCAGGATCAAGAGGAGTTGGGTGGTCCTCATGGCGCTCAGCAACCAGAGTCGCACCCAGAAGAGCACATGCAAAACCCACCCACCCCCAACAGGCATATAGCCAGGGTGGGGTGGGGGGGCTTGAGCGGCTTCGTTGTTCATTCGTTCAGTCGTTTCTGACTCTTCGTGACCTCCTGGACCAGCCCACGGCAGAGTTCTCTGCTGGCCGTCACCACCCCCAGCTCCTTCAAGGTCAATCCACTCACTTCAAGGATATAATAATAATAATCTTTATTTATACCCAGCCACCATCTCCCCAATGGGGACTCGGAGCGTCTTACATGAGGCCAAGCCCAAACAACAATTACAATAAAGTAAACCCAAAAACACAAACCGAAAACACAAACAATAAACAACAACAACATAATTACATAAAACATGTGAATACATAGCAATATAAAATTACAACAGGCACAGTCACAATGACAATGGGCGGGATACATGTAATGATTAAAAGAAAAACTCCTCACTACCTCTGAGGATGCTTGCCATAGATGCAGGCGAAACGTCAGGAGAGAATGCCTCTAGACCATGGCCTTATAGCCCGAAAAAACCTACAACAACCCAAAAGAAAAACTGATTAAAACTAATTAAAAACTCGGGTGAGATAAAAGAGAGACAGATCATTTGCGGAGGAGGACTCATTATAGTGGGGGTTGTGGAATCAGGCATTCCCATCCACCCCCCTTGCCCTTGGTCGGCCCCTCTTCCTTTTTCCTTCCCTTTTCCCCAGCATCATTGTCTTCTCTAAGCTTCCCTTTCTTCTCCTGATGTGGCCAAAGGACTTCCTCTTGGCCTCTACTCTCCTTCCCTCCAATGAGCAGTTGGGATTTATTTCCTGGAGGATGGACTGGTTGGATCTTCTCGCTGTCCAAGGCACTCTCAGCACTTTCCTCCACAAAGCATCTCTCTTCCTTCTCTCAGCCTTCCCTATGGTCCAGCTCTCACATCCGTAGGTGACTACGGGGAATACCATTGCTTTGACTAACCGGATCTTGGTTGCTAGTGTGAGGTCTCTACTCTTCACTATTTTATCAAGATAGGACCTTGCTCTCCTCCAAAGAAGTAAGCGTCTCCTGATTTCCTGGCTGCAGTCTGCGTCTGCACTCATCTTTGCACCTCGAAATACAAAGTCTGTCCCTGCCTCCACGTTTTCTCCCTCCGTTTCCCAGTTGTCAATCATTCTTCAAGCTTCAATAATTCAATCAAGCTTCCCCCCCCCCCCCCCCAATTCTCAATGTGGTCCACGAGAAGGCCTTACTGGTATGTGGCACGGTGGCATCCTTGTCTGCAACTTTGCCCTCGGCATACACTCTTTCCTTTTCGGTGCCCCTGGTTTCAGCGTTTGGTGCTGGGAGAGGAAGGGGAATGTGGCGATAGCCCAGGCACCAAAGAGGATGCTGCCGCACCACAGACCATTCAGAGGCCACAATAGGCCTTTGCGCCCATGCACTCAGCAGGCTTTTGTGCCTGTGCATTGAAGTCTCGCCACACTCGTGGCTGGGAGTGGAGTGCGTCGAGCCCGTTGGCTGCCTTCTGGGACTCTGGATCCAGGTAAACAACAACTCCCATTTGAAAAAGGGCCACCCTTCCCCAATCCCTGCCTCTATGCACAGTTAGCAAATTGGCTCTATGTGCCAAGTTTAGTCCAGATTCAGTGTTGGCTTGGTTCAATGCCCTCAATGCCCTCTGGATAAGGACGCACTGCAACTCCCGGATCCAAGGTCAATCACCCCCAATCCCTGTATGCACAGTTGGCCATGTTTGGTCCAGATATGATGTTAGCTGCCTTCAGTGCTTTCTGGATCCAGGTAAACAACAACTCCCATTTGGAAAGGACCTGCCTGTATGCACAGTTGGGCACATTAGAAAGATAGTTTCCAACCATGAAGAGAGTGAAAAGTGTATCTAGGAGTTGAATGACAGACCAGAGATTGAGTGGACTAGCAAGGATTTCCATCCATCGGGACATCACTATCAAACCAGAAAAAGTAATTGACAAAATGGCTGGGGAAAAGAAAAGAAGATTGTGGCTATCAAGCAACAAATAAGTCAAGAAGTATTCTAAAATTTCGTTAATAAAAGCAAAAAAATAACGTGTATTATTTAAACTGCTATGTTTCTTCATATCGTGATCTGATCACCATGCTCAATATATCCCTATGCAGAGGAATTCATACATGATTTTTTCAAATTCTAATCCAACCCTCTAGCAGTTTGAGGGACTGTGACCTGGCCCTCTGTTTAAAAAGTTTGAGGACCCCTGGTCTAGAGGCATTCTCTCTTGACATTGCATCTAAGGCAGGCATCCTCAGAGATTGTGAGGGCCTCCCAACCTCTGAGGATGCCTGTCATAGATGCAGGTGAAACGTCAGGAGACAACGCTTCTGGAACATGACTAGGCAGCCCAGAAAACACACAACATGGCAGTGATTCCAGCCATGAAAGCCTCCGACAATAGATTGGTACAGATACTTTCCAGTCTTTCCCCGGACCTTCCCCAGACCACATCTCCCTTTCTAGAAGCTCCCAATGGCGCAATGGGTTAAGCCCTTGTGCCGGCTGGTCAGGAGTTCGAATTCAGGGAGAGTGGGTTGAGCTCCCTTTATCAGTTCCGGCTCCTCATGAGAGAAGCCTCCTCCAAGGATGGTAAAACACCTAACATCCCTGGGCAACATCCTTGCAGACAGCCAATTCTCTCACACCAAAAACAGCTTGCTGTTTCTCAAGTTTCTCCTGACACACACACACACACACATACAAAACTCCCTTTCTGCAAGCCTTTATCTGCCACATACAGGAGGCTCCCACTTCCTTCCAGGAGGGATTGGGAACCCTGCCCCCTCCCTTCTTAAGGAGTCTCAGCTCTGGGTTCAAATCTGTCAGATCTTGCTGGCCTTTCCTCATTCTTTCAGAGAACCCCTTTGTGCTTCACGTGCCCTCTGGTATCATACCTCGTTAATAGTAAGGATTTTCCTCAGTCTGGAAGCTAACACATCATCTCAACAACTGGAATGAGTACCTTAACTCTAGACTCAGGGACATTTTGCCAAGAAAAACTGTTTCCCATGTTCAGATTAATTTGAAACTCTTTGGGGACACAGTGCGTATAGTCAGCCTCTCTCTCTCTCTGTTTGCATTTGCCAACAAGTTCTGAATTTTGTGTCCTGATGCTGCAGTTTATCAGCCAAGTATTTCACAAGGATGGGTGGTCCTCATGGCGCTCAGAAACCAATCATGATGAAGGCCCACCCTTTTCAATAACGATAACAACAACAACAAGGGTCTAGAGAACAAGCCCTATGAGGAGTGGCTTAGGGAACTGGGCATGTTTAGCCTGAAGAAGAGAAGGCTGAGAGGAGATATGATAGCCATGTATAAATATGTGAGAGGAAGCCACAGGGAGGAGGAGGGAGCAAGCTTCCTTTCTGCTTCCTTGGAGACTAGGACGCAGAACAATGGCTTCAAACTACAAGAGAGGAGGTTCCATCTGAACATTAGGAAGAACTTCCTGACTGTGAGATCCGTTCAGCAGTGGAACTCTCTGCCCGGAGTGTGGTGGAGGCTCCTTCTTTGGAAGCTTTTAAGCAGAGGCTGGATGGCCATTTGTCAGGGGTGACTTGAATGCAATATTCCTGCTTCTTGGCAGGGGGTTGGACTGGATGGCCCAGGAGGTCTCTTCCAACTCTTTGATTCTATGATTCTATGATTCTATGAACAACTTCATTTTTATACCCTATCTCCAACTCCCCGAAGGGAACTCGGGGCAGCTTACAAGGGGTCAAGTGCAATCAACAGAGTTACAAAATAACATATAAATATATATATAACATCAGTATAAAAACAACATTATAACAATAATAAAACAAGCATCAGAACCAACAACCAATCAAATAGACTCACACCCAGAAACTTTGCACTAAAAGGATCCAGGCAATGCCCATATCTGACCCCTACTTGTCTCTCTTTGCCAGCTGCTCCTTCGGCCAAGGTGTACCCCAAATACCCCGTGGAGCTGGGGGACCCCAATGCCCTCATCTGCTTCGTGGACCACTTCTCCCCTCCAGTGCGGAACATCACGTGGCTGAAGAACGGGGAGGTGGTCTCTGAGGGGGTGCAAGAGACGGGCATCCTTCCCAGTGTGGACTTTGCCTTCCGCAAGTTCTCCTACCTGCCCTTCGTCCCAGAGGAGGGAGACTTCTACACCTGCCGCGTGGAGCATCGGGGGCTTCCAGAACCTTTGACAGTGATCTGGTGTAAGTCAGCTTCCTTTTGCAGCCAGACATCCAGAATTTAAAACCTTCTAAGATCTGAGCCAAGGATCATGTTAGGCATACCTCTGCTATTCCATTATGTGCTCTATTTGGTCTAGCTATGGGCAAACACATTGGCTCAGTCCACTTCCCTTTTCAATGTTAGGAAGTAATGAAATTTATTTTGGTTTTGAAGTTTTGCTTCAGGTTTAGGAAAGTGCATTTTGGTTGCTATGTTGAGGAAAGGCAGGAAAAAAGCAGCCTGTGGCTGAACACAGCCCTTAGCCCCTGATTCCAGAGGGCTAAGGGTTAGGGTTAGCCCTCCTGGCCCCAACACAAAGTGAACTTGAAGGCTGCCATTCTGGATAAATTTTCTATTCCCAACCTATGCAGAATATGATGGCCTATCTTTCCTCATTCACCTAAAAGCTCCATCCTGCCTCCCAAACTTTTTTTTGGGCCAGATTTGTGCAAAACCAGACCCCTTCCAGGGCCCCAGGGCACACCAGTGCTGTTTGCAGGGGGGACTAAACCCGTTCTCTGTGCAGTTGCCCATTCTGCTTACAAGAGAAGAAGAACACTTTTAGAGAAAGCTGAGTGCTGTGGCCCCAACTCTTCCTGCAGACTGTGACTGCATACACTTTTCGCATGTAAAAATTATGTACATCTAACAGATCCCTTCCAGGAGGTTGACAGAATGTTAAAGGAGGCTTTTCCAGGGCAGGAACAGTAGAGACAAATGGAACCCTCCCCATCCTATTCCCTGCAAACTCCTACCAATTATCCATTGGAGTTAGGTTTGAGGACCACAAACACAAGCTTCAGAAGTAGATTGTTGATGTCTGCCTTCAAACCATCTCTGACTTAAGGCAACAGCCCAAGGTCATCCACTGGGATTCCGTGGCCAAGATGGGAATCAAACCACAGTCTTCAAAGGCAGCGCTCAAACCACTACATCACAACAGGTTCATAGTTAACACATAGTATTGTCCAATGTCATACAAACCTATGGTGGAATTTGGGGTGGGTGGTTATAAACCCCAATGGTTTTACTTGCCTATGAACTGAGAAAAGAGCGTGCTGATACACTAAACATCACAAAAAATATAATGTACAGTAAAACAGGGACAGGTTGCACCTGAACTGGCAGCCCAACTTTGATGATACCCTAGGTTTTTTGTCACCACAAAGATCCGAAGTTTGTACTCAATGTGGGTTTTGTTGGAGTGCAGCCTGCTTCACGAGACCCTCATTTGACAGATAAACATTTGCAAGCCAGGAAAGGGGGGGACGGGACTGCTCAGTCTGGTGAAAAGGGAACACCTCCTGGATCTGCTGTTGGGATTTTAAGATACAAGTGAAGACCTATCTCTTCTGCCAGCCCCACCCAGACAGATTTAATTGTGAATTTTAAACTCCACTGTATGCCTGGTATTTTATGGAGATTTGGTTTAATATGTGTATTTTACAGAGTGTTTTAATATGATTGTGTTTGTTTATGTTTTAGTAATGCTGCAACCCGCCTCCAGCTGTGAGGAGAGGCAGGCAAAAAATAAAACTCCTCCTCCTCCTCCTTCCAAATGTTGACCATTAGCTTAATAGCAGTCATTGATAAGCAGTAACTTTGTGAAAGCACAGGCCTACAAGCCTAGATGACCCGATTAATAGATTTATTGTGATAAATGTCTGGGATTCAGGGATTGAGTGAGAAGGAGGGAGGATTTCTGGGTTCTTTTCCCATCCACACCTAGAAAGAAGGAGCCTTTCCTTGCCTGATGTCTCTCCCTGTCTCACCCGCAGCGTCAGAGGAGCCCAACCCCCTCCCGGACACGGCAGAGAACGTGCTCTGTGGCCTAGGCTTGGCCTTCGGCATCCTGGGCATCATCGTGGGCACTGTCCTCTTCTTTAAGGCCATGAGGATGACCAACCGCAACAGTCGCAATGGACGGAGTGGCGGCCTGTGAGTCCAATCCGCTTCAGTTCAATAGCCTAGCAAAGCGGGCAGGGTGGGAGCAAGGAGGCATCCCCCTTCTCACAGGATCCTCAGATCTGGGATTGGAGATCCATGGGTCAACCTTGTCTTTGAGTCACCCCACCTGCTCCAAGCGTGCTTCAGGCAAACCATTCTCCAAATGTTGGCCCTGGTTTCCCTACATGCAGACCTGTCAGGGGTATTTTGATTTTGCTTTTCCTGTATGGCAGGGGGTTGGACTACATGGCCCATATGGTCTCTTCCAGGGCTATAAATCTATGGGTCTATTTTAAACCTTTTCAAAGGAGAAACCCCTATCGGCTGAACCCTACTATCTAACCCCTCTCCTTCCTTTCTCAGGTAATCTGCAGAGAGGGAGAGCTGCTCCTTTCCCAGCAAGTGCCTCAGCAGAGACCTCCTTGCTGCTCTCACCATCGCACCTCAGGCCAACCTCCCTCCATCCATCAGCTGTGAGAGCCCCTTCTGCCTTGTTTGGACTCTCCCACTGTACCCCACTGGTGGCTAAACCAAGGAGACCACCTCAGGGCACTGCCAGTATCCATCCACCTGACAGCCAGCAACTGGACACAAAGCTTGATATATCTGAGGGCCGAGATTTGTTGTTGCTGCTGCCTTCAAGTTGTTTCTGGGTGAGGTTCGCCTTTCTCGAGGCGAGTTGGTCCAAAGAAGTTTGCCGTTGCCCTCCTCTGAGGCTGAAAGACTGTGGCTTGTCCATGGTCACCAGGGGGGTTTCCATGGCCGAGTGGGATTCAAACCCCGGTCTCCAGAGCCCCCGCCCAGCATTCAAGTGGTCATTTTTTCCCTCCAAGCTTTTGGGAAAGAATGTGTTCCAGTTCTGCAAATCCTTTGAGTAACTCTCTCCTCTAATTCAGGTGTAGCAAGTAGGATTCATCCATCTTATTGCAGAGAGGCCCAAACATCGCTCTGTTTGAAGGAAAGAGCTCTTGCTTTTCATTATGCTTCAGGATTGAAGTTGAAAAATCTTAACTTTGCATTTCAAATAAAACTTAAACACTGAAGCCACATTTGAAAGCATTAATTAATAGCATGATTATCATTTATACTGTTTTACATTTGTGACACTGCTTTAATTGTGCACCACTCTGAGACTTTTGGATTAAAGGGTGGCAAATAAATAAATACATAGTTGGATCTGGGTGTTTGAAGTTTGTTCATTTATTTATTTATGGTGACATAAAATCATATATAGTGGAAAAGTAGTTCTTGCCACTCACATTTGCTCCACTGGGGAAGGGGAAAAGTCCGCTAGACCCCATTGATGGGTGTCAAGTGACAAGTGGGGTTCCCACAGAGATTGTTCCCAAGACTAGGGCTGGTCAGCATTTGCTTAGAGTTGGACAAGGAATGAGATGCAAACAGCGGGTTAATGCTGATTGGAAACTGCCCAAGGTCCTTGGGAAGAATAATCAGAATATGTTCTGAATTCCTAGCATAAGGCTCTTGTTCTAAAATTCAAATCTCACATGTTATGGACTTTGATAAAGATTGACAGGGTTGGGTTGCTGTGAGTTTTCCAGGCTGTCTGGCCATGTTCCAGAAGCATTCTCTCCTGACATTTCACCCACATCTATGGCAGGCATCCTCCAAGGTTGTGAGGTCTGTTGGAAACTAGACAAGTGGGGTTTATATATCACTTGGAATGTCCAGGGTGGGAGAAGGCAAGTGTTTGAGGCAAGTGTGAATGTTGCAATTGGCCACCTTGATTACCATTTAATGGCCTTGCAGCTTCAAAGCCTGGCTGCGTTTTGCCTGGGGGAATCTTTGTTAGGATTGCTGGCGTTTGGGGTCGCCCGGTGTTGGGCTCCGCCGCTGCCGCCGTCGGGCTTGGTGCTGCCGTTGGCTGCCGCTGGCTGACTGATTGGTGGGCTCGGCGTGGGCTCCTTCCCTTCGCGGCCGCCATTTTACCTGCTGCCGAGGCTGTGGCGAGCCGAGGGAGGACGCCGCGAAGGAGACGCTGTGGCGGCCTTCCACTCCCGGTGAGGAGAGAACACGCTGCAGGAGGCCTGCTGCCTGCTGCCGAGGCTGCGGCTGCCGAGGAGGCTCGCCATCCGGCCATCAGCCATCCGGCCTACTGCCGAGGTTGCGGAGGCGCGGTTGCCCTCCCTCTCTCGGCGAAGAGAGAACACGTCCCTACCATCTTGTTGAAGAGAGAGGAGGAGGCGGCTGGAGCCGGCTGGAGGCGGCTGGAAGAAAGGCAGCGGGGCTGCCGGACGACCTAGAGGCCGGGAGGAGGCGAGCTGCCGCAGAGCAGCCTGGGGGCTGCCTCCGAGGGCCGAGAGGAGACGAACGGCCGAGCTACGCCACCATTTTCCATCAGGCTGCGGCTGCTGCCTCCTGCTGCCTCCGTTGGATCGCTGCGGAACCGCGGAGCCTCACTGTTGGCGAGCCATCGCCAGGTCGCTCTGCTGAGTCATCGTTGCTGAGGCCCGCCTCCACTGCCGCCGCCGAGGTCGCCGAGGTTGCCGCCGCCATTTTCCATCAGAGCGCTTATCCACGCCGGGACCATCTGAGCGGCTGGTCGCCTTAGCGGCTGGCTCGCCCCTTTCTTTGGGGCGAAGCGGCGAGTTTGCGGAGCAAATAGCTCCGAGGTGAGCTGACTGGATCTCTGGGGGGCTGGAGGCGCCAGTGGGCGACTGTGTGGCCTGTCCATCCGACCGCATAGGCCACGTCTGCTGAGTCAGCATTGCTGTCGCTCCCGCGGCCATCACCATTACTATCCGGCCCGCCCGTCCCACCAGGCTGCTGCTGGAGCTGACCATCTATATATGGGCCGATTTCACTGAGCGTTGCCCGAGCCCGGCCACGGCTGCGTAGCCATTCCATCTTGTGTAGACCGCTTTGTAGATCTTTGGCCGGCCACTCATTGTGGATTTTTGTGTAGATCTTTAAGCTGGCTTCGCCGCTGTTATTTACTGAGCAAGAGTGTGTCTGACCATCTGTGCTGCCCCACCCCCGAGTTATCAACTCCGGAAGCCCATCCGCTGGTTTACCAACCGTCTAGAGTCTCACTGGGGTCATAGCAATATTTAGCTAATTACCATCTCTATCGCCCATAAGGGATAGCTGTAGAATATCAACTAGTACTTCCTGGTAGTCATTGTTGCCAGCTGTCTTTGTTGTGATAAGAACAAATTAGAGCACTTAGGCGCCTGACATTTGCTGCTAGATCGCACCAGCACTTTCGCCCCTTCCCTGTCCCTCTGTGCCGCACTTTATATCGCTAAGTAGAGCACTTTAGACCTAGCACTTTATTAATGTGCCTTGAATGTGTGTTACTGCTAAATAATTTACGTTCATGTATACTCACTGACGGACTGCTCCTGAAATCTAAGCACTTTAAGAACTGGTCTGTTGAAGCAGTTGAAATAGCAACTATCATCTGTATTGCTGCTACCCATGTGGTTCCCTGCCCCCCTTTGTGTACTGGTTCTGCTGCTCTGGTGTGGCGGAGGGGGCAGAAGAGGAGGTAGCCCGGAACCGGTGACTGATGGTGTGGTGGGGAGGAGGGGGAGGGGGGATGCTGGCAAGAACCAATAAACTTAACAACAAGCATAGGAGGAAGTAATCTTATGGCTCATAACTGCGGCATGGAGGGGGGGAGGTGTTCCACTAGCCGAGGGGCCCCCATAGAGGTCGTGGTGGGAAGGAGGAGATGCGGGAGAAGGAGACCCCGAATTCGGCCTAATTCGGACCGTTTTTCCAAATTAACTATTCCCAATAGGTCTCCTAAGGTAACTTGGTGTAACCAGGTGAGCGGGCCCTCTGGCTTGAAGGTGGTGTTGTTGAACGCCAGGTCTGTCAACGGAAAAACAACTTGGATTCAGGATTTAATCCTGGAGGAGCGGGCAGATCTGGCGTGCATCACGGAGACCTGGTTGGATGAAGCGGGGGGCGTAAATCTCTCCCAGCTTTGTCCTCCAGGTTTCTCCGTGCAACACCAACCAAGAGCCGGAGGACGGGGAGGCGGGGTCGCAGTGGTCTATAGAGATACCATTCATCTAACCAGGAGCCCCATCCCGCAGACCACAAATTTTGAATCTGTCCACCTGAGGGTGGGTGACCGGGACAGAATAGGGATTCTGCTAGTGTACCGTCCACCTCGCTGCACTACAGTCTCCCTACCTGAGCTAGCGGGGGTGGTCTCGAGCCTGGCGTTGGAGTCTCAACGGCTTCTTGTGCTGGGAGACTTCAATATCCATGCCGAGGCGACCCTCACAGGAGCGGCTCAGGACTTCATGTCTGCCATGGCAACCATGGGGCTGTCCCAACAAATATCTGGCCCCACCCACTGTGCTGGACACACATTGGACTTGGTTTTCTGTCAGGGATGGGAGCAGGGTGGCGGTGTGAGGAGTTGTCTATCTCTCCGTTGCCATGGACTGACCACTTCCTGATCAGATTTAGACTCACTGCGCCCCCTAACCTCTGCAAAGGTGGAGGACCCATTAAGATGGTCCGCCCCAGGAGGCTAATGGATCCGAATGGATTCCTGACGGCTCTTGGGGATTTTCCCGCCACCTCGGTAGGTGACCATGTCGAGGCCTTGGTCGCTCTCTGGAATGGGGAGATGACCAGGGCAATTGACATGATCGCTCCGGAACGTCCCCTCTCAAGTAACCGAGCTAAACCAGCCCCTTGGTTCACCGAGGAGTTGGCAGCGATGAAGCGAAAGAAGAGGGGTCTAGAGAGCGTGTGGCGCTCGGACCCAAGCGAGCCAAACCGAACACGGTTTGTGTCCTTTTTAAGGGCATATGCCGCGGCAATAAAAGCCGCAAAGAAAACTTTCTTTGCGGCCACTATTGCGTCTGCAAAACACCGTCCGGCGGAGTTGTTTCGGATTGTCAGAGGTCTTTTAACTCCCCCTTCCTCAGGTGGGAGCCCTGACAACTCGGCCACGCGCTGTGAAGCATTTGCTCGGTTCTTTGCAGACAAAGTCGCTTTGATCCGCTCTGGGCTGGACACCACTTTAAATGCAGTCTCTGTGGATGTGACACAAGCACCTGCTTGTCCTATTTTGATGGATTCTTTTCAGCTTGTGAAGCCCGAGGATGTGGAATATGACACAAGCACCTGCTTGTCCGATTTTGTTGGATTCTTTTCAGTTTGTGAAACCCGAGGATGTGGACAAGATACTTGGAGGAATGAGACCCACCACGTCCATCCTAGACCCCTGCCCATCCTGGCTTCTGAAGGAGGCCAGAGGGGGATTGGCCGAGTGGGTAACGGTGGTGGTTAATGCCTCCCTCCGGGAAGGCAAGATTCCAGCGAGCCTAAAACAGGCTGTTATAAAGCCGCTGTTGAAGAAACCATCACTGGACCCCACTAAATTTGGACAACTTTCGGCCTGTTTCCAATCTCCCCTTTTTGGGCAAAGTCATGGAAAGCGTGGTGGCCTCACAACTCCAGGTATTCTTGAGAGACACGGATATTCTGGATCCGGCACAGTCTGGTTTCAGACCGGGACATGGTACTGAGACGGTCTTGGTCGCCTTAGTGGATGATCTGCGCCGGGAGCTAGACAGGGGGAGTGTGTCCCTGTTGGTGCTTCTGGACCTCTCAGCGGCCTTCGATACCGTCGACCACGGTATTCTTCTGGGGCGCCTTGCAGAGATGGGTCTCGGGGGCACTGCGCTGCAGTGGCTCCGATCATTTCTGGAGGGTCGTACCCAGAAGGTGTTATGGGGGGACTCCTGTTCAGCGCCACGGCCGTTGACCTGTGGCGTTCCTCAGGGTTCCATCTTGTCCCCCCTGCTGTTTAACATCTACATGAAGCCGCTGGGTGAGATCATCCGGAGTTTCGGGGTGCGGTGTCACCTGTACGCAGATGACGTCCAACTCTGTCACTCCTTTCCACCTGCTACTAAGGAGGCTGTCGAAGTCCTGAACCGGTGCCTGGCCGCTGTGACGGTCTGGATGAGGGCGAACAAACTGAAATTAAATCCAGACAAGACAGAGGTACTCCTGGTCAGTCGCAAGGCCGAACAGGGTATAGGGTTACAGCCTGTGCTGGACGGGGTCGCACTCCCCTTGAAGGCGCAGGTTCGCAGCTTGGGTGTGACCCTGGATTCATCGCTGAGCCTGGAGCCCCAGGTCTCAGCGGTGACCAGGGGAGCATTTGCACAGCTTAGGCTCGTGCGCCAGCTGCGCCCGTATCTTGGGAAGTCTGACTTGGCCACGGTGGTACATGCCTTGGTCACATCCCGCCTCGACTACTGCAACGCTCTCTACGTGGGGCTGCCCTTGAAGACGGCCCGGAAGCTTCAGCTAGTCCAACGCGCGGCAGCCATGTTATTAACGGGAGCAGGACGCAGAGAGCGTACAACGCCCCTGCTGTCCCAGCTCCACTGGCTGCCGATTTGCTACCGGGCCCAATTTAAGGTGCTGGTGTTAGCCTACAAAGCCCTAAACGGTTCCGGCCCAAAATACCTTGCAGACCGCATCTCGGCCTATGAGCCCACGAGGGCCTTGAGATCATCCGGGGAGGCTCTTCTCTCGGTCCCGCCTGCCTCGCAGGCACGTCTGGCGGGGACGAGAGAGAGGGCTTTCTCGGTGGTGGCCCCCCGGTTGTGGAACACCCTCCCTACTGAGGTTAGACAGGCGCCCTCTTTGATGGCCTTTCGTAGGAGCCTGAAAACTTGGCTCTGCGAGCAGGCCTTCAACTAAGTGTATCTGTGGAAAGACGTTAGAACGGACTATGACTACGAATTTGGCTATGACCCCAGGATTAGACGAAGCGGATTTTTAGTATAAGTATATGTCGTAGTAGTAGTCTGTTATGTATTGTTGTAATTTTTGTATGCTGTCTTTCTATGTTGTTGTTCACCGCCACGAGTCGCCCCTAGGGCTGAGAGTGGCGGTCAATAAGCACAAGAAATAAATAAATAAATAAATAAATAGGAGGTGTTAGCTGGTCCTGATTGTTTCCTGTCTGGAATTCCCATTTTCTGAGTGTTACTTTTTCTTTACTGTCCTGATACTAGAGTTTTTAATACTGGTAGCCAAGTTTGGTTCATTTTCCTTCTTGTTATTGAAATTGCCCACATGCTTGTGGATTTCAGTGGCCTGTGGTGTCTGACATGATAGTTGTTAGAATGGTCCAGCATTTCTGTGTTTTCAAATACAAATACAAATAAAAAATGCCACCATCCAAAAGTGTGGCTGATAGGGACCGTCCTGCGTTGCGTCCCCCAGTGGGTCAATGGCACATGCTTCGTCTTAGGCACAACAGGATTTTAAACATGGTGGCTTAAACTCCTTGCAGACCTTGGGGCCAGGCTTTAGCACAGCTGGTTAATCACCAGCAGCAATAGAGCTTGCCAATTGCAAGTTTGGCAATTCGAAATCCGGGTCGGAGCGAGCACCTGACCTTCAGCCCAGTACACCGTCCACCTAAGCAGTTCGAAAACAGCTGTGAGCTGTGAATAGAGAAATTTAGAACTGCTTAAGTGGGGAGGTATTTTACGGCACCATAAAAAATATACCAGAAAATGCTGGTGATCAAAAGAAGGAGGAATCAGAATCATAGAGTTAGAAGAGACCTCGTGGGCCATCCAGTCCAATCCCCCAGCCAAGAAGCAGTACGAAGAATCTGTGATGAAAGCTCTTTGTCAGAGGATGGAGCAACAGCACCCCCTGGGGCCAGAATCGAGCACAACCTCCAGGGCGCCAAAGGTGGGATTATTGCTGACATAATATCTCTATCTGTTGTCTGTCCTGTATGTTTAACAGCATTGGATGTTTGCTGTGTATGTGTTGTGTGATCTGCCCTGGGGTCCCTTCAGGGTGAGAAGGGAAGAATAGACATGCTGGAAATAAATATATAATGTAACAAGGTGCCTGTGAGACATAAAGGAGTGAGAGTCGAGTCCTTCTCTCAGGGATCTCATTTGGAGGATGTGGGTGTTCCAAAACTCTGGAAAACTTCTGACCCAGGCATTTCAGACCAGGGTCTCAGCTTGGGTACATTGCCTTGGACTCAGAGCCCCGGGGTCTCTCTTGGAAGGAGTCCTTTTTGCTTTTCCCTATTCCAGGGCTCCCCCCCCCTCTCCCCCCATCAGAAGGCAGTCATCCCATTCTCTGGAAATCAATGGCATTCTGCACCAATCAGGATCTGCCAATGGGATTTTGCCCTCCTTTGGTGCTTCATCAATCTCCGGGCAGCAGAGGCCCAAATTCTTCTCTACCATTCTGCATCTGAGCAAAACACCCTGGAGGGGCCAATAAGATTTGCTTTCCATTCACAGCATCATCAGTTTCCAGGCAGAAGCACAACTTTTCTGCTTCCCTTCAATCTTTGCGATTATTCTGGCACTTGAGCATGGTGTTGCCAAGCCCTGCCCGGGACGGATCCCAGAGACCATGTATTTGAACCCCTGAGGTGTGATGCCCAAGAGAGGCACAGAGTTTGAGACAAGGAAGGAGAAGGCATCTCTTTATTGACAGAGGCACAGAGAAAAATTGTGATCACAGTTTGCGGCTACAAAAAGAGTCTTGCTAGCTCTGGGAAGCAGGGGGGATTTGCAGTGCCATTTGCCAAAGGAGGGCCTTTGGTGCCGCAGGAGAAACAGGGCAGCACTGGGATCAAAGAGGACTCCCCTTGGACGAGGAGGGGGTTTCCACCAGCAAGCCTTTCTCTCCAATAAGATTCTCTAAATTTACCCCCCCCCCATCCCCAAGGAAGCCCCCCTTTGCAATGAAAGAGAGCCGAGGCCACTCCAAGATGCAGCCCGTCTTCCAGAAAAGGCCTCCAAAGGAATGCAAGCGAAGGAGGAGGACGGACCACTGCTGGGTCCATCTTTGGATGTTTGCGCCCGTGGAGCCGGGCCAAGGCTGATGGCAGGGAGGAGGGAAGCGGGGTCTTCTTTGGCAAAGGAAGGAAGCCGAATCTATTCCATGAGTCCCACTGAAGTGGAGAGAAGAGAGGAAGGGCGGTCAGTGAGGGGAAAGGCCTTCCCTGGCAGCGGGCTCCAAGGAGTCCCCATTCTCTCCTTTTCCAGAGGTGCCATCATGAAACCCACCCACCCCATCACCCAGCCTGAAGGGTCCCTCAAGTCCTTCCTGACCTTGGCTAAGAAGGGGTTCTCTTTCCCTGAGGCTGAGAGAGTGTGGCTCAGCCCAAGGCCAGTGTGGCTCAGTCCAAGGCAGGCACTCCCTGCCTGCATTCCTTAAGCACCTTCTCCGATGCAGACCCAGAAGCAAAGGCACCGTGGCTTTCTCTCTGACACCCCCCCCCCCAAATCTTTGTGGCTGGAAAGAGCAGTCTTTACCTGTGGTCTGGGGCACGGCACAGCCAAGTGGGAAGTAAAAGGAGAAGGGTCCAATCAGGGCCAAAATCGCCTGAGGGCTGTGAAGGGTGGTATACAAATATAGTAAATAAATAAATAAATGGTTGCTCCAAGTGCAAGATACCCCTATCTCGCCCCCCCCCCTCAACTCCCTGACAAAAGGGCTCCTTGTGGGCTGACCCTCCTGGCAAGTCAATAGATAGCCTTTATGACCAAAATGTTGTTATCTCAGCATCATCAGGTGGCACCACCTCTCTGGGGTCATGCAAGGAGTGCTGGGATATGCAATACCCAAGTGATAGCAGCTCACAACCTCCCCTTCCTGCAGCTGAGAATGCTTTGGTCTCCCTTTAGAGGAAGCTGGTGCCTCTTGGTTGTGGATCCTGATGCTACCATGGACTTCATTCCCCAGAAAGACTGCCCAGCAACATCTGTGGGGAGGGATGCTGGGAGTTGCAGTCCAAAACCCCTGGCCATCCCAAGCTACACTCTCCCTCTGGGAGGATGATGTGTGAGTGCAGACCTTCTTGCAGGGCCCAGTATCAACACATTCCCACCAAATGCACATGCGCCTCACCTTTCTTGAAGTAGAGGGTGAGCCCCGCAGCCACAAAGACCACCCCCAGGACCAGCCCCACAACCCCCGTCCACATCTTGCTCTTGGCAGAGTCTGACTGAGGCCCTGTAGAAGAGAAGAAGAAGAAGAGGTAAATGCAGGTGTGGGGAGAGGAAGGGCATCATTACCCCCCAAAACACATTAGGGAGAACTGTGGAATAGGGGTAGTGGGTGGGAAGGCTGCCTGAGAAGACAAGGGACTCACAGAGGTCCACCAGGGGAGCCCTACTTGCATAATCCTGCAGGGCCAAAGGGGCTGGACTAGATGGCCCTTGGAAATTCCTCTAAGAGCCTATTGGTCAAGCTTTCTTACTCCACTCGATGGAGGCAGGGCTGGCGAAGCTGGTGTGCTCCACTTGGCAGGCGTAGACGTCTCCCTTCTCCGGCTGTGTCTCCAGCATCTCATGCATCTGGTAAGTCCAGTCTCCGTTGTCGATGAGGCCCGAAGTCATCACTTGGTCCCCTTTTTCCTCCTTCCCATTCCTGAACCACCTGATTTTGATCTTGACTGGAAAAAAGCTGTCCACGAAGCAAATCAGCAAAGTGTAGCGAGAGGAGGCCCTGTAGTCGCTGGTGATCCTCATCTTGGGCTGAACTGGAGGGAAAGGGGACGGGAAAAGGGCTGAGTGGGAGAGAGTGGGTGCAAGGGGAAGGGGGCCAAGGGTTTCCCATAATGAATGTGGCAGAGGAAGAGGAAGGGGGTCCCAGGCTGTCTGTTTCAGTGGGAACTGGACCAGAGAAAGGAAGGTGGGTCACCTTCCGTCCCACAGAAGTGTCAAGGTGGGCTCCTCTCTCCAAGTGGAGAACAAGCCCTATGAGGAGTGGCTTAAGGAGCTGGGCACATTTAGCCTGAAGAAGAGAAGGCTGAGAGGAGATATGATAGCCATGTATAAATATGTGAGAGGAAGCCACAGGGAGGAGGGAGCAAGCTTGTTTTCTGCTTCCTTGGAGACTAGGACGCGAAACAATGGCTTCAAACTACAAGAGAGGAGATTCCATCTGAACATGAGGAAGAACTGCCTGACTGTGAGAGCCGTTCAGCAGTGGAACTCTCTGCCCCGGAGTGTGGTGGAGGCTCCTTCTTTGTAAGCTTTTAAACAGAGGCTGGATGGCCATCTGTCAGGGGTGATTTGAATGCAATATTCCTGCTTCTTGGCAGAATGGGGTTGGACTGGATGGCCCATGAGGTCTCTTCCAACTCTTGGATTCTAGGATTCTATAAGTATGATATTTGGTTCAAAACTGTCCCCATGGCACAAATTAGAGAGAGTGTCATAGTAACTGAAGGTAGAAAAACCTGGACAGGGGGATGTGGGTCCTTAGGACTGCAACCTATGCTGTGCTGTATTTATTTAATGATTTCAAACATTATACCCCATCCTTCTCAGAGCAGCCTACAATAGCAGCAAGTTGATGCCGGCCATATACAAAACATTACAATAAAAACATTACACAGTAAATAAAACATGGCCCTGTTTCTACAGCAGTCTCTCCTAATGTAGCACTTGCATCTGTGGCTGGCATCTCTAAAGATTTTGTGGGTATTAAGGCAAGTGGTGTGTGTGTGTGTGTGTGTCCAGGGTGGGAGAAAGAAGCCCTGTCTGTGGATGATGCAATTAGCCAGCTTGATTAACAATTGAGTAGCCTTGCAGCTGCAACGTCAATCAGTGGGGGTATCTGCATAGAGGTAGACTGACCTCTCATGCCTGGGGATGTTTGGGGGGTGTTGAATTTGAGAACACAGGAGTGCTGGACCACTCTGACAACCACCATGTCAGGCTACACAGAGAAATTATTGAAATTCACAAGAAGCAGGTGGACAATGTCAACAGGTACCATAGAATCAGAATCAGAGAGTTGAAAGAGACCTCGTGGGCCATCAAGTCCAACCCCTGCCAAGAATCAGGACAGACACATTCAAAGCATACCCAACAGATGGCCAGTATTTTAAAAAACCCTCTAAAATGAAGACAACGAATAAGTAACACCACTCAGAAATGGGAATTCCAGACAGAGGGTGTCCCCAGGCAAGAATGGCTGGGCTACCTCTATGCATATATCCTATGTCAGGGGTCCTCAAACTAAGGCCCGGGGGCTGGATATGACCCTCCAAGATCATTTACCCGGCTCTCACTCAGGGTCAACCTAAGTCTGAAACTACTTGAAAGCACACAACAGCAATGACAACAATCCTATTTCATCAGCCAAAAAGTAGGCCCATACCTCCCATTGAAATACTAATAAGTTTATATAATAATAACAATAATAATAATAATAAACTTTTTTCATACCCCGGCACCATCTCCCCAAAGGGGACTCGGGGTGGCTTACATGAGGCCACGCCCATCAATACAGAAAACACAATATAACACGAAAACACAACCAAAAATCAGAAAATAAAATAACATAAAATACAAAACCAATGTAAATAGACAACACAACAATAGAAAATCGAAACATTAAACCACTAAAAATGATCACAGTGAGCAGGATTAAATTCAAAGATAAAATTTTTAAAACACTGGGAGATAGGGCAGTGTAAAATATTAGGAAGGGGATCCGGGCGATAAAGTAGGATTCCATTGCACAAACCAGAGAATAAAGTGCTTCTGAGGACATTTTAAGCAGAGTTTGGTCAGGGATTATCATACATTCAGTCATTGAAGGCACATTGGAACAGCCATGTTTTTAGGCTCCTCCTAAAAATTTCCAGGGTGGGGGCTTGACTAATATCTCTGGGGAGCAAATTCCAGAGCTGAGGGGCCACCACAGAGAAGGCCCTCTCTCTCATCCCCACAAGTTGCGCTTGAGATGAGGGCGGGAATGAGAGAAGGGCCTCTCCGGAAGATCAAAGAGGTCGCGTGGGTTCGTAGACAGAAATGCAAGTCGAGCATTTGTTTTATATTTGTTAAAATTGTTCTTCATTTTAATTATTATATTGTTTTAAAGTGTTTCTTGCACTACAAATAAGATATGTGCAGTGTGTGTAGGAATGCAATTTTTTTTAATCGAATTATAATCTGCCCCTCCAATGGTTTGACCTGGGCCCTCTGTTTAAAAAGTTTGAAGACCCCTAGAATCATAGAATCCTAGAGTTGGAAGAGACCTCCTGGGCCATCATCCAGTCCAACCCCATTCTGCCAAGAAGCACGAATATTGCATTCAAATCACCCCTGACAGATGGCCATCCAGCCTCTGCTTAAAAGGTTCCAAAGAAGGAGCCTCCACCACACTCCGGGGCAGAGAGTTCCACTGCTGAACGGCTCTCACAGTCAGGAAGTTCTTCCTCATGTTCAGATGGAATCTCCTCTCTTGTAGTTTGAAGCCATTGTTCCGCGTCCTAGTCTCCAGGGAAGCAGAAAACAAGCTTGCTCCCTCTTCCCTGTGGCTTCCTCTCACATATTTATACATGGCTATCATATCTCCTCTCAGCCTTCTCTTCTTCAGGCTAAACATGCCCAGCTCCTTAAGCCGCTCCTCATAGGGCTTGTTCTCCAGACCCTTGATCATTTTAGTCGCCCTCCTCTGGACACATTCCAGCTTGTCAATATCTCTCTTCAATTGTGGTGCCCAGAATTGGACACAATATTCCAGGTAAAGTGGTCTAACCAAAACAGAATAGAAGGGTAGGCATGACTCTAGTCTAGATACTTCGCTCTTGATCACCACTACTGGGCTCCCCGGTCCCTGGATTGTGCAAATTTGCAAAATTCACCATTCGGGAGCTTGACTCAATATTTTTTGGTTCGTCCTCTGCCCGGAGCAGGAGTACAGAGAGGTAGAGGGGACAGTCGAGCGGATGAGTGGGTTGCTACTGTGCGTGTTGTGTGCAGTGATAAGTTAGGGTGTCGCAAGCGGTAAGAGCTAGGCTCTCATCTCCAATCACATTGTTGGCCTGCATTTAACTTGTTGTCCACAAGGACTCCAAGATCTTTTTCACACGTACTGCTCTCGAGCCAGGCTGTCCCCCATTCTGTATCTTTGCATTTCGTTTTTCCTGCCAAAGTGGAGTATCTTGCATTTGTCACTGTTGAACTTCATTTTGTTAGTTTTGGCCCATCTCTCTAATCTGTCAAGATCGTTTTGAATCCTGCTCCTGTCCTTTGGAGTATTGGCTCTCCTCCCAATTTGGTGTCGTCTGCAAACTTGATGATCATGCCTTCTAGCCCTTCATCTAAGTCATTAATAAAGATGTTGAACAGGACCGGGCCCAGGACAGAACCCTGCGGCACTCCACTTGTCACTTCTTTCCAAGATGAAGAGGAAGCATTGGTGAGCACTCTCTGTGTTCGTCCACTTAACCAATTACAGATCCACCTCTGTAATTGGTTAAATGGACGAATCCAGAGGGTGCCCTGTCCTATGTCATCCGATCCGCCATTTAAATAGAAGCCAGCTGCATTTGCAGTAACCTTTCCTTCAGAGAAAATATTGGACCATAAGTTTGACATTGACCACTGCTGCAGAGACCTAGTTGGACAGTGTCTGTGTGCTGGATAATTTCACACACACACACACACACAGGGGCATGACTGACATACCCATACCCTAAGGAAGCCCTTTCCCTCTCTGTGCCCCTCCCTCTCTTTGGCTTTGTGCCCTTGAAGGGGGTGGAGGTGGGGAGGGGGCCTTTCTCACCCTGGAGTCTCTTTTTCTCTTTCCTTCTCCCTGGATCTTGGGAAGGGCCAGGCAGGCATCAGTGGGGGGGGGGGGGGGGGATAATCTCTTCCTGGGTTAGGACTGGTCTCCCCATGTCTCCCTCTCCCCACATCTCACCACCCTCCTCAATTTGGGTTTCTTGGTTTTGGGTGGGGAAGGACGCCCCCCTCCACCCATTGCCCCCTCCCTCCCTCCCTGGGCGGAGGACGGCTTTCTCCTCTTCCCGGCCTGCGTGAGGGCGCACTCACTCTTCCTGCCGAGGGCGAAGGGGTCGAAGATGCCGTAGTTGTGTCGGCAGAAGACGTCCACGCCGGACATAAATCTCCGCAGCTCATCTGGGTCCCGGTTCAACCTGTCCACGTAGGACTCCACCATGGGCGCGAGGGCCACGAACCGTCCCAGGGTGCTGTTGAAGCGGACCAGTTCCCGCCGGTCGTAGATCAGCCGGTTCAGGAGGAGCACCTGGGGTTCCTCTCCGCCAGCACCGCCGGTCCCGTTGGAGAAGAAGCACTCGGGCCTCTGTTGTAACAAGAAGAACTCGCCTTCGGAGCCAGAGAGGGGGGCAGAGGGGAGGGAGAAAGGCGGGGAGGAGTGAGTTTGGGGCCTGGGGGGGGGGAGCCTCCGCGCCCCTTCCCCACTCCTTTTGCCCTCGGAGTTTGCCCAAGTGGGGGCGGGGGGCGGGGCGACTACGTTTTGCTTATGGCCCGCCTCTCTGGGTGACAAATGAACGTAAACACGCTACCAATTACTATATTACACACCCGTATGAAAACGTATCGCAAACCCAGCTACAGAATGGACATCCAGTGCCAGGAGCCACTTGAGAAACCGCAAGTCGCTTCTGCTGTGAGAGAACTGGCCGTCTGCAAGGACGCTGCCCGGATGTTTTGATGTTTGACCATCCTGTGGGAGGTTTCTCCCATGTCCCCACCTGGCGAGCTGGTGCTGGCAGGCGGGAGCTCACCCCGCTCCCCGGATTCGAACCACCAACCTCTATTTCTTCAACCCATTGGGCCACCGGAGGCTCTTTGGCATGTAGTGGTCATAGACTGCAACTCAAAACTCCAGGTTGAAAATGGACGGGGCCGGTCTTCAATGGCGTTTGCGACAACCTCCCCCCCCCCCCCCAGGGCCCCGCTCTCTCTTTGTTTCTCTCCCTCCCCACCCACCCACCCACCCACCCACCAAGGGGAGCCCGCCTTTCCCCGGGAAGGAGCTCTGCCCACCTGGAGGCCCCTCCGCCGCCCCCGGCGCCAAGGGCGGCCCCGCCAGCAAGAAGAAGAAGAAGAAGAGAAAGGCCAAGCCCCTCGCGGGAGACCCCATCGCTGCCCGACCGACTTCCTTCTTTCCTTCCTTCCTCAGCGGCAGGAGGGAGGCGTCCGTCTGCTCTGCTCTGGCTCCGGACGGGGACTTTCTGGGGCGGCTCCGGAGGACTCAGGCGCCCCATCCCTCCCCCCCGCCCTTCCAGGCCGTGGGCCAATCAAGCGCAGAGCCCCGCCCGCGTCATCCGTCGCTGGGCAAAGCAGTCCCGAAGAAGTCCCCGTCGGGAGTGGGCGGGGAGAGTGCGCACATAATAATAATTATAATCATCATCATCATCATCATACTTATTTATACCCCCCCCCCCCCCGCCACCATCTCACCAAGGGGACTCGGGGCGGCTTACATGAGGCCAAGCTCAAGAATTACAACAAAGCAAATATAGCAAAATACAATAATACGTCAAAAGAATAAAATAAAAATAATAAAAGACCGTGCAAATAACACAAGGCAAAATATAAAATAACATTAATTGGACAAGGTGGGCAGGGCCGATTGCAAAGGCAAAAAATTTTAAACCCTGGGTGAGATGAGGAGTGTGGTATATCTGGAGGGAGGTTCAGGTGGGACAACCCGTGGGGCTTAATTTCCCTAAAGGATGAGATCCAGTGCCTGAGGATGGGACCTCTCTTCGCGGACCTCCTCCTCCTCCCCCCCCCCCCCCCGCCGCCGCTCAGTTTCTGTGGCGGAGAGAGAGCCCTCCCCTGGGCTTGCAGGGCCTCCTCCTCCTCCTCCCGGTGGGGCTCCTGCCGAGGAAGTTCCCCTTCGCAACAGGGCGGTCAGCGCCAGGGCCTTTTCCTCATTGGCTGAGCTCGCCTCGGGCGGGGCAGGGCGGGGGCCTCGATCCCATGGCCTGCCTGCTTGCCTCCTTCACTCCGCAGCAGAGAGCAGCGCAGGATGGCGGCGGCGGCACCGGCGGCCCTGGGGGCGCTGCCCTGGCTCCTCGCCCTCGCCCTCCTCCTCCTCGTGGGCAGCACGGGCGCCGCCGTGGAAAGTGAGTCGGGGGGAGGGGGATTCGCGGGAGGAGAGGCAGGATGGGGAGGAGGGAATCCCCGGGGCACGGGGAAAGCCAAGCCGCTCCTCCGCAGAGAGGACCCGCTCGGAAGGTGGGGCGCCCCTTCTCTTCTCTTCTCTTCTCTTCTCTTCTCTTCTCTTCTCTTCTCTTCTCTTCTCTTCTCTTCTCTTCTCCCGCTTCCCGACGCCTTGTTCTCTTGTCTTCTTCTCTGCAGCAGAGGCGGACTACGTGGGGCTGCGCTTCTTCCAGGAGAACTTCCCGGCGGGTCCCAAGGCGGCGGAGACGGAGGCGGGCGAGTACCTGGACGAGTTCGAGGGCGAGGCCATCTTCCAGGTGGACTGGGCCCAGAAGACCACCTCCTGGCGCCTCCCCGACTTCGCCCGCTTCGCCACTTTCGAGTCCACGATCGCCCTGGGCTACCTGAGCGGCATCAAGCAAAACCTGGAGGCGCTCATGGCGCTCAGCAACCGGACGCGCGGCCAGAGCGGTACATACGGAGGGGTAGCCCCCACCCCCTGGAACCCTTTGGGAAGGAGAAGGACACTCTGGATCTCGCCCTGAAAGGACCCTCACCCCCCCCCCCCCCCACGTGGCACTTAGAGCTCCACAGAACAAGTCAAGGCCAAGGGGTTTCCCTCCCTCTCCAGTGGGGTTTCTTTCTGGATTCAGGAAACTCCGGATCTTGGCTTGGTGGGAATGCTTCCCAGTCCTTCCCTGGCCCTTCCTGGCCCAGTCTCTCCTTCCACAGGCCTTCCTCCACCATAGACAGGATCTCCTTCCCTCCCTTCTTTCCTTCCAGGAGGGATTGGGATCGCTGCCCCCCCCCCCCCCTCTTCAGGATACTCAGCTCTGGGTTCAATGGGTGGCCTCTCTGGAACTTGCAGAAAGAACCCTTTTGTGCTTCACATCCCCTTGGGTGTCATACCTTATTGATAGGTTTTTCTTGGTCAAGAAGCTAACACCACTTCTCAACAACTGGAATGAATACCCAAACTCTACATTCATGCCCATTTTGCCTGTGTTCAGTTCAGTGACATTAATCTGATACAGTGCATACAGTCAGTTTCTTTCTCCCCTGTTTGCATTTTCCTCTGCACAAAATTTCTGCCAGTGGATTTTGTGTCCTGAACCTTAAAGATGCTGCAGTTTCTCAGCCAGGCATTTCTCAAGGGCATGAGCTCAGTCACTATGATGGCCTGGTCTTTTGCAAATAGACTCACACCCAGAAGCTCTGCACTGAAAGGACCCAGGCAATGCCCATATCTGACCCCTACTTGTCTCTCTTTGCCAGCTGCTCCTTCGGCCAAGGTGTACCCCAAATACCCCGTGGAGCTGGGGGACCCCAATGCCCTCATCTGCTTTCTGGACCGCTTCTCCCCCCCAGTGCTGAACATCACGTGGCTGAAGAATGGGGAGGTGGTCTCTGAGGGGGTGCAAGAGACGGGCATCCTTCCCAGTGTGGACTTTGCTTTCCGCAAGTTCTCCTACCTGCCCTTCATCCCAGAGGAGGGAGACTTCTACACCTGCCGCGTGGAGCACTGGGGGCTCCCCGAACCTCTGACAGTGATCTGGTGTAAGTCAGCTTCCTTTTTGGAGCCAGACATCCCGAGAGTAACCCCCCCCCCCCCCCCTGTAAGATATGAGCCAAGGATCATGTTAGGCATACCTCTGCTATTCCATTATATGCTCTATTTGGTCTAGCTATGGGCAAAGACTATGGCATCACAGAGACGTTGGCTCAGTCTACCTCCCCATTCAGTATTAGGAAGTACTGGAATTCACTTTGGTTTTGAAGTTTTGCTTCAGGTTTAGGAAAGTGCATTTTGGTCACTATGTTTAGGAAAGGCAGGGAAAAAAGCAGCCTGTGGGTGAACACAGCCCATAGCCCCTGATTCTGGAGGGCCAAAAGCCCCCAACACAAAGTGAACTTGAAGGCTCCCATTCTGGAGAAATTGTCTATTCCCAACCTATGCAGAATATGATGGCCTATCTTTCCTCGTCAACATAAAAGCTCCATCCTGCCTCCCAAACTTTTTTGGGCCAGATTTGGGCAAAACCAAACCCCTTCCAGGGCCCCAGGGCACACCAGTGCTGCTTGCAGGAGGGACTAAACCCGTCCTCTGTGCAGTTGCCCATTCTGCTTGTAAGAGAAGAACTCTTTTAGAGAAATCTGAGTGCTGTGGCCCCAACTCTTTCTGCAGTAGAAACACTAAACATCACAAAAAGTACAGTAAAACAGGGTCAGGTTGCACCTGAATTGGCAGCCCAACTTTGATGATACCTTAGGTTTTGTGGCACCACCAAGAAGTTTTTATTCAGTGTGGGTTTTGTTGGAGTGCAGCCTGCTTCACGAGACCCTCGTTTGGCAGATAAACATTTGCAGGCCAGGAAGGGAGGGCTGCTCAGTTTGATGAAAAGGGAACATCTCCTGGATCTGCTGTTGGAATTTTAAGATACAAGTGAAGACCTATCTCTTCTGCCAGCCCCACCCAGACAGTTTAAATGGTGAATTTTAAAGTCCACTGGATGTCTGATTTTTTCTTTTGTGTATCTGATATGTATTTTATGGAGATATGGTTTAATATATGTATTTTACAGAGTGTTTTAATATGATTGTGTGCTTCTTTATGTTTTAGTAATGCTGCAACCCGCCTCCAGCTGTGAGGAGAGGCAGGCAAAAAATAAAACTCCTCCTCCTCCTTCTTCCAAATGTTGACCATTAGCTTAATAGCAGTCACTGATAAGTGGTAACTTTCTGATAGCACAGGCCTACAAGTCTAGATGATCTGATTAATAGATGCATTATGATAAGAAGTCTGGGATTCAGGGATTGAGTGGGAATGAGGGAGGATTTCTGGGTTCTTTCCCCATCCACACCTAGAAAGAATGAACCTTTCCTTGCCTGATGTCTCTCCCTGTCTCACCTGCAGCACCAGAAGAGTCCACCCCCCTCCCGGACACAGCAGAGAATGTGCTCTGTGGCCTGGGCCTGGCCTTCGGCATCCTGGGCATCATCGTGGGCACTGTCCTCTTCTTCAAGGCCATGAGGATGACCAACCGCAACACCCTGTGAGTCTAATCTGCTACAGTTCAGCAACTGGGCTGCATTGAGAAGCAATGGCCTAGCAAAGCGGGCAGGGTGGGAGCAAGGAGGCATTCCCCTTCTCATAGGATCCTCAGATCTGGGATTGGAGATCCATGGGTCAGCCTTGACTTTTGAGTCATCCCACATGCTCCAAGCATGCTTCAGGGAATCCATTCTCCAAATGTTGGTGCTGGTTTCCCTAACCGCAGACATGTCAAGGGTATTTTGATTGAGCTTTTCCTGCATGTAGGGGGTTGGACTAGATGGCCCATGTGGTCTCTCCCAACTCTATGATTCTATGAATCCATGATTCCATTTTAACATTGTCAAAGGAGAAACACCTATCTGCTGAACCCTACTAACCAACCCCTCTCCTTCCTTTCTCAGGTAATCTTAATAGAGGGAGAGATGCTCCTTTCCCAGCAAGTGCTTCAGCAGAGACCTCCTGATTTGCTGCTCTCCCCATCGCACCTCAGGCCAACTTCCCCCCATCCATCAGCTGTAAGAGCCCCCTTTGCCTTGTTCTGACTCTCCCACTGCATCTCACTGGTGGCCAAACCAAGGAGACCACCTCAGTGCTCTGCCAACATCCACCCACCTAGCAGCCAGCAGCTGGACACAAAGCTTAATCTATCTGAGGGCCAAGATTTGTTGTTGTGTGCCTTCAAGTTGTTTCTGAGTGAGGTTCACTTTTTTAGCCAGGTTTGGTCCAAAGAGATTTGCCATTGCCCTCCTCTGAGGCTGACAGACGGTGACTTGTCCAGAGTCACCAAGTGGGCTTTCACGGCCAAGTGGGATTCAAACCTTGGTCTCTAGTCCAGGACTCAAATGGCCATGATTTTCCTCTAATTCAGGCTTAGCAAGTAGGATTCGCCCATCTTATTGCAGAAAAGCCCCAAAATCTCTGTTTTAGGGAAAGAGCTCTTGCCTTTCTTTCTTGCCTTCGGGATAGAATGTTGTAAAATCTGAACTCTGCATTTTAAATAAACCTTAATTACTGGAACCACATTTGAAAGCTTTAATAGAATGCTTATCATTTACACTGTTTGAAATTTGTTAGACTGCTTTTATTGTGCCCCACCCTGAGACTTTTGGATTAAAAGGTGGCAAATAAATAAATACATAATTGGATATGGATGTTCTATGTTTGTTAATTTATTTATTATGCTGTGACATGAAATCAAATAGTGAGGAAAACTGGTTCTTACCAAACGTATTTGATCTACTGGAGAAGGGTAAAAACCAGCTATACCCCATTGATGGGTGTCGGGTGACAAACAGGGTTCCCAGAGAGATGGTTCCCTGGTTTAGAGATAGTCATTTTCTTAGAGTTGGACAAGGAATGAGATGCCAAACAGTGGATTAGTGCTGATCAAAAATGGCCTGAGGTCCTTGGGTAGAATAACCAGAATATGTTCTGAATTCCTAGCATATGGGACACACTCACAGCAGCATCGAAACCAAACAGCATGTTAGAATTCACTACATCCAGCTCTTTTTTGAAAATCCTCACCTCATTTGTTGTGATGACTAAACACATTATGGACTTTGATAAAGTAAAGATTGACAGGGTTGTTTATTTATGTCCTTCCTTTCTCCAATACATTATCATGCCATACTTTGGAAAGAGCTTTTTGAGTCTGGGGCTCCATGGATCCAGTGAAAGGGGAAAGAGCCGGAAGCTTCTGAGGGAAGCCTACTTGCCAATGAACAGCAAGACAACTTTGAGCCGCTTTGAGTCTCCTTCAGGAGAGATCAAGCAGGGTATAATTAATAATAATAATAATAATAATAATAAGTGGAGCCACCTTCTGCAAAATTGGATGGTATGTTGCCTGATAGAGGGGTCAATGAAGCCAAGAGCTAGAGGTGGGGGTTGGTGAGAGCCCCTTGCTCCAATAAGGAAAGCACCTTCTCCATGAGAAGCCTACCCCTTGCATTCCCAACAAGGACAGGAAGGGGAGTAGCGAGAAATCATCTTGTTGCCTCCATTCCCTGCTATGACGATTCCAGAAGCCACCCACTTTTTAGAGCTGGGAGAAAGGTGCTGGGAACATGGGTGGCCATTTGTCAAACTGAGCCTCAGGGCCAGTCTGCCAATTGGGATGGGGACCCCCCCCCCCCCCAGTGCCTCTCCCTATCACAGGTAAGTGCTGGGCCCTGGGAAATCCAGCTGGGACCGAGGCAAGCCTCTTTGGCAAGGGGACTCTCTCACTCAAACACACACAGAGGGCTCATTCAAGCCACCCATGTGAGGCTCCATCCTTGCCAGCCCAACCAGAAACTGTGTTCTTAGCCGTGACTCCCAGGTCCACAGGAAAACTGAATGGAAGCGGTGGCACATCTGATGAAGACAGTCTCTGATCTTTCTACCATCATTTACTTGATTTTAGGATTCCACAAGACTCTGCTGCTTTGCTCTCATTCCTTTTCCAGGATTGTCCTCCTTTTGTTTGCCATCTCCCCTGTTGCTCATATTTTAGAGTTGCCTTGCAATACACCCAAAGCCTGTTGCCAGAGTTGTCCAGCTTTTATGAAACTGCCCTCATTTCCTTTGGCCTATACAGAAGTTCAGTCTCTTATAGTATGGCCTAAATCATCTGAAAGCACCAACACCTATCTGATTCTGGAAGCTAAGCAAGGTCAACCATATGTATATTCTAATGAGAGATGGTCAGCAAATCCCAGGGGTCCTGGGTTCTATTTCTGAGGAAGGGACTGGCAAAACCACCCATGAGGATTCCTTGCATGCTAAAAAAAACCCCTTTAGAAGTGATGGAGTCACCATAAGTCAACAGGCCACTTGAAGGCATATACATAACTAAATGTCCTAAAGGACCAAGTCCTGTCTGATCTTGGAAGCTCATCAGGGCCAACCCTGGTGAGAACAAGGACGGGAGAATGCCAAGCAAGGCCTGTGCTGTAAGCAACCTTTCAGAGGAAGAAACTAGTAAAACCACCTCTGAGAATTCCTTGCATGCTCAGAAAACCCTATGAAATCCATGAGGTCTCAATAAACTGACAAGCGACTTGAAGGCTCATCCACACAGACAGGGAACACATACAATATCTCACGCTCAGCAAAGACTTGCAGAGGATGAAATACATTTTTGAACTAAGCCACATGATGCAGGATCATTCTGAGACTTTTTTGCAGAACATGTTTAACCACAAGTAGCAAACATCCTTCTGGGTGGCTTTTGTGTGGGCTCTCTTTCGATGCTTCACAAAGACAGGGAAGTGGGAAATACATAACAACAGAGGTCTGGAATCATGAAAGAGGAGCAATGGCAGGAGATGCTATTCTTCCAAAACAGAAAGGGCCTGAGGGAGCTGAGTGTTTTGATCTAGGGGATTCCTCTCAGTCTCACACCATCACAAGCCAATTGAGTGAGGATATACAGTACATATATGTATATATGTGAATCGGAGGCGGCCCTAGGTAATTTTCAACAGTAAGCAAACAGTATTTCCCCCCCCCCCCAACCAATCATTGATATATATTTTCTGTTCGTCGTGGGAGTTATGTGTGCCATATTTGGTTCAATTCCATCATTGGTGGAGTTCAGAATGCTCTTTGATTGTAGGTGAACTATACATCCCAGTAACTACACTTGCCGCACTTGCTCCCTTGCCTGGCCCGCTTTGGGTCTGGAGTCGTACCTCAAGACCCCAGTGTGTGCACCAAAAGTCACCTCTTCTCCTGACTTTCTCCTCAGCCATTGGGAGCAAGAGAGAGAAAGAGAGAGAGAGAGAGGTGGAGATGCTCACCTTTCCTGAAGGTAGGTGCAAAAACAAAGGAGGGAGTGGAGGTGGGAGATACTTCCAGCCGGAGGGGCTCTCTCTCTCTCTCTCTTGGTATGTTTGGTAATGACATAGGAATGGAACAATGGATAACGAATCTGGATCGTGTTTTTTAGTGATGAGACGTTAGTGAATGGTTATTATAGTAATTGTGTACTAACTGTGTATTAGATTAGGTTGTTAACTGTTTTTATATTGGTGCATTGAATTTTGCTGTTTCCTGTGTGCTGTGAACCGCTGTGAGTTGCCTCCGGGCTGAGAACAGCGGTATAGAAGTAAAGTAAGTAAATAAATAAATAAATAAGTGCAATGCTGCAGGGGAGAAGAGGGTGGCTTTTGCTAGCTGCCATCATCATGATCATGATCATGGTCATCCTCATCCTTGCACTGGCCTCCTCACTCTACCTGAGAAAGGCTTCTCCCAGTCAGTCCGGCAGGAGGCTGCAGAGGTTTTCTGAGAGGCGAGCCAAGTGTTGCCTGTGCCACTGAGCCGCTTTCCCTGCTTGGCAACTGATGACGAAGGATATCCAGCGCTTGTGACTTGCCCAGCCCCAGGGAGATCCCTGGGCCAAACAGCGCAGGGTGGGTGTGGAAAGTCCTGCAGAGGGAGGCCCCCCTCTCCCTCAGTGCCAGTCTCTCTCCTGCCCACAGCCTCCGCTTCACTTGCCAGGAAGGGGTGCCTCTCTGGAGATGGGCCAGAGCTGGCATGGCCTCCCAATGGAGCCAGGTGCAGCTTGCTGGGCAGGAGAGGCAGGCAGGGGCTTGGGCCTCCCCAGGGCGACTACTCCAGGCCTCATCATCCCACTTCCCAGGGGAGCTATGGGCTGCCTGGGGGGAATAGGGGGCCTGTTGACAGTAACATGTAAAGGAGGCCAGTGGAGGGGTTCTGGGAGCCTTTCTCTCCAGAGACCAGGGTTCACATTCCCTCTGGGCTGAGAACGCCCGCTGGCCGGCCCTGGGCAAGGCACACTCTCTCAGCCTCACAAGGAAGGACCTCTTTCCTTTAAAAATACACTCAAGTGCCCAGCAAATATCCAAGTTTTGAGGACCTGCTCCTTCTGCAAACAATACGATGCAGCCAGTCACCAGTAACCTTAGGACCCAAAGAGGAATGCGTAAGAAGTAAATAATAATAATAATAATAATCTATATAATAATAATAATAATAATCTATATAAATAAAAATGTAATGCTCATTTGTGGGTTGTTGTAGGTTTTTGCGGGCTATATAGCCATGTTCTATTTATTTATTTATTTGGAGTGATTCTACCCCTCCCTTCTCAACCCCCTAGGGGGGGACTCAGGACGGCTTACAAAAGGCACAATTTGATGCCCAACAGTTCGCAAAATACAATATACAAAATACAGTATAACGACAACAGTTATAACTAGTTAAAACAGTCAAATTAATACAATAGCAGCAATAAAATCATCTTGTGGTCAACGTTCACCAATTCATAAATCCATAATCCATCCAGCATTATCATTATCCTTTCCTACTCTGGTCGTCATTGTCTTTTATCCATCTGCCAGCTTACCCAAAGGCCCGGTCCTATATCCAGGTTTTTAACTTCCTTCTGAAAGAGAGGAGGGATGTTGATGACCTAATTTCCCCGGAGAGTGCATTCCACAGGTGAGGGGCCACCACCGAGAAGGCCCTGTCCCTCGTCCCCACCAGTCTCAATTGTGATAAAGGTGGGGCCGAGAGCAGGGCCTCCCCAGCAGATCTTAAACTCCGAGGTGGGATGTAGAAGGAGATACGTTCAGACAGGTACACTGGGCCGGAGTTTTGTAGGTCAAAACCAGCACTTTGAATTGTGCTCGGAACTGGATCGGCAGCCAGTGGAGCTGACATAGCAGGGGGGTGGTGTGCTCCCTGTATGATGCTCCGGTGAGTAATCTAGCCACCACCCGTTGGCATTCTAGAGGCATTTTCTCCTGATGTTTCGCCTGCATCTATGGCAAGCATCCTCAGAGGTAATGAGGTCTGTTGGAACTATGAAAATGGGTTTATATATCTGTGGAATGGCCAGGGTGGGACAAAGAACTCTTGTCTGCTGGAGCTAGGTGTGAATGTTTCAACTGACCACCTTGATTAACATTTGATGGCATGGCAGTGCCTGGAGCAATCTTTTGTTGAGAAGTGATTAGATGTCCCTGATCTAATCACCTCTCAACAAAAGATTGCTCCAGGCACCATTACATTCTAAAACACTATTCCGAAATCTGAATTTTATTAGCATTAGAAAACACAGAGGAGACTATATCTGTCTGATTGATTCCAAAGGAGTAATGAACACAGGGCAGGTTCAGACAGGTAACTTCAGGTTT